TATTATATCAAAATATATACACATAATATTACATTTATACATAAGGTGATTTTTATTCTGATTCCCATAAGCAAAGCCGCGAATTGCAACTAGTACTCCCATAATGTAAGTAAACAAATAATATAAACCCACCGATGTGTGCACAGTGAACCCCAACGAACAGGAAACTTCGGCGTAAATAAATCCCAAAAGCTATGCTACACGGCTGCCATTTTAATATTTAAAACGGACACTTTCCATTTCCACGAAGAAAGATAAACTGTACTATATATAGGGTATTTAAACTCTCATTTAGGGTTGCCACCTCGTTATAGGAGAAAATTCCTTACAAAAAATTTAAGGTTATAAAATTGGAAGTTAAAAAAAAAATCAAAACACTTTAGCCTCATTTTAAATTTCTCTCAAGAACATTATGGTGAAGAAAAGATCGGAACACTGATGTATATAAATACCATAGTGTTCCGATCATATAATATATGAAACCAAGCACTAGACGTAAAATATATTTAAAAAAATAAGTTTTTTTTTCAACATCAATGTTGACAAAATTTGTATGAGACCACTAAATACTTTTTAAATAAGAATGTCGGTTTACAATTGACGAAGGTATTGCATAACACAAAAATAATTTTAAAAATTACATTGCAATTGAGACTCCTTTTTGTGTTTTTTTTTTTATTATATTTTTATTATTATAAAATATATATATAGAATAAATAAAAAAAAATATAGTATTAAATTATTATTATAGTAAGTAGTTTAATAAATTATATGTATTTGATATTTTTGTGCATTACAGGTTTTTGTATTTTATGCATGAAAATTATTAATTCACTCTTGCGCCACCTGCCCTTTTCTATATGTTCTCTCTTAACTAAAGGTTGTCTGTAAGAGATTGCCCTAGCGATAAGACCGCCTTTAGTACCTTTATGTGTATATTTCAATCTGTATTTATGTTACTGTATTTCATTTGAATTATTCACTTGTCATTGTATATTTTTATTTATGGTACAATAAAGAGTTAAATAAATAAATAAATAAATAAAATATAATTTAACTAAAGTCTGGACATGACTGGAAAAATTCAGATAGATGGCAACCCTACTCGCATTCCAGTTGTTTGCTGTACCAGTAGGCAATATTTGCATTTTAATATTTGCTATACCGTAGTAACTTTGAATTGTGGGCAAACGGAATATGTACACATAACGGCAAAATTTGTTTGAGTTATGTGCAACACTCCGGTGTGTAAGGTAAGGCGACGAGCCTTACCTTTCGTGGGGCAAAAGAATTTGACCTGGTACTGTTTAGTAGTCTATATATATTTATATATATAATTATTTATAATTTATGTACCTAAATATTTATTTTAACTTCTGTTTAGCACTACTACTGCCCACCCACTACTTTCTATGCTACTGTGTTAGGTTGACTGGAAGAGATCTCTTTTAGAGATAAGTTCGCCTTTGCTAACATTGTTATCAACTTATTGTTGTTACTGTATGAAAGAATAAATTATGTCTTACAAAAAAACTGACTTCAATTTTGGAAAAAAAAAATTGCTTTGATTTAAAGATTTAGTTTTTAATACTGAACTGATTTTAATAAATGTTTCTATTAAATAAGTCTGTAAATTTGTCCTTTCAGACAAAAAAGAATTTTCCAAATCGGTTTACAAATAACCGAGTTAAAAGGTAACAAATATTGAAAAATAAAACATACAACCGATTTGAGAATCCTTGCTTCTCTTTGAAATCTATTGAAAAAATAAGAAAAATATTTTTCCCAGGGCCATTAACCTGGAACATGGACTGCCTATATGCCAAACATCCCAATCCGTTCAACCATTTTAGCATATTTAAATAACAAATTTTTATGTACATATTGTTAACTTATATAATCTGGTTTATTTTTGCTTCGCAAAAGGTAGTATAAACTGACAACTTGAGGTACTATTTGATATGAAGACCAATTTTGTGAAAGACTGGTGCTTGCGATAGGTTTAGAAGAACCTGTGTTACAAGTCACCAGTGCCCCATCTCCATGGACTACACTGTTGAGTTTAATTGTTTGGTATCTCCAGCCTCCACAATTATTATTTTTAACAATTGCAATATTACACATAGACAACGGAAGAGAAGTTACGGTAGAGTAAGCGAGAGGGCGCTGCAGGATGATTCTCTCTGGGGTGTTTGTAACAAGTAATATATATGGCTGAGGAAATTGTAATAGATAAATATAATAAAAGTATAAGTGTATTTCAATACGTGTTTTTTATTGCTTGGCGCAAGTGCTCATGCTTCATTATATCAAACATAAATAAAATTATCAATATACACAAATACAAGGCAACCAATTAGTGTTATAATACACAAATAATAATAATGAGATGTAAAGTGCAAGAATAAACTTAACATTCTTTAAGGGGAACAATAAAAAGACTCATTCATTCCATTCACTCATTCATTCAAATAAGATTTAAACATCCCAACAATACCTTAGCACGTTTATAACACAAGCGTGGCAACTACTGTCAAAACTCTCCTTATGGGAAAAGCTTATGTCCACCAGTGGCCAGTTAACGGCTGAAACAATAATAAAAAATGTGGATATAGAAACATTCGGCGCAAAAAAAAAACTTTTTAACCATAATTCACGCGGGCAAAGTCTCTGGTATGCAATAAACGCTTCCATCTTCCAAAATATTGCAATTCTGTGTTCAATGTTGCTGTAAATTTTAAATTGGGGCATAAATTGCCACAAAACGGGTAAAAGCCACATCTAATGCCCCAATTTTTAACAGAGGCTATCTAATTGACTTAATACAGGGCGAGACAACTATCCGAATGGCGACTTTGAGCGAATTTTATTTCACAGACATTATTTTTACCGACTTTACATCTTCGTTCTTGGGTGCTTAATTAAAAACGTTTGCACTTAATTGGAAAAGTTACTAATAGAAATATGAATTGGCTTATGTTTTTAGTGGAAATTCGTACGGCAGTAATAGCTATTAGAATTACTTCAACTGAATAAAGTATATGATATTCAAAATTAAACAGTAAATAAAAGAACGTAAAATGTATTTATTAGCAAAATTAATTCTTTTTTTTTTATACAACGTAGAATGGCAAACAAGCTGACGGCCCACCTGATGGAAAGTGGTAACCGTCGCCTATAGACATGAGCAGTACCATGGACATAACAGAGTATACTGTTTCGCCCATGATACCCCCCATGCGTTGCCATTCCTGAGGACCCAGGTGTTATTCCTCTGTACCCAGTAAATTCACGCCGAAATAATATTTTTATTATGAAGATCCATAAGCCATAACTGTATGTCAGGAGCTGTAACTGTAAGGCAGAAGTCATAGTTGTATGTCAGGAGCTATAACTGTATGGCAGAAGCCATAATTGTATGTCGGAGCTATAACTGTATGGCAGAAGCCATAATTGTATGTCAGGAGCTATAACTGTATGGCAAAGCCATAATTGTATGTCGGAGCTATAACTGCATGGCAGAAGCCATAATTGTATGTCAGGAGCTATAACTGTATGGCAGAAGCCATAATTGTATATCAGGAGCTATAACTGTATGGCAGAAGCCATAATTGTATGTCAGGCACTATAACTGTATGGCAGAAGCCATAACTCTATGTCACGAGCCATAACTGTATGTCAGGTAAATAACGCAAATTCTAAATTAATTTAATAAATATACTGACAAAAAACTTTCAGTTATACGAATAAAAATGTTTGGAAGTTTTTTTAATGGGTGATAATGGTATGGTAATCCTGTTTTAATAATTTTAAATTTTATTCCAATAAAAAGACATCAACATTAATCCTAATAAAACCACTCACTTTGATTTAAAAAATAAACTACTAAACCGGTTTTCATTAAATTTCTATAATCTAACAGTATATCCATTCAATTAAAGAAAGAATTATCTAAACCAATTTATAAATGACGAAGCTATGAGGTAACAAAAAAATTAAAAAAATACAACTAAATTGGCAAAGTCTTCTTTTTTTAAAGTCCGTTGGAATTACCTTATAAGCCTTTAAATTACTCAGTTCTACTTATAATGCCTTAAAAATATGCAAACGAACTTTTTTTAATTATATTTTTTTTTTAATAATGGCGCTTATATGTCATAACCTACAAAATTATACGCTATATCTCAATGTAACAACCTAGCAGACTTATTTTCTATACAAATTACGAAGGGCATAGGAACGCGACTATAAAGCTATATTCATAACAAAGGAAAGTTCCAGAACGCCGAAGGATAGTCAATCCGTCATGTTTTCAGTCCATTTGTCGGTAACCACGCTCCATTACTTGCGAACTGCCTTATGAATTATCATCTGCCGCACTAGCTGATCGGAATCTTAATAGATTATAAATGTTTCATAAGGCCAGATATAACTAGGCAACACGATGGAATATCTTCTAACAGTTCAAGGTTTTTCTAGGTAGCAACACTTGATATTATTTTTTCTTTATATCGTAAAGGTGGCAAACAAGCTTATAGCCCTTCTGGTGGTAAACCAATATAGTCTATGGACGTCTACAACCCCAAAGGTGTTTTTTTTTTTATGGATGATAATGGAATGGTAACCCCACCCGCGCTATCGGTATACACCGGCGTGGCACCAGTGATGGATGATAGGTGAGGATGAAGTAGGTCAGTTAGCCCATCGTGAAGAATTCAACGAGAATTGTTCACGATAGTTTCCAGGGGGAACCACGTGGAGGTCGACCTAATAAGGCATATTGCTAGCAATGGGGCTACAAGGCGAACTTAATGCCTGATGGCATTCTCTACCAGTCAACCGTTACGCTAAACAGAGAGAGTAAATAGCGGTGCATAGATTAAAAAATATTGTAAATTAAATAAATATTTTAAGAGGTAAGCTATATTAATACATTTTAATTTTTATATTTTATAGTTTACCTATGTCAGTAAACGATACAATGTTCTTTTTGTTGGCAGCTCAATCGTGTTTGGATGTGAAACAAGTCCTGTACAATGGGCACTGCTATCTTTTCTCCGGATATCCGAAGGCTTCCTGGACCACCGCCAAGCAAGTGAGTTTATTGTTGTTTTTGCTTTTTTCCCAAATAAAACTAATTCCTTAGTCTCTTGCAATTTGAGAGCGAGCGTTTATTGTTCTTCACACATTGTCATTATGTAATCCAGGGGGTCAGTTTTGGCACAATTTAATTGGGACCAAGTTATAATTATATTAAATTAATGCTACCTTACTCTCGTCTTTCTTTCGTCAAACAGCTTGAAGTCTCTTTAAAGGTACTTGATAATTCTGTAAAACATGACAGCGTAAAAAACTAGTACCACCACCTTTTATTGACTCAAAGTCGCCCCTGAATGAAATGTTAACGCTTACACATTCCCCTGGGCACAGATAATATAATACTATACTAGTACCCTTGGATACTCTGTCTCATTTTAAAAAATAATTTAAAAACCCTACAATCATTGCAATAATGTAAATAAAGGTATAAAAATTGAGCTATTAAGGCTATACTTATAATAAATCTGTAGAGAGGTCAATTCTGTACATGAAATATATTTCCAAAATAACTATCAGGGGCTGATTAGTGATCGATACTGATGCCAAAAATGCAATCAGTAAAATTTTTGTCTGTCTGTCTGTATGTTCGTTATAGAAATAAAAACTACTCGACGGATTTTAACAAAACTTGGTACAATTATTCTTCATACTCCTGGGCAGGTTATAGTATACTTTTAATTACGCTACGATCAATAGGAGCAGAGCAGTGAAGGGAAATGTTAAAAATGTCCACCCGTGCGACGCCGGGACGGGCCGCTAGTACAAAAATAAAATAATAATTTATCTTGCCATCTATGTACTCGTGCGAAACCGGGGCGGATCGCTAGTGAGCAATAAAGAGACCAAAACATACTTCGTAATCTAAAATTTTAAGACGTAAAACGAGGCGGTGGCGCGAAGTTTCCGCCGTTATCTCCCTGTTATTTTATTATAATTTGTTTACGACGTAGATACAAGGGGTTTCGGCGTAATCCTTTGCGTGATTACAATTTTCATCAGTCAGTCCTGCTCGGTTTATTAAAATTTTAATATTATTGATATTGGATACCCGCGTCATGTCATATGCCTAATGTCTCACGCAAGATGGATTGTATCCCACTCATCTGTTTTAATATATTAAACAATCACTGCACTGATGGGTACAGTTAGCAAAAAAGTCGATAAAATACACATGTATAAATTTTTACACCCTCTAAACAAGGGGGAACGAATTATTGGTAATGGGGTCCAAGAACCCGTTTGATGATCCCCCTGGGAACCATAGTGATTCTTGGTAAATTTGTAACGATGGTCCAAGTGACCTAGCATGAAATATTTTCCGAAATTATTGGGTTGACCAAAACACAAATTTGAGGTTAAAATTTCATAATATATACCGTTTACAAACATTATAATATCGTTCTTTTGGACTTTTACGGTAGGATTGATGGCAAACGAAACGTTAAGCTCCATTTACTAGGTAATTTCGATATAAACTAAAACACGAAATTGAGTCCGAAAATTCAGAATTTCATTTTATAGTAGAGTCACTGATTTCATCGTCATCTGCCATCATTCACTGATACTCTGCCAAAAAACAGCGCAGGAATGATTTTAATTTCATTTTCATCCATTTAAAGAAATTATTTAAATATTATCACAGTTATATAATATTCAAATAGAATAGCAATAACAATTAGATGTTGTGTAAAGCAGTTGTGTTTGCATGGCTGTGTTTCGGTTTGAAGGTTGGGATATAGCGTGAATTTACAGGGTACAGAGGAATAACACCTGAGTCCTCAGGAATGGCAACGCATGAGGGGTATTATGAGTGAAACAGTATACTCTGTTATGTCCATAGGCTCATGTCTATAGGCGACGGTTACTACTTTCCATCAGGTGGGCTGTCAGTTTGTTTATTTATTTTATTTATTATCATTATTAAGGCAAACTTACATTGTGATATGTATCGTTCATAGTACTGTTCCTGTCTATAGATAACTGTTACCACTTTCTATCAGGCCGGCAGTTTGTTTGCCAATCTAAGTTGGACAAAAAAAACATACCATAATATGTAATGAATGTAAATATATATCGTCTGGAAGAGATTGCTAGTCTTGAGAGATTTTTAGCGATAAGGCCGCCTTATGTATCACTTGTCATTAAAATTAACCTTATTTATTATAAATAAATAAATAAATATGTACGTCAACTTTTAATCGTCTATGCTGACCGTACAGTTATAAGCTTAAATGCGAGGGAACTGTCATCTATGATGACGGTCGATACGAGATTAACTTATCACATATTTTTTATACCACAAAGTGACAAATTATAATACCACATGGCTGATGGTGAACGGTCACTGTAGCCTATGGACGGCTGCAAGTCTAAGAGTGTTACGTGCGCGTCGCCGACCGTGAAAACACCTTAATAGGGCATATTAAGTTTTTTTTTAAAAATACTACACTGTAGTCTCTAAGGGAAACCTCGGAAGGGAGCTCGTTTCTTATTTTTCAACGTTCACGTAAGAAAAAACCGCAATGTACGCAACCATTTACATAGTTTCTAACGTGTGAAGAAAAATAAATATATATATATTTTTAATGTACTGATATTTGCGTACTCAGATGAAGGATATTTCGCAGACGAACATAATTTTAACTCATATACCCAATTACAAAGGCGGGTAATATGAAATACTTCTGCTTTTTTTACAACTTAGAATGGTTAAGCTTGGCTTAATAATAATAATAAATAAAATAAATAAACAAGCTAAAAGCCCACTTGATGGAAAGTAGTAACTATCGCCTATAGAAATGAGTAGTACTATGGACCTAACAGAGTATACTGTTTCGCCCATGGTACCCCCCATGCATTGCCATTCCTGAGGACTAAGATGTTATACCTCTGTACCCTATAAATTAACTGCCATATCCCACTCTTCAAACTGAAACACAGCCATGCAAATACAACTGCTTCACGGTTGAAACACGAGTGAAGACAGAGGTACGCAAGCAAACGACTCTTGTACAAAGCGTGCAACGATGTTTACGTTTTTTTTTTTTAATCTCTGTGTGTTAATTTACTTTTGGTACTAACTAGCGACATACACGAAACATACACAGCTTAATATCTGTCACGTGTCATAGATGGCTTTAAACCTCTAGATTATCGTTTAATTAATGAAAATTATTTATATTCTGTCTGCGCTATTTACGCTGGCAAAATGTGTGACATTTTTAATGTGTAGTGAAGTTATTTCAGTTTCACTGAAACAAATTTTCTAATTAGTAATTCAGTATAAAATATACTTAACAATTTATTTATTTAACTCTTCACAAAATTTAATGCATAATATCTTAAATTGATTGAGCAAATTCAAGTAAAATATAGTAATATATAACTAATGTAACCTAAAATGGCAAACAAAATGGCGGTCCACTAAATAATAAACAAGGAACTTATTTTACAATATGCACATGCATGTGATCTACAAATATTTGATCAAAAAGAAAAAAGTTTTTTTTTATAAATATATCCTATTTTTTTTTATATTAATAGATGTCACAGAGTATTGTTTTATATCCACAGAGTAAATAATTACTACGTTACAGTTGTGCCCATAATACAGTTTATGTCTATAGACGAAGATTTATTACGACTTTCCATTAGTCACGTAAAAAAAAATAGCTGTTTAATAACTTATACTCTAGTACTCTAATAATAGCGTTATATATTCTATCTTGTCCAGAACTGCTCAAATGTTTTAAAGTGAACTATTTCGAAGAGAAAACGCTGTTAACTCCGCTTAAATTGCATAGCACCAAGTTGATTAAAGGCATCGTCGTTAATATCCTGTTACAAAGGAATAAAATTTTATAACTACATATTTCCATGATCAATATCTGATCAAGTTCCTCGTCTATCATCGAAATAAATTCTAACCACAATGAATATATAGACGGTTTGGGAAGCTACTTCCTTTTGACATTTTTAACATTTTTTTTTTTATATACAACTTAGAATGGCAAACAAGCTGACGGCCCACCTGATGTAAAGTGGTAACCGTCGCCTATAGACATGAGCAGTACCATGGACATCACAGAGTATACTGTTTCGCCCATGATACCCCCCATGCGTTGCCATTCCTGAGGACCCAGGTGTTATTCCTCTGTACCCAGTAAACTCACGCCATATCCCACCCTTCAAACCGAAACACAGCCATGCAAACACAACTGTTTCACGGTTGAAACACGAATGGGACAGAGGTACCCAAGCAATCGACTTTTGTACAAAGTCTCCCTCTAGTTACTTATTATTACTTATGTAAAAAATTACCGTTTATTTTTAACCTAATATTATGCTACGTAATATTTTATGGACATAATAAAAATAAAAATATATTGAAATAAACATTTGTCTTTAATCAATATTATTCATATAAAAAATTTCAAGGACGGAATGTGATGATCATTTTTGTGTTCCATTATCATAGTTTATTTAATCCTACCTTATTTCTATATCTATCTAAATAAATGTTTCTGATGGAATATATTTAAATAGTTAAAGATAAAAAATTTCTTTGAGATCACTGCCAGCTGGTAGGGTACCTAGGAGACTTGCTACATTTCCACGCTGAATAGGTATGCGTTGACCAAAGTATAGGCCAGCCTTCTGGTCACCAGAGGTTTCTACCAGCCGGCGTGAAATCTCTTTGAAAAGATTCATGGCCTCGGGGCGCCACGGACCCAGAGTTTCAACTCCAAACGCCGTAAATATATATCCATTTCCAAGGGATGAATATTTACGGCGCTTGATAGTACGATAATCCACAATAAAAAAATCTTAGACATTAATGTATTCTTTAATCCTTTGACTACAGGTTTGTGAAGGTCTCAACATGCATCTGTCTTCCGTCCATTCAACTGATGAAGAACGCTTCATCGTATCAGGCATCAGACAAAGCAGCGATTACAGCGCTGGATCGATATACTGGCTCGGTGCTCATATAAAAGGAGGCGAGAATTTTACTTGGGTTGATGGAAGCGCTGTAATATACCAAGGCTGGGTGTCGTATAACGATACTGAAGAAGTAGAAGACTCATGTTTGGGTGTGCAGGTAAATTGTAACCGGCTATCTAAAAGAATTCTTTATCATGCTTACTAAAAACAACACAAGATCGAGTTTATAGACAACACCTCTCGCCATGGAGCTGGAGTTCACCCTCATTTCTTGAGTGTATGGGATAATACTACTATCCGTGCATCCCATTCATTTCTCCCTCGTACATCTAGGTTGTGGAATGAGCTCCCGCCTTCAATTTTTGCTTTACAATATAATATGGAGAATTTCAAAAAATGTGCCTGCAAACATTTAAAAGACTGGCATCGCGCAAGCAACTCCTCTCATGTTGCAAGTGTTCAAGGGCGACGGTAGCCGCTTTCCATCAGATGGACCGTCTGTTCGTTTGCCTGACAAAAAAAAACAAAACAAAAACTCATAGTAAACCCCATACCAATTTTTCTGTCCAATAAGACATCTTTATATGGGAAGAAATCCAACCCAATACAGGACATTGTATCCTCTTTCTTCGGTCTAAGTTTAATCTAAACTCAGTTTTTTTGCTGTTTCTGTTTCACCTTGCCCGATCTTGTGCATTTATCTCATACAAGGCATAAATTCAGTCTATCTTTAGTCACGAAATTTAGCCAGCTATACGATATTTTATTATAAGGAATTGCTTTGTGCAGTGGAAATCATCGCCAGTGCCCTCTCAGCCGAGCGGGTTGTATTGGACTCTCCATAAGTGTTCATCAACCGGAGGCTACGTGTGCAAGCGCCGGCTAAACCCTGAACACATCGTCAGGAACAGAACGGTGGAAGGGACATCAGGTGATATTGTATTGTGTATAAAATATCCTGTCGGAATAGAATTAGAATAATCCCATAATTAATTTATGGGATTATTAATAGAATTATCCCATTCTTTCCCGTGGATGTCGTAAAAGGCGACTAAGAAAACTTATTAATTCTGTGCCTCTAGTGAGAAAGGGTTCAATTCAAAATGGTCACTTTTCAGGAGAGCCAAAAAACTATTTTAAATAAAGAAAAAAAAATTCTGCTGCTTTATATATATTTGCTAATTGAACAAGTCAATGATTGTATTTATAGTAATTTTTTCTCCTCTTTCTTATGAAATTGTCGGTTTTTGTGTAAAACCTATAGTTTTAAAAATAATTCTATTATACCTAATCACACTTAAGAAAAATATTAAAATTATGATGTGAAAATAGTTTTAAGTTGAATTAAAACTATTTTATTGAAGAAAAACAATGTTGTGTATTTTACGCTATAAAAAATAATCGCTATTAAATGGTGTAAAAGGGTTCAAATCGAACTGATTCATTTTACAAAAATAATTTTTGTAAAATATTGTAGTTTTATTTCTAACTATGACTTTTTTACCACAAATATTTTGTTAATTGTAGCCGTTACATGTTTACTATCTCTATTGTTTTTAAAGATATCGTTACGATTCTTATACCATTCGAAAGAGAAAAATTTGCTTATTTAAAGTAGCCTAAAAAACGAAAAACCCCCCCTAACTTGCCGGATTATACCCTTTCTCACTTGTTCCCACAGAATTGAAGAATGAGCAGCAATGTTCTTAAAACGTAACTGCAGTTGCCAACCTGCACCTCTAGTGTGGTAACTACTGGAAAAACCCGCCGCCCTCCCCATAGGGAGGCCTATATTCAACAGTGGACAGTTAATGATTGATATGATGATGATGATGATGACGATGATGAATATAAAAAGACTCAGATAGCCATTATATATAATATATGAACTTCATTACGGCTATTAAAGAATATACTTGCAGATCATACAACCGACTCTATTATGCCACCAAGTAATCCTTACAAAGTTACAGTCGGAATTGTTTTTTTTTTATTTCTTATAATTATTTTATATCGCATACAGGTGTATTAAGCAGTCCGAATCATCCAAATCTATACGACAACGACCTGGACTATTGGGTGCACGTCATAGGTCCGGAAGACACCAGACTCGTTTTCATTTTCCGCGCCATAGACCTAGAGTACCAAAAAGACTGTCTGTACGATTTCATCGAGGTATGTTTTTTTGTAATTCATCTAATATTATTGTAGTACTAGTGACCCACCCTGGCTGCGCACAAGTAGATAGAAAATATAATATATAGCATATATTATATTATTCGCTGTAGTATATTGTAGCTTTCTATAAGTGACGGAATTTTTAAAATCGGTTAAGTAGTTTTTGAGTTTATTCATTATAAAAATCAAATCTTTCCTCTTTATAATATTAGTATATATGTAGAAGTAGGTACATACTTGCTACATTCTATGGTGTCGCTATGATCACCATAATGTCAGCCACATAATACTCATCGAGGTAAATGGTAACAACTTGTACTTGGTCCAAACTACCCAGTATCTAGCTACTAGAATATTTGAACATCGACGTTGCCTCTCTTAGTGCCTTCAATTTTTTTTATACCACTAAGGTGGCAAACAAGCATACGGCCCACCTGATGATAAGTGGTTTCGGAAGCCTATGGACATCTGCAATACCAGAGGTAATACGTGCGTTGCCGACCCTGAAGAAACCTCTTTACCCCCCTTTTGAAGAACCCTAGCTGTAATTTTTTGGGAAAACCTCGGCAGGGAGCTCATTCCATAGCCTGAGTGTTCCTGGGAGAAAACATGTCTGAAACCGCGCTGTATGTGACCATTTACGCTGTAGGATATGAGGATGAAGTCCCTATCGATGACGAAAAAAATAAAGGTTTTTTTTCCTATTGCTAACACGGTTTAAATAATCGAAGAACGTAATCGAAAATTACCATCGCGTTACACCATAGATTTTGGAAATTATAAGAATCAGATTTTCGTTTTTATATCTAATATACTATGAGTTTACCTATAGAGATTATAATTATTTTACTATATTTGTAATACCTAGCAACACTACTATATATTCTAGCTACGCGACGTAAGAAACAGCAAATCATCAAGGTACTGCGGATCGATGGGAGAGACTAGATGGGTGGCCGTCACAAATAAAGCTATTTTGCATTTCCACTCCGACTATAAGTAAGTACTCACAATGATACCATATGATAATGATACCATAATGAACTGGCCCTGGCCAGGATATTCTTTCTTCTTTTAGGATTTCTCAGGGTTCTGGTGTCCCAAGATTCGTTGTTTAGTTTCTTAAAACCCGGTACCTAGTTTATGTGAGTGTGTGTAAGGGAGGGAAAGAGAGAGAGTGCGTGCTTGCGTGCGTATGTGTGTGCATGTGTACATGCGTGCGTGTGTATGCGTGCGTGTGTATGTGTGCGTGTGTATGTGTGCGTGCGTATGTATATATCCGTGCCTTTGTGTGTGTATATGAATATAAATTATTATAAAGCTGTAGTTTACATTTTTATATTGCTGCTGTACCTTCATATATATACCTTTTCCTTTCCTACATTTTATATGTTCCTATGCCTATGTATTTTTCCCCGTTTTTTAATAATATATCATACTTTATATTAAATAAATGAATTATATATAACTAATGATCCAGTTCGGCTTTACATAAGTAGATAAAATTTTAGAAAATTATTACTCGCTAATAATGCATAGATTTAACAATTTTTAAAATTTGTTGAATACTTTTTGAAATTATCAATTACAAACAAACAAACAAATCTTTTCTCTTTATAGATTAGTATAAAGTATATGTATAGACTAGGACATTTTCATGGATTTCATTTCGTCTGACATTTCAGCACTCAAGCAGCTGGGTTCTCATTAATGTGGTACGCAGTAGAACTGCCCGGCTGTCCCACCCAAACCTTCACGTCTAAGGAGGGTGTGCTCCGCAGCCCGAACTATCCTCACTTCCTGCTGCCAGACTTGGATTGTACTATCGACATTCTTGCTCCCACAGGCAAGTTTTGTTTAATTTAACGTTAGTTATTTTGCACAACAACAAAACAATATTAAGAGGAGACTTTGTACAAAAGTCGTTTGCTTGAGCAGCTTTGAGCCATTTGTGTTTCTAACGTGAAGCAATTGTGTTTGCATGGCTGTGTTTCGGTTTAAAGGGTGGGATATGGTAGTGAATTTACAGGGTACAGAGGAATAACATCTGAGTCCTCGAAAATGGCAACGCATGGGGGTATCATGGGCGAAACAGTACACTTTGTTATGTCCATGGTACTGCTCATGTCTATAGGCGACGGTTACCACTTTCCATCAGGTGGGCCGTTAGCTTGTTTGCCATTGTAAGTTGTATAAAAAAAATGTTAAAATATTAATTTCATAAAATTTCCGTTTATATATAGATATTATTTTTAAAACTCATGTTCATTTTAACAATTGTTGAAGACAGGAAAAACACAGTGAGTTCATTAATTTCACGTCATAAATAATTTATGTATATAAATATTAGGCCTAATTACAATTCCTTTAAGATCATTCGAACATTTCTTTGATCTCTTCCAATCCATCTTTCAGGGAAACGTGTCTTCCTCAACATAAGCCATTTCGATTTCGGCTACGGAACATTCGTAAAAGGTGTTCCCATCAACGTGACAGACGCGATACCGGAGGAGTCGTTCCTAGAAGTGCAAGTGAACCCGCAGACTGTGCCTATCCGTCCATTTCTAAGCTCAAGCATCTTGACTAACGGACTATTCGTCTCCCACTCTGAAATGCTACGAATAAGAATCAGAACAGGTGAAAACGTAACGGGGGCTGGCTTTCTGGCGCATTTCAAAACTGGTAAGTGGTTTTACACAACTAATTGTAAAGTTAAATTTGTATAATTAAACTAATTTTTACAAAATTTGAATTTACAAAATTTGAATTTACAAAATTTGAATTTACAAAATTTGAATTTACAAAATTTGAATTTACAAAATTTGAATTTACAAAATTTGATATACAAAATTTAAATTTACAATATTTAAATTTACAATATTTAAATTTACATTATTTATATTTACAATATTTATATTTACAAAATATGCTTTAATAAACTTTAAAGAACTTGTACACCTAGTATTTTTTTATAGAATTTATAATGGCAAATGAGTTGACGGTTTATATTTTAGAAAATTATAGTCATCGCCTATGGATATAAACTTATAGTACTTATAGAGAAACATAATTACATTACTTGCATACCCCCACTCTAACTTGCCTACCTTGTTTTAAAATTGTAATTTTCGTTTATATAATTAAAATTCGTTGTTGGCTGTAATTGTAAGAGACTTAGCATGTAAGTTATTTTTTTTAAAGCTGCGGATTTTTTAATTAAATAAATAAATAATAACGCCCATTGTAAACCTCCTGCCAGGAATTATATTTCTTACACCAGACCTTTTTCGTACTTTTTTATTATGCTTTTATTCTAATATTTATTGACATTTGAATTTGTAAGTAAAATAGTTTGTAAATATTCTTGATCAAATTCTGTATTTGGAGGGAAATTTGTTCAAATTTTTGTAAATAAATTCTAACTGGCCAGTGTTTTATATATAAAAAAATTCACAAACTTTTCTATTTGACTTGATGTACTCTTTTTCCATTTTTATATAAATAAGGCGCGTAGCACGCACCGTGCTGTTGTGTGCGTACTGTTTTATATCACACTACGAAGTCAACCACACATCACCCCACTCTGCCGCGGGTAATTGCTCTGCGCGGTTTATAAAATTGTACCACGCTGAATAAAAACTATGGAGTGTTAATACGACGGCGTGGCATGTAATAATAAAGCTGGTTACCAGCTTTTCGTATGTATGTATGTGTGTGTATTCTGCGCAATTCTTTTCTCTATGCAGTAGGAGAGGAATACCACCAATAAATGCATTCCTAAAGAGGGTTGACGTCAGGCAAGCAGCCAATAGTAAAACTGGAAGCTAAACCTTTTATAATTTGGTGTAAGGGCAGGATGATGTTGATGTTGATGATGATGATGATGTGTGTGCGTGTGTGCGCGGCAGTGAGCTTCCTGAACGTGAGCCACGTGGTGGAGGTGGGCGCGGGCGCGGCGGGGCGCGTGGCGGCGCCCAACTGGCCGGCCGCCGCGCCGCCGCGCGCCCGCCTGCGCGCGCGCCTGCTCGCGCCGCACGCGCACACGCTCGCGCTCGCGCTGCACCGCGCCGCGCCCGCGCACACAGCGCACACAGCGCACACAGCGCACACAGCGCCCTGCGGACACGGCAACGGCTGGCTCGAGGTACACCCATCTCCGACTTGTTTCCATTATTTACAATATTATCTATGACCGTTAAAATATAGCCAGTGAAAACTAGTCGAAACATCGAGGAGACTTAAGTAAATTATCATATTTTACAATGTTCTAGAGAACTACTTAAAGGGGGACTACAACGACAAAGTACAAAGCGCCAGTGCGAGAGTAAGAAAATTAATCTCTGAACTGAGACGTTTGATCGCGTAGTAATGGAAAGTCAATATGAAGTATATTGATTTTGACTTTTGAATTGACTCCACGAAAATGCACATATCCAGCAGTGATACTTTAATGAATTGATAAGATAATGATAACGTAAAAACAACTATATTCAATTTATTCTCCACAGGAGACAAAGTATTACGAATAACCGAGCGTAAAGACCACAAGTGGTTCCGGCATAAGCCACCCCTTTCGTTTGTTGTGGGTATCGTAAGAAGCGAATAAAGGAACATAATGGTAGAGGGATGAGCTGCAATGTCCCTCTTAAAATATCTCTGAAAGCCTAATTGTGGTTTCCAACCCGCCTGCCTATAATAATGACTACTAGCAGAATTTCCTTTATACAGAAGGATTATATTCAGCAATGGGCAGTTAACGGCTGAAATGATAGAAGGCAATTACCAACAACATACTATATCTGATCAAATACCTCAGCTCCCCCAGGAAACTATTATAATTAATTCCCAACCAACTGGCCTGACTTCATCTTCACTTGTTATCGCTCACTAGCGCCATTTTATTCACATCTCAAGAAATATTATTCACCGCAGGTGAAAGACAGCTATACGGATAACAACGGCACTCAGTGGATCCTCTGCGAAGTGGAGCGGATCAAGCGCAAGATGGAACCGAGCGCGCCTCTTATCATCAATTCGTACCTTCACTCGCTGATAGTGACCCAATACTCGGGAGAGCAAGGGCTGAACATCGATATTTCACTGGTGGTCAATAAAGGTATTTACATCATAAAGTTGCAAGAAATTAATATTATGGAAATTTCTAAGGACTTCTTGCAAAACTTTAAAAACTTGATCAATTTAGATCGTGTCACTATAAATAGACCTGTTTTTTTCTAGCAGCAATTTTCAGGACTTAATCTGTAAAACGATCAAGTTTTGAGCGCTCATAAATATCCCTTGGAAAATTAAATCCCATCTTAAAATAGCATTTGCTTTGTATAACTGATCTTATTAAAAACAAAAAATTGTAACCTTAAAAATAATTTTATCTACATATACGAGTATACAAACCGTAACTGTCTTCTCTCCTTTGTTCCTTCTGAGGTCAACCACTCTAATTTTATTTATTTGACAACCAAATATATATTATATTTCAAGTAACTTACGGTCATGGTCAAATAATCTAGCTCTTGTCTTCCCATCAGATCCTGAATACCACAACAAGTTGCTGTTGCTTTCTGACGAGACAAGTGTGGAGGCATGCTACCCAAACCCCTGCGTGAACGGCGTCTGCGCATCTGATGATACCAGAAACTTCTGCCAGTGCTCCGGATACTACACAGGTGAGCTCACAATTACCTATTCCTACAGAAAATATAGTTCCCTGACAAGTTGTAATTTTTTTTTTATTGTTTATAATATAAAACTAACACGTATAGCAAAGTATCGTATTATCTAAATTTAAATGTGATCAAACATATCTGCCACGCCTGTCTCCCATTGAGTTAGACTGAAACAATGGAACACTAAATGCTCCAATAAAAACAGATCCATTTTCCTTCTTCCACATTCATCAATCTATTTATACACGCTCACCGATTACGAGTGCTTTTAATTTGGCCCATCTTCAGCACATCGTCTATTTAATCGACATACGTCCTTCTAGGGTGGCTCCTACTGCCATCTCCATACATTCGTGCTTGATAAATCTCTGTCGTAATTATTTTTTTATCGATCCTTTACATATGACCAAACCAACGTCGTTTTTCAAACTATACTTCTCTCTAATCGTGCAATTTCTCACATTTTAAAGTTACAATAGAATAAACAAACTCACATACATATATCCTAAAATTATTACACTCCTATTTTGGGTTATGGAGTAAAAATAAAAAAAAGTAAAATAAGAATGGTTGCGTGGGCCCGAACAGGCGTGTTCTGCGCGCTGACGGCGTGCGAGCGGGCGCCGTGCGTGTTCGGCAACTGCTCGCTGGCGGCGGACGGCGCGGGCTACGTGTGCGCGTGCGCGCGCGGCTGGCGCGGCCGGCGCTGCGCCGAGCGCGTGCGGCCGTGCGCCGCGCGGCCCTGCAACAACCGCGGCGCCTGCAGCGAGCGCGACGGCGGCTTCCTCTGCCAGTGCAACCCCTCCTGGAAGGGCAAGAGGTACCCTCGTCCTGTTGCACTTACTGTCCATCACTGCTGATCATGAGTTCCTTCAGGATCTGCAACGTTCACCTAACTAATCTTTGGCGTTGCAGTCGTCCATAATTCACCGTGACCATCTACCACCAGCCAGACTATATATAGCTTGTTAACTACCTATAATTGAGAAATATAATAATTATATGTATGTAAGAAACTAAAAAAAAATAAATCTTATATCCCGATTGAAACAACAGGTTCCATAAACACTTTGCAATATAGTATATTATATTAGTATTTTAAAATGATTACATAGAAATACATATAGGAGATACCATGAACGTGACAATGATTCGTAAATATCCGCAATGTTCATAGGGTATCTATAGACGGGGTTTAAGAATATCCATAAAGTGAACTTTTAACTTGTGAGCAGCCACTCCATGTCGTTTAAAAAAAAAGCAGCACGAACTCTTCCCCAGATGCGAGACCCCGAATCCTACTCCCAACATCGTGGGACTCGGGACACGAATGCTTCAAGAACCTTTTTGGCTGGGCCTGATCACGGTTTTCGTGGTGCTCGGCATGATCGGTCTCATCTGGTGTGCCAAGCGACATTTCCCAGAGAAGATTGAGAAATTACTCGCGGAGGAAGCGGATCGCTGTGCAAGACGTGAGTCCACCAATACTACTCTCTCGGAGGGCAAATCTTTAGGCTTACTTCAAAATATACTTGCTCTACCAATCCGTTTGTTTGGAACTATAACCAGCACTGTCAGCGAGCTTGTCACGATCACGTATCTAAATACACGATTTTTGTAATAGAACAATGAAGAATATAACTTTGTAATGTAACTTTGTAAATTCACAGTAACGATACGCTTTCTTCTATAATATATTTATCAGAATTTTATGCTATACTCATGTATTTTCTTGATAAACGCACTGTCTTTGGGATGGTAAGGACACGTTTTGCGTATCTACTTTTTTCTCTAATTGTTTCTATATGTTTACCGACGAGTTCAGAAACGATTTCGTTGTTAGCTTGTCGAATATGTATTTACCGTTCGAGTTCTGCATGTATAGCTTAGACATTTTCTTATAGGAGCATCTCTAGTTTCTGGACTTCGTACAGTGCACAATTCTTTTAACTCGGTTCCAGAGGTGTACAAAATTATTCCTATGTAACGATTAGGTTACTAGTACGAAATAAGGATACATTTAGTAGCATATCCCGTGTTACAGATCCTCGTATGAAATTGGCTGAAGTAGGTCTTACATGTAAGTCCAAGTTAAAGTAATTGTGTAATACTCGAGACGAGAGAGGACTGTCAGAGACGCCTGGACATCTCCGTACTTTTGCGAACCGACGTACTTTATCGAAGCGTATCCGCATTTTCGTATCTCTCGCAAACGGGAGATTACATGTCCAAAAATCTGGCAATCCTGTGTGTGTGGGGGCTAGCGACGCGGGCCGGGCGGCAGCGGTACGCCGCCGTGCCGCAGGCGGAGCGCTAGCGGCGGCGGCGGCGGCGCGGCGGCGCGGCGGGCGCGGCGCTCGTTGACGCGGCGTTTGTCCACAGCGGCGGCGCTGCGCGGCGGCGGCGAGGCGGCGCCGCACCGCACGCTGCTGACGCGGCTGGGTATCCGCAAGCCGTCGGTGCCGGGGCTCGCGGCGCACCCGCGGGCCGCGCGCACCTTTAGCTTGGACGATCTGTTAAAGCCGCCGCCCGGACGTAAGGACTGGAGCGACACGCCGCAGCACCGCGCCCTCCGCACGCGCGCGCCTCCACTCATTGTCGTCTTACGATTCGTTTCGTTCAACCTTATCGCATATTTTTATTTTGTATACTGGTTTATTTATTTTTCATACTATCGGTTTCCATATCGACAGTAGATACTTTGTGTTGTTTATACTTATCAGGTTTTTCCAGTACATTCATTGTCATAACTTTATCAGCTTTCGATCGAATCATTATTACCTTTGTTTGCAAACGTATCGAGTGATTCGCAAACATTTTGGCGTGCGTGTGCGGAGCGCGCGGCTCCCGACCGGCCGTGAGCACTGGATGTGTCCCGCTACTGAATGACACTCGATGTGGAATGCTATCTAACACTTAACTGAACACTGGACGAATCGGTCTCGCTACTTCCTTCTTCGATATCAGTGTGTGCACCCTTGACTATGCACAGAGCATCTCGATGTAGCCGCTCCTTCCTTCGTTTACACCTTTTTAGATCGTCCAACTATCTATATTCCAGCTTTCACACTGTTAACAAACTTAACACTTTACAACATCTTTAACGTCTAACAATCCTAACCTTCTCGTTTAACACAGTAACAACAGTTTAAAGGCTGGAATCCTATCTTTCGAATGTGTGCTTTAGCATGATCTTTTGGACATTGTTTTGCATTTGCTTTCGAAATACTTTACATATAAAAACATCTATAAAAAATCTATAAAGTCACAACATACTTAGCAAAACACTGTCCTTTGCCTAACTTAACGATGTAATTGTAGAAACAATGTGCTTTCTTTCTTGAAAGCTTTTTGTTATATGCTTGACAATGTGTCTTAATATCTATATTATTCTTATTAAATGGTAGATCAATATTTTGAACATTGACACTTAAAACAACCTAGATACTTAACATAGTATACCATCCAGAGGTTGTAAATTGGCACATTTATCAAAAATTTTCAATGTTTTACATACTGGCACTCCTAAAGAATTGGCTTCCTTTAGCTTTTCTATAACCAAGGCATGATTATGATCTCTATTATATAGATGTTCCTAACTATTTAATAACTGTTTTTAAGAAATGTTTTCTGAATATTGTGCAGCTTTTATCAGGAATGAATTTTTATGTTGTAATCAAATGCTTCTATAGACCAATGTTGACTAGTAATAATTTGTATATGTGAGATATTTTTAACAGGAACACCATCACCACGGAAAAAACGCAACAATTCCACTCCGACAAAAAAGAATGCAGCCGAAAAAAAACAAATATTGCAACAACTAATAAGTCCTGCTTCCGGCAACGACCACTCGAAAAAGATTACTATGGGAGAACTTATACAGATGTCCGAGAAAAGGACACTGAGCACAGTGGAAAGCGCACCAGCTTTTGTGGATTATTGTGACAATAAAGAGACATCATTTGCCAGTGAAGCATCTACACCTTCCACATCGCCTTCAATGAGGCATATATCAGATCCTAAATTGGAAAAGAAAGTCACTTTTGCTAGACTTCTTAATAAGGTTTCAGCAGAAATGAGTTCTAGTTCAGACGTAGATATGGTAAACACTATTGCTATTCCAATGGCCGTGATAGCCGATAGAAGTTTAAAAGCAAAGGCATCTAGCACTCCCCCTTCTCCAGGCGCTGAAGTCAGATCACCTCACAGCACTTCTAGTAATCAAGGAAGTGATTCAATGTCCAGTCTTGATCTAACATTGGCACATACTGCTTTAAGGAAATATTCCAGGTCAGTAATTATTACAAAAAAATAAATTAAAATATTTTCGTTTGAACTATATTTTTACAATACACATCTCATATTTAACAATTGTAATTTACAGGCAACCAAAAATATCAAGTGCAGATTCAATTTTAGCTATGTTCCGTAACTTCTCATCGTCATCAGCGGCTATAGTATCTCGGGCGTCGTCTGGTGGAATATCAGCTTCTAGCACTCCATCGGCGTCATCTCCGCAAGATGACACAGCAGATGCAGATGATATTTCCTTAGCTTCCTCTCACATACCGTCTCTTGCACCTGATTCACCGGTAACAAGACCGCATAATACTATTGAAATACAGGTAATTGAATAACCTATAAACTCTATATTTTTATTGTTTATTTTTAAACTTATACACAATTGTTTCTGTCTCAGGTGCTAGACCCTCTTAGTGCACATAAATCATCATCTTCTGGTAGCAATCTTCTTCATCCCCCGTCTATTCTACTGGAAGTTCCAAGTGGTATCAACAAATGCCTATCGCCTATACGAGAACTACCTACTCCATTACCGACCCCTCTGCCTACACCGTTGCCTACCCCACTCCCTTCTCCTCGCATGCCAAGAGCAAATATGGAACCAGATACGAAAAGCGAATCGACTACTACATGTGTGTCACCAAGTGAAGATGAATTGGATGAGATTAGATATGAGTCAAAACCTGAAAGGTCCATTACGGGATTGAGATTAAGGGTGAGTCAAAGTAGACAAATCCTCACAGTTTTTATTTGATGTACTAACGTTTGTGTTTATTTTCAGTTACGTCAACCTGTTACGAGCACGGACACTCCAACACCATCGACTCTAGTAACGGATTCTCCAAGTCCCAGCTTTACTCACAGTCAGGATTCGGAACGGGAAATGTCATCTCCATCTCCTGCGCCTCCTGTTTTAAGAGTTCCAGTTCTTACTATAGAAAGGCCTTCTCCTGGTTCCCCTCCACCTAGACGCACTCCTCCTCATATAGAATTCCAACCTCCACCCTTAATAACAGTTACTTATAATGCAAGCGAGGAATCTGATGAGCCAATGTCACCTAGACCTCCACAACCCAGTGGAAATATGTGTTACTTGAGCCCTTTTTCGATGTCCGCACGAGGAGAGAGAGCTCCATCAGAATCCAATTTGTCCTCCTCTGGCTATAGTTCCATGGCAAGTCCAGGTCCATCGAGATGTGGATCTAGTAATCCTTTGTGTCCTTCGGAGATGGAAGACCCGGGTTCTGGAGGAGGTCCGTCTTGTTTTCAATCGAGACGACGACCATTAATGAAAACCAATTCAGGTCCAGCAACCTCTAACGATGATACGAAAGAAAGAAGACGAGGACGATCTGATTCGGAAACTTTGTCAGACGATCCTTTATTGGAATCCAATGATGAGGGTATAGGGACAGATGAGAGGGTAGACGATGTTCCAACAAGTGCAAAAGAATTAGAAACTATGGTTGTTTTGAAAGAAACTTTAGACTTGCCTCAAACTACATTATGCTCTCCTAGTGGAGTAACCAAATGTTCCATTGTGAAGTGCATTAGTGTTGAGAGGGGATTGGACGAAAAAATTTGTCTAAGACCTCCAACATTGCTTTCGGATTGCAGTCGACCGTTAAGTCCGGTGAGTTCGAGAAGTGAAAGTCCTCTAAGTGACAAAACTGGACTGGGGAGATTCTCACCGCAATTTTATGGTCGACAGCTCCCCTTTACGGATTCCGATGGCCTATACGACTTCCCTAGTTCAGAGTGCGTTCGAGGAAGTGCCTGCAAATCAGGGAGCAACGTTCAGAAGAAGACTGGAAGGAAGAGAGACAGGAGAACGACGAGAACCGCGTCTCATGAAGTAACCGGTACAGCCAAATCATCTTTACCACATATGCCGCATTCTATGCACAATTTATTAGAGGTAAGATATTTTTATTTTTGAAAACAAAAGACGAAAAATATAACTTTAACCAAAGAGACTATGTCGTCAGCATAAGTACATTTGTTCCATTCGTGTTTCTGATGACAAATAGCTTTGCATGCATGGTTATGTTTCTGTTTAAAAGAAGAAGATAGAAAAATTATAGGGTACGGAGGCATAACATCATAGTGTTCAGAAATGGTATAGTGCTGTACATGTCTATAATCGATAGCTAGTGAACCGTCAACTACTTTGCCATTCACAATCTATACAAGAGTGACTCTTTATTCTCTTAAAAATATGAAAATCTACCTAATGGCATTCCAGGTGCCAGGATGTCGAGAAACGAGTTCACGAGGCCGTAAAGGCGGTCGTCGACGGTCGCGCTCTCAAGCACCTGCTCCAGCTTCCTCTTCATCTTCTGAAGACTCAGTATCCAACGCTTCCGTTGCATCTGTAGCTTCAGCGAGAGAACTTCGCTTACCTGACTTAGACATGCAGGTAAATATGACCTTTGGATACCATTTTATTACGTGTGAAAGAATTATATCTCAATACCACTCTAACACAGCTCAGTTTGAAATATCTTAGAAATATTTCTTTTAAAAATTCTATCGTTAAGCAACAACAAACAACATCAACCATTTTTTAAAATTTAACTAAAATAATTTTATTTCACTATTTTCGTGTGGCAACATTAACACTCAATACTAATGTTTAATTTTGCACTATTGGATATTGTTTGCTTTGCACACTTGCTGTGTTATATTTTGTGCTTATTATCTATAGTTTGGCTTAGGTGTAGACTATATTATTATTTTCAGCATTGTGAGCCGACTCGTTTGAGGAAACCGCTCAGAAGACAAAAGTGCCGTAGTTCTGAGGTGACTGGTGTTGGAGAATCTGTTTCATTCATGACTCTATGATCTATATACGTCATACAGGACTACATTCGAGATTTAAACATATTTCATTTTTAATTTTTTTTTCTCGATAATAGACAAAGAACCATTTCAAATTTTGAACAGTTTATAGCAGCCATATTTGTTTTACATTCTCATCATGTAACATATAACTGTCCACAGTTAAGAGTAATCAAAGGATGAAATAATATGATACATAGTTTTCTAAACCGTTTAGACTGTGTTTTGTGACAAAAGATCAAACATCTATACGAGTACATTGCATACATGCACCTAATAGAATTACTCTGCATCGGCAATCAGATAAAAATGTTTCTTCTTGAAATAATTTCAATTGGTTTTTCGTAAACTATACGAAACATAATAAATCTAATAGCTTAATTATATACATCTTTAATTCAATATCCATTTCTTCTGAATGTAATCCTGTATATCAATGTTTTAATGTTAGCATTGTGCGTGTATTGTGACCGACTGCGTATGACTACGTATACGAGTGCAGTAACATTGGTAGACACATACTTCAGAAGCGTAGACAATATATATATATATATATATATATATATATATATATATATATATATATATATATATATATATATATATATATATATATATATATATATATATATATATATATATATATATATAATATTTACATATATAATGATGTCTATATACTTACGGGAAACTAATGAACTGGCTGTGTTTTTTATGTCATTTTCGACAATTGTTTCTATATTATCCGAAAGTCTTCTTCAGGGGGCGTTTAGCGTTTCACAACGTCCCGCCAAGTACAATGGTTTATTAATTTCCCATATGTATATGGGCATTGAACAAAAATGGGCATAAATTTTAAACACAATACTACGTATATATCATAGATAATCACATTAATTAGATTCGTTCCAGTTGTACCATCGAATGTTGGAGTCTGTAGATTAGTTTGCTGTTCTCTGTAATTAAGATATGCACGGTTGTTAAATAAACGATTGTACAGTTGTCGAGTAGAATAAGAAACGACAGTAGTAGTATTGTGGTCGATTCTGAGGCACTAATTTCTCTATCCCTTCCCAATATATATATATATATATATATATATATATATATATATATATATATATATATATATATATAAGGTAGCAAACAAGCACACAGCCCACCTGAGTAAGCGGTTACTGTAGCCTATGAACACCTGCAATACCAGGCGCATTATGCGCGCGTTGCCGATCCTGAAGAAACCTCTTTATCCCTTTTTTGAAGAACCCCATACTGTAATCTTTTGGAAAAACCTCGACAGGGATTGCATAACCTGAGCGTTCGTGGGAAGATTTAAATTAAATTCTAAATAAATGAATGGAAGAATTAAACTTCTGATAGATTTAAGTAAATATTATTATCAATTTATTTTATGACAGTTCAAACAGTAATTTTGCGAAATTTTCAATTAAAATCTAAGGTCAAACCTGTTAAAGAAACGGCGTCTCAGGAACGACCCTATTAAATCCAACCATAGTTATAAGCTATATAGCTACCTATTATTATTAGTAACTTATATTATACATATATACAAAGTAAAATTGGTATCATTGTAATTTTATTTATGAAATTTTTTTAATTATTTATTATAAAAATATACGGTACAAAAAGCAGACATAATGCTACACATCATTCTCTCCCAATCGATCTTTATGACAACAAAAACCATCATTTTAAGGGAGTGTTCTATCAAGAAAACATAAGTCGAAAAATGACACTAAAAATTTTCACATAAAAACAACCATTTAAAAAAATATTTTCCTAATTTGAATGACAAAATACTGTTGATATAGTTGCTCAGTAGGATGCGATACATCGGAAACGAACTTAGGTATTCATCATTATATAGATTGTTTAGAAATAAAATTATTAAAAATTAGACGCATGCTAGGTAAAGTAGCGTCGTGGAAATGGATTCTAAGCCTCTGCAAAACCTTATCACTGTGAATCGATATTTGTTTGATTATTTTTGTAATGGGGTGTGGAACGCGAATCATACGAGATTTCAATACCATTTAAATTCTTGTTGTTATTCAAGAATAGTTTTATTAATATGATTGCTGTTTTTAATGATTTTTCTAGAATAAATATAATAATTCAGATCTGAATACAACTAAGTAACTACCTTAAATTTCTTTGTAATAATTTACATAACAAAAGCACAAGAACAAAAACTAAGTTATTTATTTGTACGGAAAAACTAAAATATAATATAAATTTTCATTTATATTTTAATGTGATAACTATCGGTTTACATACATGTAATAAAAGGTCTGACGCATCACAGCCGTTCAAGATTAAGGGTCCGGAATAGTCCCGAAACTAATCGAACTTTCTCGATCTAATTGCACGTAAGTTAAACCGGTATTTGTTACATTAAAATATAGAATATTCTAACGGAACTTTTTAAAAATAAAAATAAAAAATGTTAAAAATAAAATCTTCATTTGATTTTATTTTAGACTGTCCGTCTGTAAATCCGCGTCCACATTATTCTGTCGCAAAATTTAAATTCTAAATATTACTAAATAAAATCGCTTCGCAATAATTATATCCGCTTTGCTATATGTGCAAAAGCCTTTAGTGACAAGGTTTAGTAAGGTCGGAAACAAATTTCCACGATTGTACAGTGTTTAGTTAATTATCGTAATATAAAATTTCAGGATACGTCCTCGAAAATTTCTTCGAGTTTGGACCTGACCGAGGACTCTAGGAAACCAGTCAAGATCAATAAGCTGAGAACTATTAGTAATCAGATAAGGTACATTGCAATTTATATATTTATAAATCTGTCGTTTGCTTGGACACCTCTGTCCCATTCGTCTTTCTACCGTGAAGCAGTTGTGTTTGCATGGCTGTGTTTCGGTTTGAAGGGTGGGATATGGCGTGAATTTACTGGGTACCGAGGAATAACACCTGAGTCCTCAGGAATAGCAATGTATGGGGGGTATCATGGGCGATACGTGCCAGGACTACACGGTTCAAGATTTTTTTATACAACTTAGAATGGCAAACAAGGTGACGGCCCACCTGATGTAAAGTGGTAACCGTCGCCTATAGACATGAGCAGTACCATGGACATAACAGAGTATACTGTTTCGCCCATGATACCACCCATGCGTTGCCATTCCTGAGGACTCAGGTGTTATTCCTCTGTACCCAGTAAATTCACGCCATATCCCACCTTTCAAACCGAAACACAGCCATGCAAACACAACTGCTTCACGGTAGAAACACGAATGGGACAAAGGTGTCCAAGCAATCGACTTTTGTACAAACTATTAAGATTTAATTTGTATTAAGATTGCTGTGGTGTTCCTTATATAAAATATATATTTTAAAACAATGAAGATTCGTTTAATTAATAGTGTTGATAAAAAGGCTTTATAAAGCATTTGAATCATATGGGCACATATATTTTCACTTATAATTCCAATATCTCCCCGTACACTGTATAAGGGGGAAAGGGACTGTTAGTAATGGAGACTGAGAATTCCATTGCTAGCAATATACCCAACCAGGTCGACCTCCTCGCGGTTCCCCCTGGAAACTATCATGGTTAATTCCTGATGAATTCATCATGATGGGCTAACTGGCCTGTTTTCATTCTCATCTATCACCCTTCACTGGTGCTCCGCCAGCGTATCCCGTTAGCGCAGGCGGTGTTACCATACCATTTTCACCCATATAACTAGGTATAATAACATTTTATATCACTGCCAGATTCCTTCGACGTCTGGAACGCAGTCTGAAAATGAAGGAGAGCTACCCAGCGCTGTCTGACGACGAGGGCGACGAATCTTCCAGCGTTACCTCCCCTCTTCTCCAGGGAAGAAAGGACCTAAACCGAGTGCCCACCCACGCGATATCCGCCCCACTGCTAGGCGCCGTAAGACCCAAAATCACTAGGCAGCGACGTTACGATAGATCACTTTTGAGTGAAGACACGAGAACTTTAAACGCAGTTATTGGACATGACAATTCTGATTGACAGAGACTTCGTAGAAAATTAAAGGTAACTATGAACTCGGGACGAATTTGTAATTTAGCAAAGCTCAGTTAATTAAAAAAACTTATTTACGTTATCATAACCGGTTTAATAAATTAACAGAATTACAAAAATTGTGGCGGGAAACAGACTTTAATGGCCGTAAACGGTTGCAATCTTTTAAATAGTTAATAAAATGCTGAGTTTTTAGAACGTAAGTGACCACCATTATTCAGAATTCGTGATTTCATTAGCAGTGCAGTTGTCAAGTTGTTAATAGTGCACTTTAATAGGTATGCCACTAACGATCAAATTCGTTTGACACAAAAACGTAACTCGCTGTCATTTCACAAAGAAATGTCGCAGTCAAGTAACAGATATAGGTTTACTAGATAGTTTCCACACTTTGACAACTGTCATGTTATTGTTAATTATACAAGATTCTAATCTAATGTGATATAATATAAAATAAGGGACATGAAACCGTAGCAATGTTGATTTTTTAATAGAAGTTGGTGTTATTTAGATTTAGCGTACCTACGTACATATGCATAGAGTGAGTGTTTTAATTTCTTTATGTTCCACTTTTGATGTCTCGAACTACCTATTACGTATGCTTGGAACTGTAAATATTTTTTTCTAATAGCAATAACTTGTTTGTAGTGACGTATGTTTTACTGTAGCTAATGAACGGTAGTATAAATAATTAGACCACGTGTTTCTATGAGGCTATTTATTTTATTTAGAGATTTGATTTTTTCCTTACCTTCCATTTGTATCTAATATTTCCCATTACAATAGGTATCTATCTACATAACATTGTTTTGCCTTAAATTTACTTTAACTACTATGTAAATATGCTTTTATGTATTATGTAAATATAATTAACGTATTGCTCAAATGCATATTTTGTGAAATCGTTTTTTGCGCACTTTTTGCTATTTTGTAAATAAATAAAAAAAAAAAGTAATTTATTATTGTAAATAATGGAACTCGAGAGAGACTCCTTTTTCGTGAAAATGTTAATAATAATTAATTGTAAATGTTTTATGTATAAGAGTAAAAACAAAATGAAAGGCCCAAAAAAATCGGTATACCAAATGCACAATTATTACTTATATACAATCATATATATGAATTTAAGCACCCATATGTTAAGATATACGTATGTTAAACAATATTATCTTATTATACCTGACGCACCAATAGTATAGATACTGCAACATCGTTTAGATAAAACCGTATCTTAAATAATCCTTATATATAGTATTAATCGGGTTATTTGTCTAATATTGTAAACTGTGTCCTATATACATTTCTTTTTCAACTTATTCCGCGCATCAATGTGAAACCTATAAAAAACACTATCAAAGCCACACTCCTCATCAAATTCCTATATTCACTTTATCAGACGCTGATATTATAAGTCTTGCAAAGTTAATTACAAATACACTTATATTATATATAACAAACACATTTTTGCATTTTAGAACATACCTCCTTAACTGTTTAATTATTGTGTTTATTATATTTACCTACGTATATGTAAAACAGCAGGTACTGTAAAATGCATGTTATTTTAATTTCTAAATCTAGATATCTTACACTTGTAATGCTACCTACCTTGTATGATTAAAAAAAATGTTGCCATTTTTTGTTCTTATACCAAACCCATTAAACCATTTAGCTGTAAACATGGCGCATCCAGCAATAATTTTATGTGATTCGACTGTTCAAAGACTGACATTAACTTTGTGTGCACGAACCAAACGTATTCGCTTTTATTTTATTTCTATATACATATTCTATCGTCGTACATACTAATGGTATCTCTTTAGATTAAGTCAATCAATGTATCGATGTAACGACTATTTCTTTTACATGTATATTTTAATAATCCATTGTCAATATAAAATCGTACATTACTGATACTTTTTAGAAAGTGCATTTTTGCAATATGTCTACAACATTTTATTTTATGATTATAATATGAACGTGTATTGGGTTATTTTTTAATAGGTGAAAATGGCATGGTAACCCTGCCCGCGCTATCGGTGTACACTGACGTGCTACCAGTAAGAACGTGTATTGGGTTATTTTTTAATGAGTGAAAACAGCATGGTAACCCTGCCCGCGCTATCGGTGTACACTGACGGGCTACCAGTAAGAACGTGTATTGGGTTATTTTTTTAATGAGTGAAAACAACATGGTAACCCTGCCCGCGCTATCGGTATACACTGACGGGCTACCAGTAAGAACGTGTATTGGGTTATTTTTTAATGGGTGAAAACAGCATGGTAACCCTTCCCGCGCTATTGGTATACACTGATGAGCTACCAGTAAGAACGTGTATTGGGTTATATTTTAATGGGTGAAAACAGCATGGTAACCCTGCCCGCGCTATCGGTATACACTGACGGGTTACCAGTGAGAGCGTGTATTGGGTTATTTTTTAATGGGTGAAAACAGCATGATAACCCTGCCCGCGCTATCGGTGTACACTGACGTGCTACCAGTAAGAACGTGTATTGGGTTATTTTTTAATGGGTAAAAATGGCATGGTAATCCTGCCCGCGCTATCGGTATACACTAACGGGTTACCAGTGAGAGCGTGTATTGGGTTATTTTTTAATGGGTAAAAATAGCATGGTAACCTTGCCCGCGCTATCGGTATACACTGACGGGCTACCAGTAAGAACGTGTATTGGGTTATTTTTTAATGGGTGAAAACAGCATGGTAACCTTGCCCGCGTTATCGGTATACACTGACGGGCTACCAGTAAGAACGTGTATTGGGTTATTTTTTAATGGGTGAAAACAGCATGGTAACCTTGCCCGCGTTATCGGTATACACTGACGGGTTACCAGTGAGAGCGTGTATTGGGTTGGACCATACCATTTGAATTACACTGTTCAACGTATAATGGTATTATTACACTATCAAATATATTAAATCCCAAATTTGTTTATGAAACACAAATAATGAATGGAACGTAGTTAATTCTTGAACTATATATAAGTACAAGATCTATTGTACTGATACTGAATGAAAATTTATAATCAATTAAATTTATATATTTATTAATTTAGTATATACTATGTATGGTTATTTATATATGTATTGTATGTGATTTATGGGTGTATATTTTTTGTAAGTATATTATTCTATATGTTTGTATGTTTATTTATCATAAATTGTTGTCTCTTAAAATATTTATTTATATTTGCTGTTTTCTTAAATCCGTGCACCGCCATTTGCTCTCTCTATTTGGCGTGGCGGTTGACTGGTAGAGAATGCTATCAGGCATTAAGTCCGCCCTGTAGACATTTTTCAATGTGTGCAAAAGTATAAATAAATAAATAAATAAATAATTGAAATATTAAAATATTTATTTAAATTTCTTAAAATCTTTATTATTTATTTGAAAGTGTAATAAACCGTTACGTGTGGACAAGCGCCCAGTAGGTATTTCAACAAAGAATTTATTGTAGCGTCATTCACCTGAAAAAGTCATCTTACTCAAGATATTTACTAGATATTATAATAATAATAAACATAAAATGCACTCTCAATATTTATTTATCTGGGCTGTCTTACGAATATATATATATATATATATATATATATATATATATATAACTATATATTAGTGTATCCTGCCGTTATCTTATCGTATTCATTGCTTAAGACGCGTCGTCGGTATAAAATAGTGTTAACTTGATAAATTATTAAAACCAATGGCCTGTTCATTGAGACTGATTTTCTAAAACTTAACTCTTAAAATGTTGCTTAACACGTTTCCTGCTCGATCGATGTCTCTTACAATTGTTGTCTTGTTTAACTATAGACATATTATCTATTACAGTCAACAATCTATGCTTTAATATATATTTTTGTCGATCAGCATGGTATTCACTTTGAAAGGATCGTACAGCAATGGATACTTACAATGTCTCGTACTTTCTGAAGTCCTATTCACAAAGAGGTAGTGTTATGGAAGATTTAAGAAAAGACTATAAAAATAAAAAAAAAATTGTCTAATATTGTAGGTATTTCTATATTTTGTAACTATTTCAATTATTTTCAATAATTCTTTCTTTGCACAGCAGCAATACGTAAGTTACATAAAAAGGAATAAATATATAAAATTTAAAAGTGAGTTTAAAAAATTTATTCATGGAGAAGTCAAGGATCTATGGGTACTAAGTCTGACCTAAAGACTTTACTTTTTACCTATCTATTATTAATTGACTACAAAAAAGAATCTCGATTTAGTAACAATATTGTATGCAAATGATATCAATAAGAAAAGTAACTAAAAAATAATTATATAAATCTATTCATAATTAGCAAAAATATTACATAATACAAAAAAAAAAATACCGCGAACATAAAAAAAATGTGAATTGAAAACCTCCGTTTAGGAATTGCTGTTTTTTTTTTAAACAATATACATACGTGACACTACCTCTTTGTACATAGGAAATTTCTATTGCACCTATTTAGTATACAAATATAGTCATACAATTCAATAGGGAAGCTTACCAGGCTGTACGACGGTGGTGCTATCTATCGTGTTACAACATAAACGAAATACGCAAATGATCTTCAGATTAATTACTATATACTCAGAAAGGGTCTTTGGAAGTCTACTCATTAATTCGTCCAAAATAGACAGGCAAAGAGCATGGCCCATACAGCCTAGTCATGTCATGACTCTAAGAAATCGATAATGGCGGGAAAGTAATTTTTTTAAGATTTTGAGTTCCCGCCTGTCACTACAGACTAAAGCATGAAGTCTGTTTACGTTATAACACAAAAGCGCCCCTATCGGAATAAATTGGCTGTAAACTTCCCTATAAAAGTCACAAACTTGCAGCGAAGTGACAATATGTTATCTCTAGATGTGTACAGTTACGGACATATAAAATGAATTTAAAAAATATTAGGAACATCGTGAGAGCACCCAATTACGATAAGCAATACATAAGGAAACTGTAATAATATTAATAAAATGTAAAATAAATCAAATGGCGGATAACAAAATACTGTGATTGAAGTGTGTGGCTCAATTTCTTGTGCTGGTTACAATTAATATAAATTGTCTTTCTCGTGCAAAAAAAAAAAAATATTACATGTTTTTTCTTTAATCGGAAACTTTATGCATGTCTTTGGACAGCAGCTGTTTGTCTATGGCTAAACTATTCGTGCTATGAAAAAATAAATATCGCTTTCAGATACATCGTTTAGAAACTTACCTTCATGTTCCTTCATCATCACCAGGACAAACTTCACGCTCACTAAAATCATGGTTAATTCCTAGTAATTTCTTCATGATGAACCGACCTAATTGCGAGCTAACATCTTTCTTAGAAGACCTTGAGTCTTAATTGTGACGACATGAGCATTAACCAAACAGTTGCTGTACAAAGCATAATTTTTTTTTTCTATTTTTCGTGTAAGCGGTTAACCCGTGCGTCTAAACGTATGCGATGTACAGACCCGTATCGCACTGGCACAATATCCGTTCAAAACTTTGCAGTTAAGATCTCAGCGTGCAGAAGGGTTACAATCTATTTAAATAACGAAAACTAATGATCAGGTCCCGATTTAGGGGGACGCCATCAGGCAAATGTCTAGAACAGAATGGGCAAACCGATTTCACTACAAGTTAACATAGTCATTCATTACTAAAGGCGACAAATATTTTTGCCCGGAACTGCAAAAAAGCTACATCGGGCATTATTTATTCATAGCTTGTTAGATTGGTAGCAGCAACACGTGGTAGTTAAAGTTTTGGCCGGTATTAGAGTCCTGAAGATAAAAAGTCCCATACTGTCCTGCTATAGTATAACCTGAGTACATACGACCCTTTTAAAAGAACGCATTGATCTTATCAAAGTTTGGAAAAAGTAGAATGACAAGTAGAGGTAGAAATGAAAGTTTAGGTATGCTTAATTAGATGCTTCTTTTACAACACTGCAATGCGACGACTTAGTGCAATTATCTGCTGTGTGCAGAACTGGCCTTAGTTATTATTTGCCCAGAGGCATCAGGTAAGCTAAGACCGGCCCTGGTGGAAGAATATCCTTAACCTTCGCGCAACGTTCTAATCTATGATCTATCTTTTAAACTGTTTCTATATTTCAAAACTATGTACACATACTTTTGACACATAGCAAATTATTGGAAGATGATTAGATATAGTCTCTGCAATGGAAAAACTTTTTTGTAATAAACAAGGGTGGTATAAAAGAAATGTATTGGAACAAAATTTTATCCATATAATATTGTACAAAAAATATATAATTTTACATCCAGCAAGGTCTTAGTTTTTTAATAATTAAAAAATAAAAGGTAATTTATTGGTGACCCCATTTTTCTCATAAACAGTTGCAATGCAATTTAAGTCGAGCGAGTGTAGTGTAAGAAATTTTTTTTTAATCATTGTATAAATCTAATCTAATTTTGTATTTTATTTGAAAAATCAGGTTTTTTTTTTACTGATGTGTAAAGGCCCCATCAAATTTTCCAGCATTTGTCACAGGCCTCAAATGGTATAGTTACACATGCTTTTGACACATAGCAGGAAGATATACTAGTTTACGTCAGGAATGAAAAAAGGAGGGAATTACACAGATTTGAGGCCAGTGGTAAATTCATCGGATGAGGCCCTCCCTTTATCTATCTATTGTAGTTTTATTTTGAACCAGAGAACCTCAAGACACGGTCGATGTTGTTATTTAAAAAAAATACGAATACATGGAGACATTGTGTCTCTGGGCGATATTTATCCAGTTACATCTGACTTAACAACATCGTTGGGACCGACATCAGGCTTTTTAACCTTACCATAAATATATTGGTGGAATCGTTCGCTCAAAAACTGCCAGCATCTCTTTTTCGATAACGTTACGCCGTATTCGACGGGTCGGCCGGCTGCAGCAGCACGGTTCGCGCGATGCGTCACAGCACTGCCGTCGTAACCAACCACACACGCTTTCAATGCAAAAAATGATTTTTGTTCCGTATCTTCCCAACGCCAATTTTCCTTTTTTAATGACATTTGTTATTTAAAAAAAATAAAAATCGCTGTAAACTTTTCTTATCATTCGGTTCTGGCATCTCCTTTATGGCTTTTATTTTGTTATAGTCTGGTCGCATACCGTTCTTATCAAAAACTATGTAGTTAAAGTGTATATATTTAAGCAAATAGGTAATAAGTAAATTATATATTTTGTGTATAAGTCTCTGGGAAAGATGTCGATATTTATCCTGACATTGGGATGGTTATTAAAACATTACAACATCCCTGTCTACAATTTCCAGTCGTATCGTCATAGTCGTAGAATACTGACGGATCTGACAAAGATTACATATAAAGATCCGTCCGTATTCTACGACTGTGACGGTATGTTACTGAAGATTTTTTTTCCATGTCGTCATGTCGTCATCATTAACGTGTCGTCTCTCGCAGTGTTGTAAAGGGCCTTTTGAGCGTTTATTGTCCGTTCAGTGCGATACTGGCCTTAAACACAATTGTCTTATAGGACCATCGATATAGAAATTAGTGATTTCACGTAAAATGTAAGTGCACCTTTATACTAGGGTAACGTATCCGAATGAAGTCTTATGATTGGCTTGAATGGTGTTCAGAATGTCTCTTGCTGTACTCAATGTATGAACATTTTTTAAATATTATTTCTTATAATGAACTATGTAATATTTATTAATTACATTGTTAAAATTGACACGAAAATGTTTGCACAAAATGTCAATAGAGGTATTGTTACATTTTTATAAATGCGTTATGTACAACAAAAGAATGTGAAAGAAATTGTGTTTTAAAACAAATGTTCCTATCTCATATTTTTTAAAATACAGTAATGAAATGAATTTAAGTAAATACAATAACAACCTTAATTAGGTTACCCATATTGTTAGCATAATGGAACAGTAATTTTATGACTTCATTATATGATAAAATCTTGAGTTTAAATTTAAAAGTGAATTTTCATTTATAAGATATTATATCAGCCGGTAACTGTCCACTGCTGAACATTGACCTCTCTCATAAGAGGGGGTTTGCCAGTTGTTGTCACGTTTGACAGACGGGTTGGCGTCAATAATTAAAAAATAATATATTACACTTAAAACTTTGGTAAACTTTTTAAGTATGACGCTGCTCCGTAGTTGGGCTTTGTTGAAGAGAAACGCTGCTACCCGTCCCTTGACAATTCAATTCTCTTAGTCGCCTCTTACGACACCCACGGGTAACGAAGGGGTGACCATTATATGCCAGGATTTCACACGGAAAACGTTTTTTTTTTTTTATACATAAGAGTATATTCCTTTTTAAAAGGCCGGCAGCACACCTGCAATGCCGCTGGTGTTGTGGGTGATCATGGGCGGCGGTAGCCACTTACCATCAGGTGAGCCGAATGCTCGTTTGCCCCCTGTATTGTAAAAAAAAAAACATAATACTTGAGTTAATAGATCCCCACAATCATTTTTAATCAAATTCAAGAGTACTTACCTCCTGATTATAATTTTTGATAAATATGGATTAATATTGTATTGCAGGTGTTCATAGGCTACGGTGACCACTTACAATCAGGTGGGCCGTATGCTTGTTTGCCACCTCAGTGGTATAAAAAAATAAATTAATAAATTACTATAAATTGTAATGTTTCAGTGGAACAGTATCTATACAATTTGTGCAAACTTTTTTGTGGATTTTCCTTTTATCGTCATTTCTTTAATATATTCTCTTTTAAATAGAATAATTTGTATCGAATATACATTAGTTATTTCTTTCCATTTCAAATGAACATTAGAGTTAAGATGACTCGTGTAAATATGTTTTACACTATACGCATAACATTATATATTAAGATGTATATTCAATATTATAAACATCTTATTCACAAAAAAAAAACATGTAAAGAATAAATAAAATAAATAAAATTTTGCTTGTTACTTGTATTACATTTATTTATAAATACCTTTTATTTAATTTATTTATTTAATTGCTAGCAATATACCCAACCAAGTCGACCTCCTCGCGGTTCTCCTTAAAAACTATCATGGTTAATTCCTGATGAATTTCATCATGATGGGCTAACTGGCCTGTTTTCATTCTCATCTATCACCCTTCACTGGTGCTCCGCCAGCGTATCCCGTTAGCGCAGACGGGGTTACCATACCATTTCCACCCATCAAAAAAAAAGCCTTTCTCCGCATCGGTAGATATATGACCAGTGTCCATATCCATCGGACTATGTCGGTGACTTTGATTCTTTTGCAAATATACTCATTTCAGATTCTGTCAAACAAAGAGACTCCGAGCATAGCCCTGTCCATAGCCCGCTGAGTCATTTAAAGCTTCTGCATACGGACAATCGTGTAGTACCATGTTTCGGTTCCATAAATCATCACTGGCAACATGCACTGGTTGGTGGGAAGGGATTGTTAGCAATGGAGTTTGACAGCCCCATTGCTAGCAATATGCCTTATTAAGTCATCCTCCACGTGGTTCCCCCTGGAAACCATTGTGAACAATTGTTGTTGAATTCGTCACGATGGGCTAACTGACCTGCTTAATCCTCACCTATCATAATTCACTGGTGCCCCGCCGGTGTATACCAATAGCGCGGGTGAGGTTATCATTCCATTATCACCCATTGAAAATGTACAAGTGAATTCGTACGTATTTTTACTGCAATTTCAAGTGCTGAATTTATTTGTTTGTGCGGAGCACCAGTAAGGGATGATAGGTGAATAATGAAAAAAGCAGATCAGTCAGCCCATCGTGATGATTACACCTGGAACTCAGCACAATGGTTTCCAGGGGGAACCGCGTGAAGGTCGACCTGACAGGGTATATTGAATTCAATGGGACCGGTAGCCCGCATTACTAACGATCCCTTCCCCCCATTTGGATCAGTTTAAACATCTGTGTCTGAACTAGGTTATAAAACCTGTATCACAGACAACAACGCTCAACCCTCATTAGATACTATAATATTAACTCAGCAAATTTTTCAGTGTTACATATAGAATGTTGATTTTATATAAAAATGTTTTTGTTTACGTTTATAAACTACGTTTCACCTGGGTGAAACAGTATATAATGTCCACGGTACTACTCATGTCTATAGGCGACGATTACCACTTTCCATCGGGTGGGTAACGTGTTTGCCATTTTAAATTGCATAAAAAACCTGCAACTTCGAAGTCGCCTAATACCTTCTCAGTACGTGGGATATGGCGTGAATTTACAGGGTACAGAGGAATAACACCTGAGTCCTCAGGAATGGTAACGCCTGAGGGGTATCATAGGCGAAACAGTACCATGGTACTTCTCAATACGTGAGATATGGAAGTCGTAAATTTACTGGGTACAGAATTTACAGGGTACAGAGGAATAACACCTGAGTCCTCAGGAATGGTAACGCCTGAGGGGTATCATAGGCGAAACAGTGTACTCTGTTATGTCCATGGTACTGCTCATGTCTATAGGCGACGGTTACCACTTTCCATCAGGTGGACCATGAGCTTGTTCGCCATTCTAAGTTGTTTAAAAAAAATTATAATATTAGTAAGGTTGTTCAAGAGAACACTCTTTTGTAGAAAGAAAAACCGAACAGAAATGGGATACATTACAGATTCACAAATAAAACCCTTCACAAGATATTACAACCAATAATTTATTCGACTTATGTTTAAATTATGCGGTAGTAAAATTAAAAGTTCGACATTACAATAAATATTAAATCACAGTGTATTTATTCTAGATCGTTCCTAAGTCTATATTTACATGGGTATGAAATAAAAAAAAAAAATTCGCTTTTTTTATAAATATACTTATTATATGCACGTATATGAGAACATATATAATCAAGTACGATGCACGACTAGAGAAACTTAATTATGGTAAGCAACTTATTTATTCTCTGAACTATATTTAGTGAACAACCTTGAAAATGTCTTTTTATTTTTTATAATAAAATAATAAACATTAAAAATGTTCATAAATTACGAAATAGATTATACAAAATTTTTATTCTATGTATTCATTTTACGCGCTGATATTTCGAAGAAAAAGAAACAATCCTGGCTGATATTTGCTTAGAAAAAGTACATTAATATAAGGTGAAGTCACAAAGAATGTTGAAGAACCGAAACCTAGTAATGGCATTTATAAAACTTAACAACTTTCCTCTAGAGAATGCTGAAATAATTAATATAAAAAGACCTTAAGCTTTAACCCTTCTTTCCATAATTTTTTTTTATTGGTGAAATAAATCAAGGTGATATAATTCATGTTCAAAGATAAAAAAAATGGTTAAAAGAATAAATTTGAACGCTATGGCCTTTTTTTTTTTGCAATGGACATAAAGGTAACCAGACACGATCAACTTAAAGTGAACTTGTCTTTTATATAATTTTTGGGCATTCAGTGTTATGATGGAAATTTCCACCAGTATGCAAAGAAGGGTTAAACAATACCCACTAGAAGTTATTTAAAAAAAATCTTATATGTACAAGGTTTTTTTTTATTAGTACGACAAAATATATTTACTGTCAAAAAGAATGAAAAGAGTGGAACAAAAATTATTTAAAAAAAACATTATGCGCATAATATAATTATGTATTTATGATAAACATATAAAGATCTCACTCCGGGTACCGCATTTGATTCACATCTATCCAGCCATAGACGTGACTTATGACAGTAACAAAGATGGACAGAAATTTTAGATTGGTAGCAACTCAACTATAATCCTTAGAGGAAGTGATTAGGTTTCATTAAAACTATCATATAATTGTGGGATTGGATGTTTCTAGAAGGCGTGTAAAAGGAATAGTAATGAGAGTAAAGATGATGAGTGAAAGAGATGCACGATACAAGTATGATTGGTCGACGAACGAATGAAACAAGATGGCGTTACGAGTCGAGTACTGTAAAAGAGCTGTGGAGCAAAAAAAATTTATAAAAATTGAATATAGTCTAATTTTCCTCCCACGATTTTCCACATAATCATACATATGATAGTACAAACATGATACTGCAAACCTACATTAACTTTTTTATTACACCGCTTTGTCACTTTCATTCAAATTAGGAATTTAGCACAAGAGAAAAAGACAAAACAGTTCAATAACTACAAGAAATTTCTGAGAAATTTGACGTTTATATGAATAAGGGGGTTAGATTACATAGATAGAGTACGGAGCGTCAAAAACGTGTCAACATTTAGTCGGCTACATGGGCATTTAGCTGACTCAATTCGACACACACTTTTTTTTTTAATCAAAACAAAACGCGCCATTTTCAGTGTTGCAAGTAATTGAAATAAATATTTCCCAAATCAGATCGATTTCTTAAATTTATATTGAAACTTTTTTTTTTATAATATAAACAATATATACAAATGTATGTTTATATATTAATATCCATTTATTAATTAAATAGGAGGCCATTATCAAAGTATTTAAATTAAAACATATTTTACGTCTATACTTGGATATAAATCAAGGAATCAATAATCATTATTACAAATCTTTATGCATTGTTTAATTTGTTTTCTCAAATACATATATTCTTAATCATTTTAATTCGTTTTTACTTTTCATTTTAACCGTCTAGTGTAATTTTTCCCATATACTGAGTAATGAATTGGCAACCCTATTCACGCACACATTAAGAAATAATTTAAACTGGTTTTTAGCAAAGTATTCGTATGGTGACACTCTATCTATATAATCTAAGTATATATCATTTCGTATTAACCCTGTAGGAAGGGGATCAAATAGTCTGTAAAGAATTACAGAGTGTACAGACTTATAGAAATAAGACAATACAATTTATCGAAACAAAATTCGTAATAGGCGTAATATTACTTCTTAATTTACATTACACAACACATGTATATAATAATGTTTGAGTGACCAAACTGATATAAAACATATTCTAATGGGGGGATAAAGGATTGTTAAAATTGGGATTAGTAGCCCCATTGTTAGAAATACACCCTATCAGGTCGACCTCCTCGCGGTTCCCCTGGCAACTATCGTGTTCTATTCCAAATGAATTCATCACGATCCCTCACTGATATACCGTTAGCGCAGATTAGATAGGGGCTACCATTATCATCCATTTAAAAAAAAACATTCCAAATTAAATTTTAAATTTGTACAATATTTTTTTCTAATTTTAAATCAAACGTTCGAAAAATCATTTTTTGGTTGTCTATGACTACACAAACGTAATCCTTACCAACAATTACAATTAAGTTTTTTTTTTTATTAATTTACCTTAATTACACATAATTACAGTTCAGATAAAAAAAAATAAAAAATAGACCAAACCGCTTCTTATAATCTACGCATAGTACTTTGAAACAGTTTTATAAACTAAATAAAATCATATTTATAATTTTAGATTCCGGTTTCAAAATTTAAAGTGAAACTTCTTTAACCCTTAAAAGCCTGATTTTTTAAAATCAAATTAAAAAATATTATATATTTGTGTGTGTTACTTTTTACTGTGTTTACCAATGGGGAAAAAATAGTAAAAAAAATCAAAACGATATTTTTATATATTTCTTTTGAAAAAAACATTTGGTATCATTTTTGATACTTTAGGCATTACGGTAATCAAAACATTTAAATTTATTTAACAATGAAACAATGCAAACCCCGGTAGCAAATTTGAAACTTCAGGTATTTAAGGGTTAAATAATATTACTGGTAGGAGATTCATTAGTGATGCGTTACAAAATGCAATAGCACCGCAGTGTTATAACAAAAAAGTTCAAAAAACATACATATAGCGCCATCTATGGCAATAGTAGTTGTTCCTGTTCCAATAAGCAAAGAATTACCCTGACCTACAGATCTACTCTTGAATCCAATATCGATCGAATACTAATGACAATTTTATACTACATTTATAAAATAACAATTGGAGATTAAGTGAGAATTAAAATCGGTTTTTTTTTATACAACTTAGAATGGCAAACAAGCTGACGGCCCACCTGATGGAAAGTGGTAACCGTCGCCTATAGACATAAGCAGTACCGTGGACATAACAGAGTATACTGTTTCGCCCATGATACCTCCCATGCGTTGCCATTCCTGAGGACTCAGGTGTTATTCCTCTGTACCCTGTAAATTCACGCCATATCCCACCCTTCAAACCGAGGGGGGAAAGGGATTGTTAGTTAGAAGTGAGACTGAGAACTAAGGCTAACTGACCTGTTTTCATTCTCGTCTATCACCCTTCACTGGTGCTCCGCCAGCGTATCCCGTTAGCGCAGGCGGGGTTACCATACCATTTTCACCCATCAAAAAAAGAATCTTGTAGATAGGTACATTAACTGTCCCCAAGAACTATATTTTTGTAAAACATATATAAATAATTAATATTATTTGAGACGTGAAAAAAATGGGTGTAAAGTCAAATTAATTGACAAAATAAACTGTGACAGGTCGATGTATGAATACAATTTGGTTCAATTCTTTTTTTTTTTCGAAAATATGTTTTTTACAATAGAACTATTTTATTTGCTTCGTGGTGGAAATTTTCAAGTCTTCAAATGCTGGCAACACTGGAAACATTACTGGGATATGTTAATTCTCACGATGTGAAAATCTTCAGTTATAGTATGTAATAATATTTTACTGTATTTATTTATTTTTTATAACTGATGCAGTAAAGTGTAAACAAAATAAATAATTTTTTTTTTCCCCTTATTATAACTATTTATATTGACTTTATTCGCGTATGAACTTCGAAGTTACCGGATTATTTGTGGACTCGACAGAGGGCCTCATTCATGAGCACGGTTCAATATCACATTTCACTATTTCAATAGAAACACTACATGACAGTTGTATCATAGAAATAAAAAAAAAAACTTTGAAATGTCTCTCTGTAGAAATATTCTCTAAACAACTAGGTCCCGTGCATGATGGTATTACAATTTACGCAGCTAATATAAGATTAAATGTCTCATTGTAATCAGAACATTGTTCGAAAAATAAAAAAATAAAAATAAATCCACTCACAACTGTGATCTCTAATGGGGTAGATAGAGGCATTTGTCGAATGGTTACCATCGTGAATGTCAGTGTGAGTTTGATTCAATAGAACTATAGAATAAAAAGATAGACAACTTTTTTTTTTAATTAAACTAGCAACAAATTGGTATATTTATTCGATTCTTCATACGTCAGTTTTATATTCGAGTAAGAATTGAGATAAAAGGTAACATATAATATACTTTTTTTTTTTTATTTTAAATAATATGTGTATAGCAAATTCCATTTTGAGCTAAACAATTACGAGGGAACATACAAACATACTCGCTTTTACATCTACACTAATATTATAAAGAGGACAGATTTGTATTTTTGTGTGTATGTTTGTAATGAATAAATTCAAAAATTACTTTGCCGTTTTCAAAAATTCTTTCACCATTACAAAGCTACATTCACTCTGAGTGGACATAGGCTATATTAATTGCTAGAAAAGATTAGGGCTCCTTACTAAAACTTTAGTAACATAATTCAAGGTGTAAAAAAATACTAGAAAATATCTTTCGTCGCGTGCGCTGCGGAAACTATTGGTGATAGAACAAAAGTATGTTCTACCATATTGAAGAAAATATCAATGACTACAAAATACTTCGCGATACTATATGTCCAACTATTATCGTTATGTCACAATAAGTACTTTTTAAAATGTTGTAAAAACATCCACCCGTGCGTAGCCGGGACCGGCCGCTAGTTTACAATATTAATAAAGATTAAGTTCTATCGAAACAAACTGGGATTGATCATTTGACATAGATACGATATTGTTTACCTAACATTTACATGGAGCGGTGATCGCGTTCGCACGAGCCGTACCATACCGTATACCTAGAACATGCCGTCGTGGATGCCGATGGGCACAAGCACCGCGAGGAAGATGGCGAGGTTGCGCAGCACGAGGCGCCAGTCGTCGGGCACGGCGAGCGGCAGCACGGCGGCGGTGAGCGCGCGGATCTCGTGCGCGGCGCACGCGAAGATGTAGGAGGTGAGCAGCAGGTTGAGCGCGGGCGCGGCGGGCAGCAGCACCAGCACGCCGTGCGTGTCGGCGGCCAGCCAGATGTGCGAGTGGCTGGCGAACAGCTCGAGCGCCACGCCGCCCACGCGCGCGAACAGCGCCGAGTGGCGCGCGCGCAGCCCGCCGCCGCCGTTGCGCAGCGCCGCGTACGCCACCACCGGCACGCACGCCGCGTAGCTGTGCACCTGCCACACACCCACACACCCACACACCCACCCACCGCTACACCTCACATATGCTTGTCCCCTTTCCTTTTTTTTTATACAACTTAGAATGTCAAACAAGCTGACGGTCCACCTGATGGAAAGTGGTAACCGTCGCCTATAGACATGAGCGGTACCATGGACATAACAGAGTATACTGTTACGCCCATGACACCCCCCATGCGTTGCCATTCCTGAGGGCTCGGGTGTTATTCCTCTGTACCCAGTAAATTCACGCCGTATCCCACCCTTCAAACCGAAACACAGCCACGCAAACAGCTGCTTCACGGTTGAAACACGAATGGGGCAGAGGTATCCAAGCAATTGACTTTTCTACAAAGTCTCCCTCTGGTGACAATTAGTGACAAGTGGACGAAACGTACACCATCGGTTGTATATTTTCTCAATTCATAGCGGGCTTGTGTATAGAAAATGTTTGATATGTCAATTATTTGTCAATGACAAATTGTACATTACTGGATTATATATTCGACACAGTTTATGTAGAAAGTATGCAAGCAGGTTGTATCTGAATTTGGTAGGTTTTTTTCAATGGTTGATAATGGAATGGTAATAGGTGATGAATGGAGTTTGACAGCCCCATTGCTAACAATATGCCTTATTAGGTCGACCTCAACGTGGTTCCCCCTGGAAACTATCGTGAACATTTTTTGTTGATTCGTCACGATGGGCTAACTGACCTGCTTCATCCTCACCTATCATCCTTCACTGGTGCCCCGCCGATGTATACAGATAGCGCGAGTGGAGTTACCATTCCATTATTACCCATTAAAAAAAAAACCCTACCAAATTTAGATACAACCTGCTTGCATACTTACTAATTAAACTGTGTCGAATATATAATCTAGTAATGTACAATTTGTCATTGACAAATTATTGATATATCAAACATTTTCTATACACTAGCCTGCTATGAATTAAGGAAAATTACAACTGACGGTGTATCTTTCGTTCTCTTTTTACTAATTATATTTGCATAAGAAAAAAGAAGACAACCATATGGTATTTACATTTTTTATTTTATCATTCCTTCTATGTAATTCTTTGTTTTTAGAAACTTACTAATACGACTGACATCATTTACATTATATATAATCAATACAATGCCTGCTTCGTTTATCAAATGATTGAAATAAAAGAGTTGTGAGATATCAAACATAGGGGGGAAAGGGATTGTTAGTAATGGAGACTGAGAATCCCATTGCTAGCAATATACACAACCAGGTCGACCTCCTCGCAGTTCCCCCTGGAAACTATCATGGTTAATTCCTGATGAATTCATCATGATGGGCTAACTGGCCTGTTTTCATCCTCATCGATCACCATTCACCGGTGCCCCGTCAGCGCATACCGTTAGCGCAGACAGGGTAACCATTCCATTTTCATCCAATAAAAAAAAATATCAAACATAAAAAAAGTTAAAAATACAGTCGAACTGAGAACCTGCTTTTTTTTGGTTCAAAGCTCAGAACTGTCATTTATAAACCCATTAGCTTTACCCTTTTGTACATTAATATTTTACTTGTGGTCGCTCCGTGGTCGAAATTCGACCACAACATATATGATATTCACAGTTTTCATTTTATCATTCGTGCTATGTAATTCCTTGTTCTATACGACCAGAGATGAAACCGGGGGATACAGCTGGTGATCAAATGGATTGGTAGTGAGTCATGGGTGTGGTGTTACCTCGTCGCAGTCGACGGCGCTGGAGCAAAGCAGGGCAAAAGCCAGGTAGGTGGCGAGCGCGGCCAGCGCCAGCAGCGCCGCCGCGCCGCCAGCACGCTCGGCCGCGCCGCCCGCCGCCTGCCGCGCCAGCGCGAACATTATGCCGTACGCCACCGAGTACCTGCCCGACCACACTTGTTGTTGGCGAAAGGTATTGTTAGTAGCGGGGTCTAATTGACCCATTGCTAACAATACACCCTACCAGGTCGACCTCCACGCGGTTCTCCCTTGAAACCGTCGTAACAAATTTTTTTTTAAACAACTTAGAATGGCAAACAATCTGACGGGCCACCTGATGGAAAGTGGTAACCGTCGCCTATAGACATGAGCAGTACCATAGACATAACAGAGTATACTGTTTCGCCCATGATACCCCCCATGCGTTGCCATTCCTGAGGACTCTGATGTTATTCCTCTGTACCCAGTAAATTTACGCCATATCCCACCCTTCAAACCGAAACACAGCCATGCAAACACAACAGCTTCACGGTAGAAACACGAATGGCACAGAGGTACCCATGCAATCGACTTTTGTACAAAGTCTCTCTCTGGTTTTTTTCAATGATATAAACAAATAGTCTAAGAGCTAGTGAATCATCCGACTAACCCGTTCCCAAAAATGTTTCCTACTTTCTGAAACAGGTCAATCGATTTTATTGCAATTTTGTAAATGTATTATGTTTGCTCTAATTTGAGATTTGTTTCTATTTTGACTTTTATTCTGGTAAGAAAAAATGAATTCAGCTGATTCACGTCATATCACACTCTTCAAACCGAAACACAGCCATGCAAACACAACTGCTTCACGGTAGAAACACGGATGGGACCGAGGTACCCAAGCATTGAATTCGTCACGATGGGCTAACTTAACTGCCTTTTGATCCTCACCTATCATGCCTCACTGGTGCCCGGCCAACGTATCCCGATTGCGCTATCGGGCGGTGTTACCATTCCAATATCAACAATTGAAAAAAAACACTTGTTACATCAGGTATCAACTGTCCATGATGGGCTAACTGACCTGCCTTTTCTTTTCATCCATAATCATTCACTGGTGCCCCACTATTTCTATTTGATAATTAATTATGAACATATATATATTTATCTATATATGTAGGTATATTGTATGTATATGTGTATGTGTGTGTATGTATATGTATAGATGTAGGTATATATTTATAAATATGTATATTTGTACGTTAAAATATAATATAATTAATTTAATTTTGTTTAAAAATTGTACACTGCTGTATCCGCTGACGTTGATGCTCCTTTCCACTTTGGGTGTTGCTGGAAGAAAACTCTATCAGAGTTAAGCTCGCTTTTCTACTTTTGTTTACCTCTGTAATATTTTTTTTTTTATAACTAATGTGTACAATAAAATATAAAATAAATAAATAAATAAGTTCTTAGTTGTAAGCACTTAAAACAATATATCACCTGTCCTGCTTCCACCTTAGCCACCATTGGTGAATGTCGTCGTCGGCGTTGACGAACAGCGCCTTCCAGGGCCTCGTGACGAAGATCTTCTGGAAGAAAACCTCGCTCATGTAGAGCACGGTGACGATGGTGAGCAGGCCGATCACCTTCAGCGTGATGTAGAGGTACTGGTACGGCCTGGTCTCCGCCGTGTGGCTGGACGCCTGCGTGATGTGCGGTGGGAGGGCGAAGATCACGAACATCTTGGAAAAAAAGGATAATTAACCATCAGGGATGACAATGTGTGAGTCGTTTTTATGGGATAAAAATAGAACCCTGTTATTGGTATTAGAATGCAAGTTACCAATGAGGCATGGTAGATGAGGATCAAGTCAGGACAGTAGATTTATTGATATAAATTCAGTTATTTTATTAGGCATTAACCACAATGATTTCCAGGAGGGAATACGCTGAGGTCGCCCTGCTAGCAATATATTTACAGTTACACAAACAAAGTCACGGGCAGCTAGATATATACAAGTACATATAATATAATATATATACATATAACAGATGTGTGTATAACACCCCTTCCTTTCTCGTATATATCGTAAGTAGCAACTATGGGAACTTATTGGTCTTAGAATGGACAGCAGCGACCCACTTAAAACATCTCTAAAGCCTAACTGCGGTTGCCAATCCGCTTGCCAAGCGTGGCGACTACTGGCAACTCCCAAAAAAGGAAGGCTTATGTTCAGCAGTGGACAGTTAAAGGCTGCCATGATGTTACATATTATACAATATACTCACCAAAGTGTACCAAAATGAAACGAGAGGTATGAAGCTGTAGAACTGGTACGGCCTGTTCATGGTCAAACACAGTACCACAGTGAGAAAATTCAGCCGAAATATGACCCTGAAGTATCTGACCAGGCCCGTGTCACCGGTGTTCCAAGTATAGTAGAAGTGACCGTATCCAGTGAGGAACAGGTAGGCGGAGACAAGCGCCCGCACTAGCATGTAGATGGGCAACACTTTACTGGCGCCAGTGACTTGGTATATGAGAATGACCAGTTGCATCCAGCCTTTCCACTCGTCTGTTTGCTCACGATGAAGAATTCTGAAATATTTATATACATATTAATTTTTAAAATTACCATATTTTATATAATTTTAAGGACTGGTAACATTTTTAATAGATATTTAAAAATAATAAGCAATCAATGCAATAATTTTTTTTTTGCTCGACAATTGTAAACCTATTTTAATTACATCTGGAATGTAATGCCTCAAGCAGCTGGACTTGTACGGCTGTGTTCCGGTTTGAAAGGTGGGATATGGTCTCATTATTATCTTGACTATTATCTATCCACCGCTGAACATAGGTCTCCCCCATAGACTGCCATAAAGAAAGGTCCTGAGCCACCTGCATCCTTGCAAATGTTTGGGGTCGTTACTCCATCTAGTGGGAGGGTCGTCCTACACTGAAATATAGCATATGACAGTGAAATTATAGATAACAAAACAAGCTGACGGCCAACCTGATCAGAAGTGGTAACCATCGCCTATAGACATGAGCAGTACCATGGACACAACATAGTGTGTCGCCTATGAATGGTGTCATCATGCGTTACCATTCCCGAAGGATTAATTCGTATAAATAAAACTCACTTGCTAGACCTCGACGCCTCCGTGAAGAACAGGCCCAGCGCGAACACGTAACCGACCGGCAGCCAGAAGCTCCACTCGGAGTAGTATTTATTCTCCTTCATGAAGAAGTTGGTTCTGTCGCACAGGTAAAAGTATGCCATGATGGCGCCTAGTCGCGCTAGTGCCGCGGCGGGGGATAGTCCTGAGGGTGGGGTGGTGGCGGGGTCAGCGTCCTCGCCAGGTGAGCGGTCGCGGGCCACGAGCGGCGTGGTGGCGGAAGACGACGGCGAGCGTCGCCGGCCGCGTCTCCAATCACTCCACCACGCCCGAGCGCTCCGAACTAGCACGTACACTGCGCTAGAGGAAATCAATTATACTTCTAAGGCTAGTGTCCTCAGCCACTCGCCTTCATTCGCGTAAACTCTTATCAATGGAAGCAATCAACGCTAAACGTCCGCAAATGTAGCGCGTGAAGAAAACGTATGATGCGCTGTTGCCGATCTTCCGCCGACGGAAGATCGGCACACGGCTAAACAGACGAACGTTCCGCGAAGTTAGTGTAACGACTGATCTTGCGTGTAGTGAGACCGAGAGTATCAAATTGTAGCTAAATTAATATATTGGTATTCCGTTGCGGAAGATCGGCGACCAAAAATACACTGAATATGGCACTACATTTTTTTTACACTTTATTGCACCATTTATAAAATAGTAAATACATTTAATAGTAATGAGAAATTATACATTTAAGGTTATCAGTTGGCCTTTATAGATGAAGAACAAAATTCTTAGACCTCCTTCTATCATAAATGGTGCAAATTAACATATTATCGAACCATATGTTTAATTTAATCATAAACTTGGAACAAAATAACTATAAGAAACTGATATATAAGGGAAACATGATTATATGATACATATTATTTTAGATATAGAATTAATAGAAAAAAAAATTACAAAGAAATTTTGTTATAATATACACGACTATTTGCATAATAATACACATGCCTTTTTTCAGTTCAGGCCAATTTTTAACTTTTTAGACCAATATAACTGTTTAGTTTATTAGTATTCAGTATTTAATCACTGCGGCAAGCAGTATTTGACAGCTGTGTCATTGTGATTGTTTATATCTGTCATTTTGCTTTTTTTTTTGTTGGTTAAGTCTGACAGATTGTCGATGCGCATGCGTGGTATCGTTGCCGCCAAAAAAGGGGTTTTAAGTGTTTTGTTAATGTTTTATATTTGTAAAAAAGGTAATGAAATTTGATAAATCGTGCGTACTTTATTAAAAAAAAAGGCGTGAAATTAGATGAATAGTGTGTGCTCTGTTGAAAAACTACAACTGGCGTCATTGGGCTGGCGTGGAATCTAGCAACACAAGCAAGAGAAGTCCCACATTTTATTACACATCACATTTTACACTGTACATCACCCACACGCGGTACTTCCTTGTTACTCATTAAAGGATCTCCATGAAAGCCAAGGTATTGTGCACCATTTTTTTTTTGTAGTGCCATGTCATCGCAGCACATGCAGTAAAGATTTTGTATATCTTGGCAGGGTCCTTATTGCACAATAACCCTTTTCGAATTTATAATGGCCCGAAAATCGGAAACAGAGTTGGCAACACCGAATCTAATAAATCACTCACCACAGGAGGAAGAGCGCGAAGGTGCATATCTGCAGCTGCGTGTAGGGCTCGGGCTGGGCGCAGCAGGAGCCGTCGTTGAAGTTCATGTGGTCGTTGCAGAACATGTTGAGCAGGATCTGCGCCGAGTGGCGCAGCGCCGTGCGGCTCAGCGACACGCCGTCCGCGGCCGCCGCGCCGCTCGACACCAGCCGCGGCGAGCTCCACACCTTCACCGCGCTGTGGGTCAGGATCTGCGGACGGACCGCTTCCCTGTTTGGCAACCTCCAAAGAGCCGCTGCTCTATGGCCATTGTTTTGCGTATTGAGGTCCCGGATTTAATTCTCAGTCGAACCGTTATGAAATGAACTATTGTATTATGGCCCGAGCTTAGATTATGTATAGGTAGAGCATGGAGCCTCAAAAAAAGGGCAAATTTTTGTCAGATGTCAAATTAGCTGACTCGTTTCTTATCAGTGTTCTATATACTTACGCATACAATGTATCTTGACGTATTATTTAATAAATAAAATGAGTGTTACAACATTAAAAAGATACAGAAAATATAAGACAAAATAGATATAGAAGTTATAAAGGAATCACTCGTAACTATTTATCACGCAAAATTGTATGAAAAAGTTGATCCGTTTTTCTCGAAGCATTTCTATGGAGATACTCTATCTAAATAATTTATGGGTCTGGTATTGTGGGCTGTATCCTCAAATGTTGGTTGCCTGGTTCCTTAAGGTGTCGTAGCTTGAAGACCAAGTGACTGACGTAATTGTTTGAGACTTATTTTTACTACTATTGTTACAATTTTTATAACACTTTGCCAAGTTAGGCAAATATCGTTTTGCTTCCTGCCACCATCAGCTGAATTCATTTTTTCTTACCAGAATAAAAGTCAAAATAGAAACAAATCTCAAATTAGAGCAAACATAATACATTTACAAAATTGCAACAAAAACGATTGACATGTTTCAAAAAGTAAAAAACATTTTTGGGAACGGGTTAGTCGGATGATTCACTAGCTCTTAGACTATTTGTTTATATCATTGAAAAAAACCAGAGGGAGACTTTGTAGAAAAGTCGATTGCATGGGTACCTCTGTGCCATTCGTGTTTCTACCGTGAAGCTGTTGTGTTTGCATGGCTGTGTTTCGGTTTGAAAGGTGGGATATGGCGTGAATTTACAGAGTACAGAGGAATAACATCAGAGTCCTCAAGAATGGCAACGCATGGGGGGTATCATGGGCGAAACAGTATACTCTGTTATGTCCATGGTACTGCTCGTGTCTATAGGCGACGGTTACCACTTTCCATCAGGTGGGCCGTCAGCTTGTTTGCCATTCTAGGTTGTATAAAAAAAAATCAGTGAAATCATTGTTTTGTCATTCCATGTCGCATTAAAGAAGATGACTGTACACTTTCCTCTGCTATATCGGCAGTATAAAAAAAAAATTAAAACATACCTCTATAGCTGCTCGGTTGTATGCCTCAATATCGACATTGCTGATCTTTTTAAACTCATTCTTGAGTTTGGACGTGTCCACCGATTCCATCAACTTCCACAGCACCTGCGTGTTGCGCTCGGCAAGCGAATCTATAGCTTGCACCAAGTGCGTAAGGTTCCTTTTGTACTCCTCCAGTACTAGGTCGGTGGTGTTACGGTTTTTAAGTAGTTCCAACCCCGTTGTCGCTACTATGACGGATGGAGGTTTGTCGGTGTGTTGCCTGTAAACAATGGCGTGATAATAACGCCATCTATTAATCGAAATTGGCCAAATATGAGTCCAACTTATTACATAAAAAAACCTATTGTTAATAGTTAGTTAAACCTAGCCAACTTGATATGGGACCAACACAGGAATTTATTTTTAATTTATTAGATATAAGAAATAAATATCGCTTCAGAATTCGCGAAGATATGGCATAACATATACACAAATATTTTGCTGACGACGTAGTATTTTATGACGAAATTAGCATCATGAGACCAATACAGGAGTAAACCAGAGGGAGACTTTGTACAAAAGTCGATTGCTTGGGTACCTCTGTCCCATTCATGTTTCAACCGTGAAGCAGTTGTGTTTGCATGGCTGTGTTTCTGTTCGAAGGGTGGGATATGGCGTGAATTTACAGGGTACAGAGGAATAACACCTGAGTCCTCAGGAATATATCCCGGAATACATACCAGTTTCTGAACTGCTCTACCATAGTCCTGGACACGTCGTTACTCTTTATAAAGGTGACAGACAACCGCAGCTTTCTGTCCACGTACGTGTTGTTCGTTCGGTGCTCCACGGTGGAGTACGATGTCTCCAGGTCTAATCGAGTCTTGAGTACGCCTGAAGCGACATATGTTTATTTAAAAGTAACTTTTTGCCCACTATTGTATATGCGTAGACTTCAAAAGGGAAAGGAGGAAAAGAGATCTCCTACTCTCTAATCTAATAAAATAGCCCACTTTTATATGATGTATCAAAATAGGGAGACTTTGTACAAAAGTAAATTGCTTGGGTACCTCTGTCCCATTCGTGTTTCAACCATAAAGCAGTTGTGTTTGCATGGCTGTGTTTCGATTTGAAGGGTGGGATATGGCGTAAATTTACTGGGTACGGCGGAATAACACCCGAGTCCTCAGGAATGGCAACGCATGGGGGGTATCATGGACGAAACAGTATACTCTGTTATGTCCATGGTACTACTCATGTCTATAGGCGACGGTTATCTTTTTCCATCAGGTAAACCGTCAGATTGTTTGCCATTCTAAATTGTATAAAAAAAACATACACCAGTTTATAAGTTTTTTTTTTAATGTATACGCTGGCGGGGCACCTGTGAGAGATATGTAAAAATGAAAAGGTAGGTCAATTAGCCCATTGTTATGAGTACACCTGGAATTTAGCACGATGGTTTCAATGGCAGACCACGTGGAGGTCGATCTGTTAGGGTATATTGTTAGCAATGGACCTAGTAAACCGCACTACTAACAATACTTTCACCCCTCCAATTTTTAAATTAGACCTTCACGAACACAACTGTAAAAATCACATCCAATTAGGTGCGGTCGTTTTTGCGTGATGCCCGAACAAACAGACAAAATTCCTAAAAATTATAGTTTTGACATCTATTACCCTTAATAAAACACCTAATATTACTTTTTCTTAAACATCTCTCATGTTCGTTTTTTTTATACAACTTAGAATGACAAATAAGCTGACGGCCCACCTGATGGAAAGTGGTAACCGTCGCTTAAAAATCGCAACTATTCTTACTAATATTAAATTAGTAAGAAATGTTGCAATTTTTAGACTGGAAGAGTCTGTCGTCTGTTTTTTATATTTTTCTACAATTAAAATTTCTATAAGTAAAAATTCTAAATAAGCGAATCTTAAAAAGAATCGATTCTCTCATAGTCAAATTATTTTAACCAATTTTCCACAATTTATGCCATATTTTTTATTGTCTTATTTTTTTATTGTATATAGCCTTTGGATATTGAATTTAAAAACTAAACTACTGACCCATTTCCGTTAAAATCTCTATGGCACTAATCTATAAATATATCCTTTCAGATAAAAAAAAAAAAAAAAAAAGATTTTTCCAAATCGGTTTATAAATGACAGAATTAAGAAGTAACAAATCATCATCTTCCTACCCTTATCCCAATTATTGTACGGGGTCGGCGTAATGTTTTTATCCATATTACAAAAAGATTTGGCTTTTAGTTTTACGACCGGCCGCCTGTCTGACGTCAACCCTCTTTGGAAAGTATCTTTGGGAAGATATGAAGTAACAAATATAAAAGAAAATACAACCGATGTGAGAACCACCTTTGAAGTCAATTAAACAGACAAAGGTATAATAAAACGAAAATATATTCCAATCTATTTTACTTCTATAAAATACACATCAAATAATAATTGGTCAATCTTCTTGCATTACAAGTACACAAAACTACATTAATACTAAGTTACAAGAACAGAGAAATAAAAAAAAGACAGAATACTTTTTAATTATTTTTTTTTACTACAAAGTGGGCAAACGAGCTTGCGGCTCACTTGACGGTAAGTGACTACCGCCGCCCATGATCACCCACAACACCAAAGCCATTGCAGGTATGCTTAGCTAAAAGGCAGGCCTTTTAAAAAGGAATATGCTCTTTTCTTGAAGGTTATATATTATTATTATTATTATAAATTATAAAATCTACTATAAGCATTCAATTACTTCAAAATTATATAATCACACAATACCACATCCAAATATCACATGTATATTTCAACTAGAAACCTGAACCCTGAACCTCTCTCACTCTTAAATTTGAGATTCACGAAATTGTATCCCAGACCGCCACGGTTGATAGCCGGCTGGGCAGCACCGTTGTCCAAATCCTTCACTGCGATCCCTCTTATCTTCTCATCTCCTGGATACTCGAAAGCCATCGTTTTCACCGTCTTTAAGAGCAGTGTGCCGCTCGCTTTAATGACTCCTTCGTATACCTTCCTGACGCCTTCGTGGTCATTCACTACACCAAGATTGACACTCTTAGTGTGCACTAGTTGAGTGAGAGTACATAATATGAAAATCTTGAGATCCATCCCGATCGACATTTGATAACAATCGACACGGAGGGAGAGATCGCGGCAGGTGACTGAGAACGGACCTATTGTTGACGTATGGAGGTCAATTGTGTTTTATATTGAGTAGTGCATCGTGGTACTTTACCGTCATTGTGCGCTTGTTAATTTTGTGTCGTACGGTACAAGGGGCACGATCTACCACGTAAAAAAACATTAGAACTTTAAAAAAATATGTGATACTAGCGGCCCGTCCCGGCTTCGCACGGGTGGACATTTTTACATTTTAAAAAGTGGCCATTAAGGCTGCACACGCGACGGAAGCTCAAAAATGGAGTAACTTCTGCCGTTTTCCCAACATTTCCCTTCACTGCTCTGCTCCTATTGATCGTAGCGTGATGAAAGTATACTATAACCTGCCCAGGAGTATGAAGAATAATTATACCAAGTTTCATTAAAATCCGTCGAGTAGTTTTTGTTTCTATAACGAACATACAGACAGACAAAAATTTTACTGATTACATTTTTGGCATCAGTATCGATCACTAATCACTGCCTGATAGTTATTTTGGATATATATTTCATGTACAGAATTGACCTCTCTGCAGATTTATTATAAGTATAAATGATAAATATATTTTTTTGGAGACGGTTGAAAATCAGTTCAGAATTGGCGTAGATATCGCGTAACATATAGTACAACAACAATAGCGGCTTCTTCCTTATTAAATCTGTCTAAAATTAGGACATCGAGTGAATGAGATAAAGAGATAATTTGGACAAGGTGATAGATTCATACTCTTTATTACTCAAAAGATTACAATAGTAAACTTATTATAAGAAGAAGTTTATTTAAATTATTATTTTGTTTAAACAAAATTCTATTTTTTATTTTCGTAAAATGTAATGTTCATAGACTTTGTGTATGTATTATATTAATAAAAAGAACACATATTAGTCAAGTATTTACATTTATTTTGAAATTTGTTTTTCATTCATTTTTCTTTTTTTTTTTTGTTATCTTTATTTATTTTTTATTCATTCCTGTATTTTTTTCGTTGCTCCATATAAAATGTCTCTAATATATTTTGCTACTATTTGTAAAAACCTATTAGGGGCTTAGTTTGTAATTTTAGACTTTCTATTTACCCTAGTATAATAGTATTATCTGCGCCCTAGAGTAGCTCTGGTTTTCTTATAAATAAAATTAAATATAATAAATAGATAAAATAAACAAATAAATAAAATAAATAAATCTCCCCTCTTATGGAGAGAAGATGGCAAACTAACCATCCGCAAAAGCATAGTCGGGCGAAATTTAGAGCCCCAGGAAGAGAGACCGGCGTAGTACACGGGCAACAGCTACGTACACGCAATAGTACACGGTCAAGAGCACCGCTCACTGTACCTTTCCCGGGAATGACCTGCCTCAGAATCCCAACTGTCTGAGGTGTTGTTCCAGTTCTTTATTATTATTATTATTGATTTAGTGAAGATTTAGAGTAGTAATATCAGATGCGACCCAGCCGACTAGATCAGCATCTGAATGAAATGCCCAATTATAGGCAAGTTATATTTCTCGCCTATTACTTTTAGAATGCTGTTGGTGCTTGTCCTAACCCTGTGTAGCAATGATGCAATTCTCTTTCTCCTTATAGCGTAGTAATCATCTACGCGAGATTGAGCAAACATGCTGGAGGCGCTACAAAAGCGAGCTAACCCCAACAGCGCTCTAAAACTGTTATTATACTGGATTCGTAGGGTACTGAGTGAGTCGATTGCTTGGGTACCTCTGTCCCATTCGTGTTTCTACCGTGAAGCGGTTGTGTTTGCACGGCTGTTTTGGTTTGAAGGGGATATGGTGTGAATTTACTGGGTACAGAGGAATAACGTCTGGGTCCTCAGGAATGGAAACGTATGGAGGGTATCATGGGCGAAACGGTATACTCTGTTGTGTCCATGGTACTGCTCAAGTCAATGGGCGGCGGTTACCACTTTCCATCAGGTGGGCCGTCAGCTTGTTTGCCATTCTAAGTTGTATAAAAAAAAAGGCTGCTCGTGTAGGATGTTTGGCGATATGTTTTGAAGAGTGTGATTTTTACTTCTTCACTACAACGGGCAAACCTGCGAGCCAACATGTTACATCCAACAGTCAATGTCCTACGCTCCCTTTCGTCATCAGTTTGATCTTTAAGTAATAAATAAAATCCTTAGCAAAAATTCGTAATGAAATCAAAAGAATTGTCTCTTAAGGAAAAACAATTATGTGTGCAATAACAAAAGATATTTTGTAAGGCAACGCTGTCCCTCGATCGTGTGAAGTGAAACAAACATATAAGGAAATCACAAGGTGGCAAACACGATGACTTCATTCGCTTACATACATACTGTAACACCTAAAATAATATTAGGAAATTAAATGAAAATAAATGATTTGATTTGAAAATATCATCTCATCAACCACTAACCGTCCACTGTTGAACATAGGCCTCCCCCTATTGGGATGTTTTAACAGTAGTTGCCACGTTTGGCAAGCGGAGTTGGCAACCGTATATACGAGGTCTGTCCGGAAAGTTCGTATAAAAGTGTTCTGGAATGCGAGAAAGAGGAGTGGGGAGGCCAGGTAAGCGCAGGACCCCTTCCTTATGTCCCTAACAATGCTTCAGTTCTGGTCTGACCGCCGTGCGGTGCGAACTGGCTTGTCACGCCATCTGTGAAGTTACCTCTTAACGAAACCCCGTCGGCATGGAGCCCGCTTCCGTTGAAGAGCAGCGCGTCGTAATCAAGTTTCTCTCGAAACTCGGCAAGAATGGCCGTGAAAAGCAAAGAGTGGAAGACATCCGGGGAACCACGAACAAAAAAATCAAGAAAATCCCGCTCAAATGTCAAGACAATGTTGATTGTTTTTTTCGATGTTCGGGGGATTGTCCATCAAGAATTCGTCCCTCCAGGCCAGACAGTTGATGGAAAATTCTACGTCGATGTGCTCAGACGCCTCAAAGCTCGTGTGGCACGAGTTCGTCCAGAATTGGCGCGAGAGGGGCGTTGGATTCTTCACCACGAAAATGCCCCTGCCCACACCTCTCTTGTTGTCCGTGAGTTTTTGAGTAAAAATTCCATTACGGTGACCGAACACCCCCCCTATTCGCCGGATTTGGCCCCGTGTGACTTCTTCTTGTTCCCAAAAACCAAATTGGTACTTCGGGGGCGGCATTTGGGGGACATAAATGAGATAAAAAAAGCTACGACGGGGCAGCTGAGAAACCTACAACCAGAGGACTTTCAAGGAGCCTTCTCACAGTGGAAACGGCGTTGGCACAAGTGCATTATGTCACAGGGGGAGTACTTTGAAGGGGATAAAATTGATTTACCTGAATAATTGTAAAATAAAATTTTTAAAAAACTTTTATACGTACTTTCCGGACAAACCTCGTATATATATAATGGATGATAACAGAATGGTTACCCTGCCTGCGCTAACGGTATACACTAGCGGGGCACCAGTGAGGGGTGATAGGTGAGGATGAAGCAGGTCAGTTAGTCCATCGTGACGAATCTAACAATAAATCAATCACGACAGTTTCCAGGGGGAACCACGAGGAGATCGATCTGACAGTGGAGTTACTAATCCCCATTACTAACAAACCCTTGTCCCCCCCCCCCAGTGTTTGTATATATTAGTATCTATATAATAGTGCATCCCACCTACCCTTTGTCTTTTTTTGTTTCAATGTCCTCTATCCAATGGTTATCTCGAAGAGATTGCTTAGCGATAAGGTCGTCTTTTGTATCGTTTATCATAAAAATTCACTAATAATATTTTTATTCAAGAAAATTTGTACAAAAGTCGATTGCTTGGGTAAATCTGTCCCATTCGTGTTTCAACCGTGAAGCAGTTGTGTTTGCATGGCTGTGTTTCGGTTTAAAAGGTGGGATATGGCGTGAATTTACTGGGTACAGAGTTGCCATACCTGAGTCCTCAGGAATGGCAACGCATGGGGAGTATCATAGGCGAAACAGTATACTCTGTTATGTCCATGGTACTGCTCATGTCTATAGACGACTGTTACCACTTTCCATCAGGTGGGCCGTCAGCTTGTTTGCCATTCTAAGTAGTATAAAAAAAAGTAAAATTTTTACAATTGTATTCATTGTTTTTAAATGGAGCAATAAAGTGTGAATAAATAAATAATCTAGGATTTTTTTTTTACAACACAGGGGGCAAACGAGCATGCGGCTCACCTGATGGTAAGTGAATTATAAATGCTGTGCACTTAGATACAATCTAGAAATAATAACGTATCTGCATAACTTCTCAATTAATCGACTCCCAGATATCAGCGTCATTAAATTCTTATTAACGAATACTAGTCAAACCTATATGTAGTTAATGACAATAGTTATATAAAACTAATTAATACACTTCACTTTGTCTATATTGTGGTCCGTTAATATGTTTGTTCGTTATATTCTATGTTATATACTGTTAGAAGTAATTGCATTCAGTTTCATAGTAGGTACTTACATATTATTTTTTTTAATGGGTGACAATGTTATGGCAACCCCGCCTGCGTCGGTGCCAAATTTAATAAAAAAAAAAGTACTCTAAATATTTATTAGGCATCATTTCGTTTGTCGTTACCAAAATATTAACTGGGCGATTAGAGTCGTCAAGTAAACTTTGTCGGGAAAAATTATGTGTGGGCGCATAAAATGTTCGAGTGGGACATGGCACAAAAAAGGTTGGGAAACAATGACCCTTTTTATTTTATTTTTTTTATCTAGAAAGGACATACTTACAGATTAGTCACATAGAAATTACAAAATAATTTAGTTTTTAATCATGCCACCATTGAGGTCGGGTTCTTTTTTTTTTGTTGTGAAACACAATTTTAAATAGGGCAATATTTTAAATTATTAATAATTTAATCTTAGAACACACAAGCTACGAAAGCAAAACGTCCAATATCTGAGAATATTAAAACTTCTAAATATAAACACATAAAAAAAAAACAAAAAAAAAAACATTGAATTAATTTAATCACCAACATAACATTTCGAATACACAATATCCTTCGATAAAACAGTAATTCACGCATATATTTCTATGAGGAACTTGAATCCAGATCCCCTCTGACTCTTCAGCTTTATATTGACGAAATTAGAGCCTAGACCACCACGATTGATGGACGGCTCCGCTAAACCGTTCTCTAGATCCTTGATCGCGATCCCTTTGATCCTCTGATCTCCTAGTGGATACTCGAAGTACACCTCTTCCTCTCTTTTGAGTAATGGTATCCCGGTGGCTTCTACTGTCTTCTCATACACTTTATTTATAACCCCTTGTTGGTACACTTGACCTACGAACACACTCTTTGCGTGCGCCACGGTCAAGAAAGCACATAATAATATTACTGTTTTTAGATACATTTTGCGATGTATAGTTGTAACCAGTTATAGATGCCAAGTGACTGAGTGTAGACCGGTATGTGCTATAGGTATGTATTCAGTACTAGGTGTGAGTAATCGTGTAGGACAAAGACGAGGTTATGTCAGAGAGAGAGGTCAAAGATCAGGTAAACACGGGCGCGGACAATATTATTTACCGCTTATTTTGTAGTGTTTGTATTGAGAGGCCGTTCTTAGAAAATTGTACTAATACATAAATATAGTACTGATACATAATAAATGTAATAATACAACGTACTTCTGTCTGATTATATGTTCACCTATAATATAGATATTAGGTTATACCAATATATATATATATATATATATATATATATATATATATATATATATATATATATATATAACTTAGCTGTCAAATGTATTGTAAAATCTTTTTGTTTGAGCTTTGAAGGCATGGTCTTGGTCTGCGCCATTCTGGGTATCATTCGGGAGGAAATTCCAAAGTCTAGCAGCTTGCACAGTAAAAATTTTGGTTTAGGCGTGGTTTTTATTGATAAATGAAATAAAATAAAACTATATTTATAATGTACATAATGGGATGGGATTAATGACAATAAGTAGCTTGCACATTCAGCCAGTTTGATGTGCAACATTTTTATACATGACTCATAATATTCTATCTATTGTTTAGTTCTTCATTCTATTTATTTCTCAATTAACTTCAGTTCGCTTGTTTTATGTATTTTTTTTATGATATCTACGAAATCTTCTCCAATTCTGAATGCATTTTGATTTATTTTCAGCAGTAAACGATTAATGGTTGATTAAAATTAAAAAGTGCCATCTCAGAATCGACCCCAATACACTCATATCTCGTCATAGTCGTAGAATACTGACGGATCTGACAAAGATTACATATAAAGATCCGTCAGTATTCTACGACTATGACGATATATTAGTTTAAAGAGATGAGTACAATATGAGTAAGTACTTAAGTACCTATTATATTCCTTTTAACTGAGAAATGCGAAACACAAAGATAGGGGGCTATCAATTAAGTTGACACGGGTCAGAGATAACAGTACGAGGAATCCCAAGATGTAATGTTTAAAACTGTACTATTTAAAATTAATTGGAATTGTTTGTCAAGCGATTTAGATCAGATGTTTCAATTTATTACATTTCTGCATTCATTTACCAGAGGAACACTTTGCACAAAAGTCGATTGCTTGGGTACCTCTGTCTCATTCGTGTTTTAACCGTGAAGCAGTTGTGTTTGCATGGCAGTGTTTCGCTTCGAAGGGTGGGATATTGCAGTGAATTTACAGGATACAGAGGAATAATATCTGAGTCTTCAGTAATAGTAACGCATGGGCATCATAACTGAGACAGTATACTTTGTTACATCCATGATATTGCTCATGTCTATAGACGTCAGTTATCACTTTCCATCAGGTGGGCCGTCAGCTTGTTTGCCATTCTAAGTTGTATAAAAAAACTGATACATTGGGACCGATTCTGAAACAAATTTACCTCACCTAATATTTTTATTCGATAATTTCGCTAAATTACTATCTTATAGGCCATCACAAATTGATATTATAACAATTTTGACTTAAAACCTATTAATAAATTAGTTAATATTAGTTCTTATAATTAAGATTTCGTTGTGATAAAGTGAAGTTTAAATTTCAGAAGTTACTTTAGGGAAGTGTCGTCTCAGAATGGAACCCCCATTGTTTACACTTGGTGGAATTTGGAATTATTATTAAAAGATTCATAATTACTTGTGATACTTTAATTTAAAAATACTAACAGCCACAACAATTCACTCATGTCCACTAGGATCACGCGTATATCTCTATGAGGAACCTGAACCCTGAGCCCCTCTCACTCTTCAGTTTGATGTTGACGAAATTGAAGCCAAGCCCGCCACGGTTTATAGACGGCTCTGCCAGACCGTTGTCTAGATCCTTTATAGCGATACCTTTAATCCTCTGATCTCCCAGGGGATACTCGAAGTACACTTCTTCGACCCTCTTAATCAACGGTATGCCAGTCGTCTCCACTGTTTTCTCGTAAACTTTATTTATACCTCCCTGGCTATAAACATGGCCGACCATAACACTCTTCGCGTGTGCGACACACAAAAAGGCGGTAAATACGTATAAAATTTTAAGAAACATCACGACTTGTTTATTTCGATGTTAATTATAAACTGAACTAACGAGGGACAAGATGCGAGTGGGTCAGTAATGAGGTCATATTTGGTAAGCAGTTTGTGACGTATTAGGCTGAATGTACACGTTATCCTTGTGACGACAAAATTATCACAAACGTTTAAATAATATGACGGTCAATATGTAAAATATAACGTGATTTGCATATACCCAAACATTGTACGTAAAAATTATTAAACTTAATCTATCACGTGATTAAGAGAAGCATTAAATTTTACTAGACAAAGACAAACAATTTTCAATATTTTTGACCGGTTATTTTTGTGCTCTTCCTAACTTAATCCTCAATCATCATCATCTTCATTTCAGCCATTATTCGTCCAGTCTTAATCATGCAATAATATAATACACTAGTGGAAAAAATTAAGGGATCAGAAAAAAATGCCAAATTTTTTGAGGTTTTTTCAAGTAGCTGTATTTCCTTTAAAAATGGTCGTATTGGAATTTTAAAAAAAGGATTTTAAAGCTCAAAGTTTCTAGTTTTGAGATCTTATGATGAAAACATTTTTTAAGCAACGTGTTCTGCTCAATCGTAATGAATACTGAAACGACAAATTATTCAAAATTTTTTTGGTTCTTTTTTCGGTCTACGAACTTGAAAAAAATTTTTCTAACTTAACCACTATATAGATCGGATAGTATGTTCATTCAACTTAAATTTTTTGCAAATTTCGTTACGACTACTTCTCGCTGAGATATTGAATTTTAAATGAAAAAGGATCTTTTTGTCTTTAACCATCAATATATCAGCAACCGCCGCTCATCACATAAGGAAATTAAAGAGGGTTCTGAAATCTTGAATAAATTTTCGACAAAAATCAGCGATGGTTTTTCGAAGAAAAACATTTTTTTATTCTTTACATTAATTTGAAAAATCAAGAAAAAAAGGGCTTTTAGTGACTTTTGGGATAATCAGGCGCTAAGATGGAAATATCGAGAAAACCAGTAGTTGAGTGTGCCTTTTACAGTTCAATAAACCCACAAAAACCCCACAAAGTTTCGATTCAATCCATCGAGCCGTTTTATTGTTTAATTCGATCGAATTTTTAAAAAAGTTAAAGGATCATGATTTTGACTTTAAATGATCATAATCTTTAGCAAAATGCAAACAAATGTTTTTCAGTTTTTTTATACATTTTTATTGACAAGTTCTTAGCATTATAAGGTAAGAACTGTATACACCAAGCTTTATATTATTTACTTCTCATATCACAAGGGTCACAATTTATAGCGAATAATCTAGTCAACCAATTTATAATAAGTAATTACATTTAAAAATGAACTTTAACACCTTGATTTAGAGTCAAGTTTCACTGAGATTATAAATTATACATAACTACAGTAAACTGTATTATTTTTACTTTTTTTTTTATAGGATTTTTTTAATAGTAATTTTATTGTACAATCGATCTCATGTCAATTTAGTTCATCTTTCAGAATGGAAATTATAGACGAATTTAAATAGTCTTAATTTTTTTTATATACCACTGAGGTGGCAATCAAGCATACGACCCACCTGATGATAAGTTACTGCAGCCTATATTACCGATCCCTATATTAATCGTATGAATGCAAGACTACGAAATAAATATAGCAGCAATTTGTGAAAAATAATATAACTTTAGAAATTTTTAAACTTTGAATTTATAAAAAATTATAAATTTTATATTATCTTTTATACAATCAGAGACAACATTTTATTGCCTTCCACTTTCTATGAAATTAAGCATTTTTTTAGTATTCCTGATAAAACTGAAATTATTTCGTTCAAGGTAAAATCTTTTATATAAAAAGTTTTTTTTTTTAATCTGTCATTTATTATCAATGAAAAGTAAACGTCATGTTGTAATTTAACACATTATAAGCAGGGCGACCACTAGTACCCGTTTTGTGGATTGCCGTCCCTCAGCGGGGCGGGTATTTTTACCCGTTTTGTAGACTGCCGTTTATCAGCGGAGCGGGTATTTGTACTTGTTTTGTGGATTGCCGTCTATCAGCGGGGCGGATATTTGTACCCGTTTTGTAGACTGCCGTCTATCAGCGGAGCGGGTATTTGTACCCGTTTTGTGGATTGCCGTCTATCAACGGGGCGGGTATTTGTACCCGTTTTGTACACTGCCATCTATCAACGGAGCTGGTATTTGTATTGATATTATAACAATTTTGACTTAAAATATATTAGTAAATTAGTTCATATTGGTCCTTACAATCAAGATTTCGTTGTAATAAATTGAAATTTTAATTTTAGAAGTAAGTTTAGAGAAGTATTACTTCAGAATGGAGCTCATTGTTTACACTTGGTGGAATTTAGAATTATTAAAAGATTAATTACTTGTGATACTTTAATTTAAAAATACAAACATCCACAACAATTCATCGCGTCCGCTAGGATCACGCGTATACCTCTATGCGGAACCTGAGCCCTAAGCCCCTCTCACTCTTCAATGTGATGTTGACGAAGTTAAACCCAAGGCCGCCAGAGTTTATAGACGACTCTGCCAGACCGTTGTCCAGGTCCATTACAGCGACACCTTTAATCATTTGATCATCCAGCGGATACTCAAAGTACACTTCTTCGGTCTTCTTAATCAACGGTATGCCACTTGTCTCCACTGTTTTCTCGTAAACCTTATGTATACTTCCTTGCTTATAAACATGGCCGACTATAACACTCTTCGCGTGTGCGACACACAAAAAGACGGTAAATACGTACAAAATTTTAAGAAACATCTCGACGTGTTTGTGTCAATGTTAATTATAAACTGAACTAACGAGGGACAAAATGCGAGTGGGTCAGTAATGAGGTCGTATTTTGTAAGCAGTGGTGACGTATTAGGCTGAATGTACATGTTATCCTTGTGACGAGAAAATTATTTATTTATTTATTTATTTATTTTAAAAATAATTATAACATTATAACAGCAAAAGCCAAATCAATGTTGTAAATAACAATAATAATTATAAACGATCAAATAATATAATAATATGTAAAATATAACGTGATTTGCATATACCTAAACATTATACGTAAAAATAATTAAACCTAACCTATCACGTGATTAACAGAAGTCATAACTTTAGCTAGACGAAGACAAACAATTGAATTTTGAATATTTTTGACCGATTGTTTTTGTGCTAACTAAAACCAAAACTTTAATCGTGTAATAATATAATATAAAAGGTAGACTGGAAAAGATCGCTCTCAGTTTCTCTCTCTTTTTGTTATTAATGTAATATACGGGTGATTCTCTGTAAACTCGTAATCGGCTGTCCCGACTGTTTTTTTCAAAAAGTAATATAATTACTTTCATAAAAATCATTTCTAATGAAACTTTAACCCCAAAAATTTACGGGCCCATTGTTTTTAGAACCATAACTATTTTAATTTTTTTTCTAGAAGTGATTGAAGCTCTAAAAATACAGTCCCCTAGCTGTCCCCATCACTATATTCCTGCCTAGAAACGAGATTTATGAAGAAGTTATTGAAACTACATACATTTGGCAGTTAATATAATAAGATAAAATATAAAATTAATATTATTTTCGTAAAACAAGGTCTCATTACGAATTCTATTATATTAGTAAACACTTGTAAACTTTGTCCCTAGAATTTCTATACAGTCCCCTGCCAAAAATTTAAATCCATATTTAAAAAAAACTGTAATATTTACAAAAGTTTTTTAGAGAGAAACGAAACGCAATTATTGTTAAATTGGCAACCTTGCCGAAAGTGGCAACGAGACACCATTTTGTTTAGCGTCAGAACTTCATTTGTAAGGTAAATACGCGTCTGGTCCGCTACCACACACAGTCCTCTGGTAAGTAATATTATTTATATGTTAATTACTTTAATAATCGCTATATAGTTTATTGTTTTATTATTTATGTCTAAATTGATAGGCAGGTTCTTAAAAAACTATTTTACATCAGTTTTGTAAATATTGTGAAATCTGACCTAAATACACAGTCCCCTGGCAACAGTCCTCAGCCTGAAAATGCAGCAGGGGACTGTTTTAAACAACAGGGGACTGTGTATTTTGCATATTGGTTATTGTTTTTATATATTATTGGTGTAAATTTATCCGCTAAGTATCATTGCTTTGCATTATTTTTCTTTATAAACTTATATTAAGTTATACAGGTCGATCAAACATACATGATATTGTTCCTAAAAAGAAAAAAAATTCCCCAGGGGAAACTACTAAAAAAAAGAGAGAAGCAGAGCGACTACGATACAAAAGAAGAAAAAATAATTTGAAAAGAGATAACAAATAAGAGAAAAGGAGAAGTTGAAGTACCAAAAGAAGAAAGAAAAAGGTTTGTGAAAATTAGTAATGGTTATCTCGTGAGTACAGAGCTGCCTTAAAGAAGTGGAATGAATATTGTATTGTATACCGAGCTAAAAAACTAAGACTGAAAAGTGTCACTAATAAGTTTGTACGAGAAAATACACCGTTATCAGATCCAGAAGCAGATACTTTATCTACAAGACCCTTCACTCTAGTTCCAGTTCAAATATCTCCAGCTCCAAGCCCAGCAGTTTCCAGTCAAAGAAGAAAAGAAGTCTTAATACAACAAAGAAGTTTAACAGAGAAATAAATAAATGAATCACACGTTTAGAAAAAAAAAACTTGTGAAGTACAACTTACAACTTTATAACTAGAAATACTATGAAGAAACAGAAGAGGTATCTTCTTGATACAGTTTTTAATCTTTATAAAAAGTTTATTACTGGGCACATAAAAATTTGCTACCAAAAATTTTGCCGACTCCGTCCATTTTGGGTTGTGAAGCCAAACGCTTAAAACCACGATACATGTCTTTGCATTGTTCATAGTAACATAGACATGAAGCTCAGCGCACTTCATACTAATAACATATTGACTTACAACAATCACCAAAAGTTGGTGAAAGATCTATGTTGCGACCGATATAATGTTAATTGTTTGGCGAGATCATGTCATACTCGCATTGATAAAAACCCGAAATATAAACAAATTGATGACAGAAAGGATATAAAATGTGGATTTCTGAAATTCAAGATTTTAAGACTAAATGGAACCGACTGGTGACTAAATATTTGAAAAAAAAAACATTTGGATGTTCAAGACAGCTCATAACACATTTACAGACAGATTTACACAAATTTTTGATCACCAGAGAAATATTGTTCACCAATATAAAACAATGAATAATTTAAAGTCAAATCTACAAGATGATGAAGTTCTGATCCACGTAGATTTTAGCGAGAATTATAGCACTAAATACGTAAAAAATACAGAACTTTCATTTCGATAGATCTCGAGCATTATTGAGCCTGCATACCTTAGTAGTTTACCTATGAAATTCCATTCATTCTTTTTGCACAGTCTCCGAGAACATAGCCCATTCATCTGCTGCTCTTTGGACACATCTACGACCAATTTTCAATATTCTTCCATGTGGCATCGAACGAGGGTATTTCTTGAGCGATGGCTCTGTAACAGTCCCCTGATACCTCATACAGTCCCCTGTCATGAATTTTTGAAAAATCGTTAATAACTCGGAAAATACGTATAAATTCAGTGGGCCGCCTTATCTAACTAAAATAATAGTTAATTTTCTTCCAAATACGACACGGTTTTTTGGCAAATGGCAAAAATAATTGTCAGGACAGCATTTGTATAGGACCTGTACGAGCTTACAGAGAAATACCCATACAATAGATATATACCTACTGCATATACATTAATATTCAAAACTCGATTTAAACGACAATAATTATATATACATATTGGTAAGAACTGTATACACCAAGCTTTATATTATTTACTTCTCATATCACAAGGGTCACAAGTATAGTGAATAATCTAGTCAGTCAATTTATAATAAGTAATTACATTTAAAACTGAACTTCAACACCTTGATTTAGATGTCTATGTGACAATGACAATCAGGTTTCACTGAGATTATAAATTATACATAACTACAGTAAACAGTGATATTTTTACATTCATACATACAATTATTTTCAACGAATGTAAATGTCATGTTGTAATTTAAATTTAACACTATATAAGCGGGGCGGGTATTAGTACCCGTTTTGTGGACTGTCGTCTATCAGCAAAGCGGGTATTTGTACCCGTTTTGTGGACTGCCGTCTACAAGCGAGACGGGTATTAGTACCCGTTTTGTAGACAGCCGTCTATCAACGGGTCGGGTATTTGTACCCGTTTTGTGGACTGCCATCTACAAGCGAGACGGGTATTAGTACCCGTTTTGTAGACAGCCGTCTATCAACGGGTCGGGTATTTGTACCCTTTTGAAAAATACATTTTAATGCTTTTAAGCAAGGCACAGTACTAGTACTCGTTGGTTGATTTATGAATTATAAGTAGATGTTTTTTAAATGCTATAATTCATTAAAATATTAGTGCTTAGTTTTAGTGAATACGTTTAAAAAAACGATAAAACATTTGTTACATTGTTTCCCTTAGTCTACAGTGTAAATATATTTTTTAGTTTGAATAATAAAAACAACAGATTATAGTAGGTCATGTTACAAAATTTTATTGAAATCCTATCATTACTTTTAAAGATTATGCTAATTTTCAAACGCAAATTTTTCGCTTACTCCGTAAATTTCACACGCTACGCAGTATCGTCAGGGCTAATAGACAGCCCGCTTAAAATGTGTAATATGGAATAGACAAACATATACTCACCTATAAAGTATTCATACAGCTGCTCGAGTCTGGAGTCTCCTATGAACGCGAAACTGTTGTACTTGCCCCAAAACGCAAGGTAACGCAAGCACCGGCGCGCGTCACTGTAACAATACATATTCTATGGTAAATGTCATACTGCTGAATTAAACAAAATATGGCATTTTATTGTACCCTAACAACTATTTCATCCTAGTTTCAACATGGTATCTTTTGAATTTTTATTTAGGATTTAGCATTCAAGCTACATTCTGTCAATGTCCTACCTTTCAATTTTATCATCTTGTGAGAACAGTCACAAAATTGTACTATTTTTTTATTCAAATTTTTGTTGAGGCTTCAATACACTTGAGTGAGGGGAAAGGGATTGTTAGTTATGGAGACTGAGAATCCCATTGCTAGCAATATACCCAATCAGGTCGACCTCCTCGTGATTCTCCCTGGAAACTATCATGGTTAATTCCTGATGAATTCATCATGATGGCTAACTGGCCTGTTTTCATTCTCATCTATCACTCTTCACACCGCCAGCGTATCCCATTGTGCAGGCGGGGTTACAATACCATTTTCACCCATCAAAAAAAAATACACTTGGGTGACTATGCCACCCTCATAAGGAATATTATACTAATATTATGAATGTAAAGTGAGTTTATTCATTTGTTTACTTCTTAGTACCTTAAAATAACAACACAAACAGGTCATATAACATAACAGAGCGATGGACAGAACCATCCATCTTAAAACATCGCCAAAGACTAACTGCAGTTGCCAACCCGCCTGACAAGTGTGGCAACTACTGGCAAAATCCCCAATAGGGGTAAACCTATGTTCAGCAGTGAACAGTTAATGGCTGAAATGATGATGATTTATTACTGTGTTTTTATAGTAACTTACGTTTTAGAATATTTGTGCAGCATACAGCCATAGGGCTGCCACTCATGGTCACCCTTGTACCGACCAGAGGACAGCAGCCATGTGCATGAATCTGGACCTATAACCATATATTTTATTTATTTATTTATATATAACTTAATGATACATAAATTTTATATATAGATAAACAAAAACATTTGCCTTTAATAGGTTTGTACCATAAAGAATCCTCAATGTTGGGTAAGGGCCTCCCCCATTTTATTCCATTTTCATTTATTGATGGTTAGTCTGTTCCAGATCTTTCCAGCACTCTCTTTTACATAATATAAATTAAAATAATCGAAAAATTAATATAATTTATATGATGCTAGTGAATGTTGATAGTTTGGGAGTTTAGACATTTTTTTTTATGACCACACAGCAAACCGATGTAGAATACTGGATATATTATACATAGAAATAATTCTCTCCTAACAGGAAGAAATCAGATAGCTCAGTCTATACTGAGCCTATGCTTTAATTTAGTTTTCTTCCCCTTGCACTGGTTCATTGTGCTTTGGTGGCTTATTCACCTTGTATTAGGATCTACTCTATAAATATATATGGTAATGGGGGGGAAGGGATTGTTAGTAATGGAGAATTTAGTCCACATTGCTATCAATATACCCTATCAGATCGACCTCCATGCAGTTCCCCCTGGAAACTATTGTGACCAATTTATCATTGAATTCGTCACGATGGGCTAACTGACCTGCCTTTTCATCCTCACCTATCACCTCTCACTGGTACACCGCTAGTGTATACCGATAGCGCTAGCGGGGTAACCATGCCATTTTCTCGAATAATACATGATAATGTTCTGAATTCAACAATTGAGACAAAAAAATTAAAGTGCTCTAAAAATCTACAAGCTAACTGGTACCACCATAGAATATAGTACTCAAAAACAAGCCTCACCGTATCTGAGATGAAGTATTCCATGATAACCAATAAATCCAATTACAAGAAAAAATGCTAGCAATTTTGCGTTCTCTACATTTAGCTGTTCTATAAACCATTCTGCTGATGACTTTTTGCAATACGATACCATCATGAGATTATATGAACCATATATTATGCTTAAGATTATACTGTATTTATTTATTTTCGTTTGCACATATTAAAACGAGTATAGGTTATATCATTCTATGCAAAATCAAAACAACCGCTGATTTTATCGCGAAAAACTTAGCAAATATTAGTTTAGGATTTTCCTGTCAATGTAAAAAGTTTCTACTTATTTTATAATAAAGGTATTAGCAACATACAAGTTGAAGAGATTCCAAATTATATGAAAATTGAAATCTTTACAATCAAACACAAATCCGATCGAACGTCAGTCGATTCGACAACAAACAAAACAAAATATGTATTGCTATGGTTTATTAATCTTTGGGTTTATTTTATCTGCACCACAGATCTGAACAGTATTTTTAGTCTTCTCTATAATAAAAGATTTCCTTGTTCTTAGTCTATAATTCTATCACAGATAATAATAAAAAAAACGTATAGAACCACAGACTAAAAACTTTTGTTCTGTATTCGTAGACTGTCTCTATCTAACAACAAGGAATTACATAAAAGGAATGATTCAACAAAAACTGTAAATCATATAATGGTCTCTTTTCTTCTTATGCAAATGTAATTAGTAAAAAGAGAACGAAAGACATACCATCAGTTGCTATTTTTCCTAATTCATAGCAGGCTAGTGTATAAAAAAATGTGTATTTAAAATTTTTGTTCATTTACATTACTAGATTATATATATCTATTACATATATATATATTAGACACAGTTTATGTAGAAAGTATGCAAGCAGGTTGAATCTAAATTTGGTAGGGTTATAGAAACGTGTAATATTTTCTATATACTAACCTGTATATGAATAAAAAAAATTGCAACTGATTGTATATCTTTCGTCCTCCTTTTACTAATTATATTAATAAAAGAAGAAAGGAGGCAATCATATGATTTACATTTTTTATTTTATCATTCCTTCTATGTAATTCCTTGTTCTTAGGTCTCTGTTTAACACACCATTTACTAATTACTCTGTAAAGTCTGAATAAGCTAGAAACAGGACATAAGACTCATAATGATTTTTAGCTAGTAACACTAAAATCAAAAAGTCTAAATAAATTGGATTACAATGGCGGCTATGTCCCCATCTCAGGTATGTAAAATAAATAAAAATCTGTTACCAAGTGCATTTCAATATCATTATAAGAAAATCAGAAATTCCAAATAGTTTCAACAAATGTAAAACCAGTGCCACGATCCTCTGTATCGTAATTAGTATTTAGTTTCTTTATTATATTCAATCATTGACAGTATACGGATGGGTTTTTGTCAAATTCGTAATGTTATGTTGTCAATAAATTTTTCTTATAACAATCTGTCGTATGTACATCAATATTAATTTCTTTTCAGCGGAGATTACAAAAAGAACTAATGTCGTTAATAAGAGAACCACCTCCAGGAGTCACGGTAGATGGAGATCAGGCCAGCCAAAATCTGACTTTGTAAGTAAAACTGATAAAAGTCATAAATATTTTCAATAAATTTAAATTATAGTAATCTTTTAATAACCAGATCATTCAATTTCTGTTTGTTGTTCCCAATTTTGCATAAGATTTCAATTGAAATCTTGACTTTGAGAATGTCATACTCAATAAAAATTTTATATTATAATTAATTTTATTTTATTGAATTAAAATTAATGCAATTAAGTATTTAATTTACAGAAGTTCTTTTGGTGTATATGTCCCATCTCTTCTTTCACAAATCTTTATTTTGGGCAGTCCTCGTCTTTTTTTATGATACTTTCAAAGTGATACTTGATAAGTAGCAAACAAGTTGACAACCCACAAACATTGAACAGCTGCATATACATTACAGAATACACAATTACACCCATGGTACTCCTCATGTGTTGCCTTTTCTGATTAATATGATGTAATTACTCTGTAACCTGTAATTTTGCTGCCAGAATTTCATATCCATATATTGTTTATTCTCCATCATCTGCATGCTTGCCCACAATCAACTTAACAAACCTGTTTCTTGGACGGAAGGGGGGAGGGGGGGGAGATTGTTAGTTATGCGGACTACTAGTCCCATTCCTATATATACCCTATCAGCTCTACCTCCACATAGTTTACCATGGAAACCATCATGCTAAATTACTGGTGTATTTATTACTATGGGCTGACAGATCTGCCTTCTGAGCATCACCTATCATCCCTTACTGGTGACCCACCAGCATGTTCCATTAGTTTCTCAAGATTTTCTATCACTTCCTATATACATCTATCAACCAATATATCTGGACTGTATCAATTTCAGAGATCTAATTCTTTACATAATATTATATATTTAACAAGCTTATATTAAATATACTTCAAATATATATTTCTCTAACAACATAAGCTGTATGCAACAATACATACAAACATAACAAGTGTACTAACTTATTATTTATTTATTTGCTCATTTATTTATTTATTATTATATTTCTCACCACAAACAATTTAGGACTTAATATCTATAACTTGCAGAACATTTTAACAATATTATTTGTGGGAGCTGGTGCCTGTATTAGGTATTAAACCTGTATTACAAGTCACCAGGACCCTTACCTCGATTATAATATAAAAAATGCATCAATAGCTTTACAAATTAATATATTAATCTTGGTATTATGAACATATTATATTTGTTAAGCCGTATTTAATATTTTTGTATACAACTTGAGGATTTCAAACAAGTTAATAGCCTGCCTGATGGGAAGTAGTACCACAGCCTGTATACATATATAGCTCACAAAATACACTGTGATGCCTATAACAAGACCTTTCTATAGCAATAAAATTATAATAGCTGGTTCATACAGTCAAAATGATCTTAATTTACATCTACAACTGGTATAATCCCAAAAACCATAAACACAAGCCTCAACACACTATGTATCCAACCATCCTGCGTCTAGTTAAGTAAAATTCTGTCACTCTGATGCCTGAAAAAACACTTGGCTTCAGCACATATCCAAACTACCTCTTAAAGAGAAGAGATCAGCATATACCGATAGTGCAAGCGGGGTTACCTTTTCATTATCACCTCTTAAAAGAAGGTGGGGGGAAGAATTGTTAGTAATCAGGTTTACCTGACCCATTGCTAGCAAAACACCCTATCAAGTCGACCTCCATGCAGTTCCCCTTGGAAACCATTGTGGTTTGATTCTAGTGGAATTTGTCACAATGGGCTAACTGACCTGATTTCATTGTCACCTATCATCTCTCACTGGTGCCCCACCAGTGTATACCGTTAGCGTAGACGGGATTACCATTCCATTATCATCCATTAAAAAACCTCTTAAAGAGAAATATAATTAAATAGGTTAGATGTAAACTGAAAATCAGTGCTGAAGACCCATCAGTCCAGCAAAAGCTGAGTTTGTATTTATTGCCAGGCATATGGGTACTTAACTATATGTATTACTAACATTGTAATTATTGTACCATATTTGTAAAACATGGCAATAAATATTAATTTTAATATAAATAATAATAATATTTTTTTATTACATAATGTATCGAGTAAAGCTCGCCTTGCCATAATTCGAGGAGTACTGACACCAACACTCATGTATGGAAGCGAATCGTGGGTATGGCAGAAGAAGCATGAAAGTAAGATAAATGCTATAGAGATGAGAGCTTTGAGAAGTATGTGTGGTATTACATTAAAAGATAGAGTAAGAAACAGTGTGATTAAAGAGAAGTGTGGACTGAAAGACGATGTAGTGACAAAAATCGAAAAAGGAATGTTGCGTTGGTTTGGTCATTTGGAGAGGATGGATGAAAGAAGAATTACGAAAGAGATTTATCGAGCAAGAATGAATGGAGATGTCGGTAGGGGCCGCCCTAGACGGGCCAAATTAAAAGTACCTGTAACCGGCGAGCGTGTATGAAAAGATTGATGAATGTGGAAGAAGCATAAGAGGTTTGTTTGAATCGAAGCATTTGGGGTTCCATTGTTTCTGCCTACCCTAATGGGAGACAGGCGTGACAGATATGTATGTATGTATGTTCTTTATTACGACTACAGTAGCCTTATTTGTTAATAACATACTATTAGCATAATATCGGTACACCTATTTTACCAAAAAAAAAGTTGACAGATTTAATCACTGCTATGGCGTCCCTAGAATACCCATTGTTAGATCTTTCAAAGTTTATTTAATAAATCATATTAGTAGATGTAGCTAAAATTACTTTTTCTAGCTTAAAGCTATTTTTTTTTTTATAGGATCTACTTAAAATGACAAGTACATCAGTTGTAAATGGATATATTTATTTGTCTGTGATACGATTGAGTTGTTAAGTGATAATTTATACATGATACATATACAAAGTGTTTTTTTTTATACAACTTAGAATGGCAAACAAGCTGACGGCCCACCTGATGGAAAGTGGTATCCGTCGCCTATAGACATGAGCAGTACCATGGACATAACAGAATATACTGTTTCGTCCATGATACCCCCCATGCGTTGCCATTCCTGAGGACTCAGGTGTTATTCCTCTGTACCCAGTAAATTCACGCCATATTCCACCCTTCAAACCAAGTGTTTGAACATGAAGTCATACTTTTTATGTTCATAATCAAAAAGTTTTATAATAATTAAATTTAAACTTTATACTTTAGTAATAGCAAAACAAGATCAGATTGCCAAAATAATTACTATATAAAATATAACGCACACAGTCACACATACGCACACAGTCACGCACACGCACACAGTCACGCACACGCACACGCACACAGTCACGCACACGCACACAGTCACGCACACGCACACAGACACACACACGCTCTCACAGATACACAGAGAGACACTATCGCTACACGCACAAGTAAAGTTATCAGTCTGTTTACCATATGATCTAAGTAATAATGTCGCCTACCTAAAACTAATCTTTTTAGGTTATTGTTAATTATCAATAAAGTATCTCGTATCTCGTCATAGTCGTAGAATACCGACGGATCTGACAAAGATTACATATATAGATCCGTCAGTATTCTACGCCTATGACGATCTATAAGTTTAAAAAGAGAATAAGTACAATTTCATGGCTGTTCTAATTAGTAAAACAATGACTTGATGACACAATAACATTTATCTTTTCATTTATTTATATAATAATAACAAAATATGTTTACCTTATAAATTTTAGGAAATTGGTAAACATTTTGCAATTGAAAATAATAATATATATTTTTATTTATTTATTTATTTATACCTATTGGTCTTTTCAATTGTAAAGACATTTTTTTTTTATTATTTTTAACTATAACACTCAAGTCGATCGGTACACATGTATGACTGTAACTACTAATGAACTGTCACTTTTCTCATATTGGGTTTGCTGGAAGAAATCTCTATTGGAGATAAGCTCGCCTTTGTGCACTATTATGTTTGTTTTTACATTTTAATAACCGTTTGTGTACAATAAAGAATAATATTTACGAATGGTATTTGTACTTTTTATTGCATGATAGTAGAATGGTAACCACTCCTGTGCAATCGGTATACACTGGCGGGGTACCAGTGAGGGATGATAAGTGAGGATGAAGCAGGTGAGTTGGCCCATCGTGACGAATGCTACAATAAATCAATCGCGATGGTTTCCAAGTGGAACCGCGAGGAAGGCTACCTGATAGGGTTTATGCTGGCAATGGGGTTGTTAATAAACAACCGTCGCCCGCAGATATGAACAGTACCGTGGACATGATAGAGTTTACTGTATCGCCCGGGACGCCCCTCATGCGTTACCAGTCCTTAGGACTAAGGTGTTTTATTTTAATGGGTGTTAATGGAATGATAATCCCACCCGCGCTAACGGTATACACCGGCGGGGCACCAGTGAAGGATGATAGGTGAGGATGAAGCAGGCCAGTTAGCCCATCGTGACGAATTCAACAAGAATTGTTCACGATGGTTTCCAGGGGGAACCACGTGGAAGTCGATCTGATAGGGCATATTGCTAGCAATAGGGCTATCAAACACCATTGCTAGCAATCCCTTTCCCCCCTAGAACTAAGGTGTTATGCCTCTGTACCCTGTTATTTCACTGCCATATCCCACCCTTCAAATCGAAACAGCCATGCAAACTTCTTTACGCTATCTCAGTACCCACTTAATGATGAAGCCCAAATTCTTTACCCATATAATTTCCTAATCGATTGCAAACCTTGGCATATGCGAGCATACACCAAAAGCACAACCGCAAGTGCTTGGGAATCCAAACCCAGTACATATAACAAAAAAAAACTTCTTTACGCTAGAAACACGAATAAGATAGAGGTACCCAAATAAATGACTTTGTACTAAAAGTTTTGTTTTTTTTTAATGAATTCTGTATTACTTGACAGGTGGACAGTACATATGGAAGGTGTCCCCGGTACATTGTATGAAGGCGAAAAATTCGTATTGCAGTTTAAATTCACAAACAAATATCCCTTCGACTCCCCTGAGGTGAGTGACTCCGGCTGTTTGTATCTAAACAATGAATTTTGAATGAATGAATGAGTATACTTTATTTGCATTATACAATATAGGAAATAAGCAAGACAATTAACAAATATAATGATACAATTGTATTATATAAGTACAGTAAGGCGGTCTTATTGCTGAGAGCAATCTTTTCAAGACAACCTTAGGGTAATGGACTAATTGTTGTACAAGTAGGTATGATAGTGCTGTATAATTGAGAAAGTTAACAGCGTAAAACATTAAGGGAAATAATTATTTTAGTTTTTATGTTTTATAAGAGACGGGAATGCCACTGTATGGTCCCGATATAGAATGGGCTACCCCTTATTTTCTAAGGAACTAAGGGAACTTAATGGTCGAGGGATAAACAGCATCCCTCTTAAAACATCACCAGAGCCTAACTGCGGTTGCCAACGTTGGTTGCCAAGCGTGGCAACTACTGGCAAAATCCAATAATAGGGGGGAAGCCTATGTTCAGCAGTGGACCGTTAACGGCTGTGATAATGATGATAATGTATAATATTAAAATTCGGGGGGAAAGGGATTGTTAGTAATGGAGACTGAGAATCCCATTGCTAACGATATACCCAACCAGGTCGACCTCCTCGCGGTTCCCCCTGGAAACTATCATGATTTATTCCTGATGAATTCATCATGATGGGCTAACTGGCCTGTTTTCATTCTCATCTATCACCCTTCACTGGTGCTCCGCCAGCGTATCCCGTTAGCGCAGGCGGGGTTACCATTCCATTTTCACCCATCAAAAAAAAAATTTAAATTCATTCGTGAAGTCAAATATTTATTGAAAATATATGCTTATTTTTAAAACCTTTATGAGCATATTTCGTCATGTTTTGCAATAAAAAGTCAATGCGGGGTTAAAAATTTAGTAGGTACCACTTAATGCGTCCAAATTAGGTTCCGCTTGTTAAATCTCCGATTGTGTCTTCATCTTGTTTGTGATTGCGTTCAGTTAGTATTCGGTATCGGAATTATTCTTGTTTAAACAAAACTCGTGGGCAACGCTCTGAGGAATTGTTCGGATTGATACCTGCTGCTGATTTTTACCACCGTACAACCCGCCATAAACTAAAGTTTCATTTTAACCATCTGGACGAGTGGCGGTCTTCCACCGTGCGTTTTTCAAGGCACTTTCTTCCACACACAACCAATCTTTGGAATCAACTTCCAGCATTTTCGAATCGATACGACATCTTAATCTTAAAGAAAAGAGCATATTCCTTTTTAAAAGACCGGCAGTATACCTGCAATGGCTTTGGTGTTGCGGCTGATCATAGCCGGTGGTCACTTACCATTAGGTGAGCTGCATGCTCATTTACCCCCTGTGTTATAAAAAAAACGCATTTTTTTAATGGTTGACAATGGAATGATGACCCCTTCTGCATTAACAGTATACACTAGCAGGGCACCACTGAGGAACGATGTGAGAATGAAGCAGGTCAGTTAGCCCATCGTGATGAATACACCTAGAATTCAGCACGATGGTTTCCACGTGGAAGTCGACCTGACAGGGTATATTGTTAGCAATGGGAATGGTACTCCGCATTACTAACAATCCCTTTCCTCTCAAACACGTAATATAATCAAATGAAAATGTTATCAGTACAGTAGATTTAGATAAATTATATTTTGTGTACTAAATATTTCATTAGATCGATAAGAATAACGATAAAGGCAATAATTTGGTAAGAACTCACTATATCGGTTGTGTTACCGATACGTTTTCTATCGTGGTCCCCCCTGGAAACCGTCGTGCTGATTTCCAGGTGTATTCATCACGATTGGCTGAATAAAGTGCCTTTCTCATTTTCACCTGTCATCCCTCACTGGTGCCCCGCCAGCGTATACCGTTAGCGCAGGCGGGGTTACCATTCCATTATAATCAATAAAAAAAAAAGAAAGTTACATTTTCTATTTCAATGGATCTTAATAAACAACCGAATAATCAATCCGACCCAGGGCCGTAGCTAGACCCAAGTTTAAGGTAGGCCGAAAGCAGTTTTTGGTAGGCCATAAGCCATAATGAAGTGACTTCGAAAAAACGAATCTGTCTAATTTGCTTGGAGCCTTTCATTTTAAGGTTAAAGGAATCAACATTGGACCTTTTAAGATAGCGCATTGTCCCTCAATGCACCTCCCCCCCCCCCCCCTACTACGGCCATTATTCAACCTCAAGACAGTACTCTGGTGTCCAATAGTGATACAATTTTAAACCGCCTACGCTAGCAGGGCACCAACGCGGGATGACGGATGAGAATGGGCAAATCAGTTAGTCCATTATAAGGAGTATCACAATAATTAACTACTATGGTTTCCAGAGAAAACCACGTGGAGGTCGATCTGATGGGGTATATTGCTACTAATGGGGCTGACAGTCCCCATTCATCAGCACGAATTTATATACCAAAAAAATACTTCAATCTTCTTTTATATCTTTGAAAATAGCTAACAAGTTAACGAAAATGACAATAAGGACACGGGAACGTTAAAAAATATGGGTGTCCACCAAGTAACCTGTTTTGGAATTTGCGACAAACCATTACCCACTTTTCTTTGGCAATTAGGTAGAAATATAATAGAAAAAAATCATGTTTGTCCAACAACCGTGATAATCAACAACATCCTTGTGTGGATGGGCACTAAAAAACGGCAATTATGTTTCCTTAGCGCCACTCGAGGCCGCCGAGTCTCATCTCGCATATTTACTAGAAAATGATCCGACACTTGTTTACACAAGGAAAATATTAACTTGATTTCTGTCTGTATAATCAGTTTTTTCTATATTTGGTTATACCAGTGATTCTCAACCTTTTTTTTTTTGTTGCGGCACATATTTAACGATTTCAAAATTTGGCGGCACACAAAGAAATAGATAAAAATTATTTGCTTACTACAACACACTGCATAAATAGTTTATGACAAAAATTTTAAATATTTGCAAAGTTTGGCGGCACACTTTTAAAATTTGGCGGCACACAAAAGTGCCGCGGCACAGTGGTTGAGAATCACTGGGTTATACATTTCTCTACATTTCATTGCTGATGCGTCTTTTTAGAGTTCCGTGTCTCCAAAGGAAAAACGGAACCCTTATAACACCTCGTTATCTGTCCGTTCGTCCGTGTGTCAAGACACTTTTTCTTAGGAACGCGTGGAGGTGTAAAGTTGAAATTAATATCATATACTCAGATCTGCGATCTCTTAAAGCATTGAAAAAATCAAGCTTCTAAATCGACGCAATCGAAAGATACGGCCGTTTATGTTCCATTTATATCGCATATTTTGACATTCGCAAAGGGAATCGAAACCTGTAGGGTACATCCCGTTGACCTAGAATCATGAAATTTGGCAAGAAGCAATGTGATGTAGCTAGTGTAGTATGTAGTGATAAAGGAAAAAATCCGAAAACCGTAAATTTGTAGTTATTTAAAAAAAATAAACTTGATGATTTTGTACGGAACCTTCGTTGCATGAGTCCGATTACCACTTGGCCGGCTTTTTTGCGTATTAATAATGAATCTCACAATATTGTTCACCGCTCTACCCACTGACATTGATGCTCCTTTCCACTTTGGATTTGCTGGGAGAGAACTCTTTTAGAGTTAAGCTCGCCTTTGTACATTTGATTTCAAGTGTCATACTTCTGTATGTATTATTGGTGTGTACAATATTCGGCGATGTACAGTATTATATGTATGTACCATATATTGTGTGCCGTGTGGTCCCAGCATAGAATAAGCCATCCCCTTCCTTTCCCGTGGATGTCGTAAGAGACGACTAAGTGAGGGCGAGGGATAGGCAGCAGCGTCCTAAAACATCTCTAAAGTCTAACTGCGGTTGCCAACCCGCTTGCCAAGCGTGGCAACTACTGGCAAAACCCCTCATAGGGGAGGCTTATGTTCAGCAGTGGACAGTTAAGGGCTGATATGATAATGATAACAATATTCGGCACGTGGTCCCGGCATTGAATGGACCACCCCTTCCTTTCCCGTGGGTGTCGTAAGAGGCGACTAAGGGAATCGGAACCGAGATTCTAAGAAGCCTTATAGTCCTTCTTCAATTCAACTATAGTGCCTTTGTACCAATTTCATAATGCTTGTTTTTTTTTTATTAATTAAAAATCGATTAACCCCGCCTGCGCTATCGGTGTACGCTAACGGGGCAACGATGATGGATGATAGGTGAGAATAAAAGGGCAAATCTGTTAGCCCATCCTGATGAATACACCTAAAATTCAGCATGATAGTTTCCAGGGGGAACCACCTTAAAAAAAGACCCTATATTGCTAGCAATGGGACTGGTAGTCCGCATTAACACAGACACCCCCCCCCCCCCCCCCCCAGGATTGGTTGAGCCGACGCCTAAAGATAGCAAACTCATATTTATAATTTAAAAAGAAGTCTTTTTTTTTAAGTTATATATTATTACTGTGAAAATGAGCTAAATGTGAAACTAAAGCTGGGAAACCATTTAGAAGGTTGTAAATTTGAACATCGCCAGGTGACGTTCGTGGGCAACAATATCCCGGTGCACCCACACGTGTATTCCAACGGCCATATCTGCCTGTCCATACTGACTGACGACTGGTCGCCCGCGCTCTCCGTGCAATCCGTGTGCCTCTCCATCGTCTCCATGCTTAGTAGCTGTAAAGAGAAGGTACTGTACTGCACGTGAATCATACATTTTCATACAAAACATTTTCAATTGACTCCAAAAAGATAGGAAGTTATCAATTCGGTTGTTTTTTTTTTATGTGACTTATATCCCAACCAGAGGGAGACTTTGTACAAAAGTCGTTTGCTTGGATACCTCTGTCCCATTCGTGTTTCAACCGTAAAGCAGTTGTGTTTGCATGGCTGTGTTTCGGTTTGAAGGGTGGGATATGGCGTGAATTTACAGGGTACAGAGGAATAACATCTGAGTCCTCAGGAATGGCAACGCATAAGGGGTATTATGGGTAAAACAGTTTACTCTGTTATGTCCATGGTACTGCTCATGTCTATAGGCGACGGTTACCACTTTCCATCAGGTGGACCGTCAGCTTGTTTGCCATTCTAGGTTGCGTAAAACAAAAACAAAAAAGCACAATTTTGAATTGTATCCCTTGCAATTTTCAGAAGCGGCCCCCAGACAACTCATTCTATGTTAAAACCTGTAACAAAAACCCTAAGAAAACAAAATGGTGGTATCACGGTAAGTAACCGCAACGTCCGGAACCAGTGTTTAGTATTGCAACAACACATTTATTAGGGTTCTGTAGCAAAAATGTACAAGGAAACCCCTTATGGTGTGACTAGAAATGCTATCGATTTGAAATTATAGTTTTACGTATTTTAGGCCCAACATTTTCTTTGCTAAGTGTCCAAAAGGGGTACCTATTCAAACTTTCTTCTCTATTCTACTAGTCCAAATAAAGTATTTTTTTTACCATAAAGGTGGCAAATAATCGTACATACTGTCTGATAATAAATTGTCACTGTAACCTATGGACGCCTGCAACACTAGGGGTGTCTCGTCTCGTACACTCTTTGAAGAATTCCATACTAAGCCTAGTCTAGAAAAACCTCGACAGAGAGCTCATTCAACAGCCTGAGCGTTCCTTGCGAAAACTTCCCTGAAACCGCACTATACGCGACCATTTTTATGTTAGGCTTATTATCAAAGACGTGAATTTTCTAACTACCTCTCGAGATAGAGTTTTTTTGTGTGTATTGTTTTTTTATTATTTTTGTATTTGTGTGTATTGTTTTTTTTTTTATTATTATTATTGTTTTAAAACTGTAAGAAGTCGTCCGTGAAATCACTGTGTGGCTTGCACCGAATACCAGCACTGTTGTCTTTATTTTGTTAATGCAATTGTTTATCGATAAAGCTTCTTTCTTTAATCCCACCCCCCCCCCCCTCCGTGGTCTCATATCGTTTTATATAAAAAAATCTCTTAGCGGTAAATCTCGTATTTTTAGCCATAGGGCCAGGCTGAGTGTGACCTTTTTTTAAATTTTCTTTTTTGTAATTTTACTAACTTTGCTACTGTAATCTTTTGGAGGGAACATTAAAGAGTATCAACACATATATACAAATAATAAATGCCATAATCTTAAAGCCATATGACTTACAGCTTGCAGGGATAGGTGCTGTGCACTATAAGCCACTACTTGTATCTTTCTCATGTGACTCACCGTTGGATCTATTTCTAATGTATATCTCTTATCTTTATTCCCGTGTTTATCTTATATATTTATCACTGTTTTATATATTATTCTTATATACATATACATAACATCTCTTGCACACATGTGTCCGTGAGTTATGTATTTAGGGCCTACTGAAAATCAGTGTCGTAGCTTCAGATTTGAAACTGCGACATATGCTGAGTTAGGTCCTTTGCACAAACACTGCTACATTCATTTTGTTTTTATATGTTTTTCTTTTTTATTCTTTTTATAAAAAATTAGAAGATTTTCTATTTAAAAAGGATAAAATCAAATTTTGTAAATTAATTGTAATTAGATTAAAATTTGTAATTAATTGTGCATAAACAAAATAAACAAAAAAAAAATGTGTTTATTTATATTTCAGACGACTCCGTGTAACGTCACGTCGCGGCGCTGTATCGAGCTTGGACGATAAAATCTCAATATGTGATAAGTGTTATAACGACGTGGTGTGTGTACATAGCGAGTGAGTGCCGTGGTGTGCGGACGTTGGACTAGCGTTGCTTATTGCGTTGCCCTGTGCCCAGTTCGGACGCCATATTGCTGCGGAGCGACACCTGTCGGAAACTTTGACTTCGTTTGACGGATTGAATTGTAAGTAAGCTGATATCCAACCCTTTGAGCTAGATATACACTGGCAGACTGTAATGCATCTCATACTATCCAGTTAATACATTTAAGTCTTTAGAAATGGCATGGCATGAGGAGTATCATGGGCATCACAGTGTATTTTGTGACATCCATGATATTCTTGTCTATAAGTGACGGAAACCACTTACCATCAGGTGGGCCGTCAGCTTGCCAATTTAATATCATAAAAAAGAATGTCTTGTCGTGTAGACAAAACAGTGAGTCCCTAATTGTCATAGCATAATATGGGACATGCCAAAACCAGTGATACTCTGATATGAATCCAAACGACACAGTAGTGTTTCTAGCTTTTGGTTGTTTACCCAGGGTCACCACACGACACGACAAATCGCATTGGCGATAATGAACGCTGTACGTTTTTGTTAACCTTAAATTCCCTTAACGTCGTATTATTCTGTCATTACTAAACTGTTTATACTTGTATATGGGAATCATAAAATATATGTGAAAAATTTAACCTTCTGGTAACTCAACAGAATTCAAACCCGTCTCTCAGCTGTACCAACTAGTATACTTAACCGGATCTCGACAAACATCACTACAGTAGAATTACTAGTCGGTAGTTACATTTATAACACGATAGATGGCGCCTGTATAGATTTATTGACGTTTGAAAGACTTTGAAACATAATTCAAAATTTAACACTTGATAGTATTTTTTTTTTTTTATTTAATTGAGACTACACTTGGCTCAGATGTTTCAGAGTTGTAGATTCGAATCCTTTTACATTGAACTCTAATACATTTTAAATGGTACACAATTGTGAGGCGATAAAAAAATCACTGTCATTCTGTGGTGAACTGTGGAAACAGCCGAAGATAGGTGGCAAAGATGCTTATTTTAAATTTGTTACTAATTCCTCACGCTCACATACGAGAAAGACAGCACTTCCGTCCAATTTTGTTCTCTCACCTGTAAACTATAAAGCCCATTTTGCTTTGTTTAAGACTGAAATGTAAACAGATTGGAAATGATATGTTTGCCACCTATCTACAAGCCTGGGTGTGGACCCATAAGCTCTTAAGCAGTATTAATTCGACCGTATGGTTTGTGATAAACGGAATTACAACCTTGGTATAATGGTATAAGGTTGTAGTTCAAAGTCGGACATTAAAATTGGTGATTATACAGTGTGTACTTGAAATATTACGAAATATGTAAACAATTCAAGGTGTATTGGTGTGTTTTTAGTATAAGCTATTTCTTTTTTCAATCGGGTAACTTAGCCCATTTTAATACATAAATAGGTAATATAAAACAAAGAATTATTATACATAAAATTTTATTAATTTCAAAGGAAATCTTTATTGACAATATATAATTATAACATTATATCCGTGTATATAAAATACGTATTATTGGTTAGTTCCTATCACGTTGGGACATAAAATTATATAAGATAGGTATCTTAAACTTAATTTTAGTCATGGTAACATTATTAACTAGGATGCAATGTTGCCAATATAAAAAAGAATATTACAATATTTAGGATCACAACAAATACAAAATATTACAATAATTGTATAAAAATAAATGTATTGGTCTTCTCTAATTGAAATAATAATACAATAATTAATATAAACTATCCACAACAACAAAAAAAAAATTAAAAATGTGTGTTTAAAACCATACTAAAAATTTTTGCTTGGGGTGTAGGAGATATTTCGTCAATTCATTTACACATTGTATAACTTATAGGAGTGTAACAAATATACAATCACTGTAATGTGATCTATAATATATTTAACTGACAGTGATGTTTAAAAAAAAATGCAAATTGTATATTGAACTGGAACAACTGTTTAAAGATTTGCATTATTTATACATGAACCTGGCAACACATACATTGTATATTGAATTCTATTCTATATTCAATTTTAAATATTTCTCAGCTGTTTTTTTTTTCAAACAGCTCTTTATTGCACTAAAATTGTAGATTAAATTACAACTAAATATTATGTTGCATTTTATTTTTTATGGTTGGCACTATTACAATAATCTTACGAATTATTTTTATTGAATGTAGTCATTTAAAAAAATAAAACAAAAACACTTATAGGACATAATTTTTTAATCAATTAATACAAAAATATTATAAGCTTTTTGTTTATTTTATGGACTGTAGATTTTTTAAAAAGATATCCTAGGATTGGTTTACTAATTGTGCAATATATATAAACGCTAAATATGACCCATATATGGTAATAAATCTATTACTTTATAGTGATTGGTGCAACAACTTGTTTCAAGGCTTGGGCTTGTCTCTGAAAGAGATCTCTTCCAGCCAACTTAATGCAGTGAGAGTCAGTAATTAGTTGGTAATCTAATAGTTGTAAATATACAAAATTAAACAAGAAATGTTAGATGACGCTGGAATCGAGACTTGTGCTTTTTTGTTGATTATTTTGTAATTGAAGATAATTTAAAATAAAATCGCAATGTTGTGTACAATGAAAGAATATAAAAATAATTATAACCTATTACTATTCAAGTAAAAAATCAATAAAACCACTCGCCACTTTAGAAATAACGCCTTAAAATTATTTTTACTTACAAAATAATCGACAAGAACCACAATTCTCGTTCCTACCGCCATCTAGTATTTCATGTCCAATTTTGTTTAGTGACCAACCATCCCAAATACAAAATAAATAAATTATTTGCTGTCAAAGATTTGCTGTCAAATTATAGACATCTCAGTGATAGTTGCATGATTAATGTTGTAGTGTTATACAAAAGCTATTTATGACAAATTCAAATTTTTTTTTTCTAATATGGCTTCCATCTTAAAGAATGAAGATGAGAAATATTTAAAATTTAAAAAGTAATGCAGACGTGCAGTTGTGCAGTATTTTGAATGGTTATTTTTTTTAAAATTTGATGTTGTACTACAATCAGTCATTTCAAAATTAAAATAATTAACTTTTTTTTAGCTTATATGATTGTAACGATCTCTCTTTTCTTTTTTTTTTCTTTCAATGGACGATAATATAATGGTAACCCCGCCTGAGCTGTCAGTATATGCTGATGGTGTACCAGTACTAATTATTGTTTAAACAAAATAAAAAAAATACCAGTGAGGAATGATAGGTGAGAATGAAAGGCAGGTCAGTTAGCCCATCGTGATGAACACATCTGGAATTCAGCACGATGGTGTCCAGGGGGGACCAATTGGAGGCTGACCTTGTATGGTATATTGCTAGCAATGGGACTGGTAGTCCACATTACTAACAATCCCTCTCTCCTCTCTTTCTTTTTAGGTACTTTAATTTACTGTTTATTACTATTAACTAAACTAAACTTACAACTAAAAGTTGTAATCATACATAGTTTTTGACTTAAAAATCCAATTTTATTGTGGCCTAAATATGTATTAACTTATGAGATATCATCCAATGAATTCACTTGAATCATTATAGTTTTAAAATAAAAATTATAGTGCCACTTGTACATTGAAATTTTATATTTTAATTCAAACATAATATATATAAAATTAAACAGCTTTAAATCAAATAAAGATGAGAATTGACTTTTCCATTGTTTTCTGTCTCGCTCTTACTCTTAATTGAGGCAACTTAGGTTAAAAAGAGATGCAAAATAACAATTGTTTTCAAAATCAATGTTTTCAATTAGTTGAGTAATAGTAAATTTGAAAACAATTTTAGTTTTCACATTGTCATCTTCATTTGATTTCAAAGCATCTTGGCAAGTAATGGAATTGCAACGCCATCTACCGAATTTACAGTCAACAAAAAAGTATACAAACCATTATAACATTCAAGGCAGTAATAATCCGACGTCGAGCGAAGCCAGGCGATTAGCAATAGCAACAACTGTGTATTGATATAAAAGACCTTATTTCGTTTTCAGTCATTGACCTTTTTAGTTATATTTAATCCATTAGAATTATATTTTTAACTGGTCTCTATTTATGCGATATTTCATGTCTTCAAGGCTACATGTTCCCCGTCACGGAATGCTGTTGCTTCATAAAAGACTCATATATTTTTTTTTTATTTTTTTTTATTCAATTAATTTATATTTAAATGTGAAGCGTTGAAGAAAAGATTTTCTGTTTTTAAAACCTGAATAAATGGCAAGGTATTTTATTTCTTTATACATATATGTTAACTCATGGGAAAGAATGAGACAGCATATCCGTCGTCTAACCTCCTTGTTGTTGATAAAATTAAACATCTAATAAACCTATTTTAACTACTGAAGTGTTATACCTTTTTCTTTCATACTAATTTATCGATATGAAAGAAAAGGACAAAATACCCTCTAATGGTTTATAGGAGGTTTTATTTATTAAATAGGAGAGTTCAAAGTCTAACAAACAATAGATAATGTTGCCTAATTGTAAAAAGTAAATATGGAAATTGAATGTAAACAAACAAGATCATTGCCATTTATACAGGCACAATAATATTATAATTTTAACGAAGGCATAACGGATTCTTTATAATTATTTAATAGAACTTATTTGCTATGTAATATTTATCTTTTTACTGAATCAATATAAAATATTTCATTGTAACTTTACATAATTGTACAACAAAAATTGTAAGTACATAAAACAATAAGCGACTACTGCCAAGTTGTTACATTCATAAAGAGGATTACTTTCGTCGCAGAAAGGAACGTCTATGGTTCCTTTTAAAATGTCAAATGTCATTCGAATGTCTAGTCGATATTGTTAACAATTAGACCAAAAATGTTTTACTAAAACATACTCTGTCTATATAATATTGACTTTGGTAATATACAAAGAAACAAAGCGTTAGATTGATATTCGAATCGGTGTACGTGTTTGTTTATTTGTAGTAACGTAAAACTCACTCTAATCAATGCAATGTAATCGCCATATAATCTAATTGATTTAGTACAACTGTATAATGTTTGAGATATAACTGCGGACTATTAAAAATAACAGCGATCACACCATAATTGAAACATACGCATGTATTTTTTTTTTTACAAATGTGAAAAAATATACAGCCATCACGCTTATTTGTCAACCTTGTGAAAAAAAAAGAGGCAAAGGACTCAGCGTATACAGCTACAGTTTTACATAGAAATATAAATACTAAATACAGCCAGAAGAATATTATAAAAAATATTATGAATTGGATGCATACGTGTTGTGCTGTGTAATAAGCGACCTGACACATTGAGTGCTTCGCTTGTGAACTTTTTATTCGTCCGGGGCTATATTATAAAAAAAAAATTATTTCATTATTGGTTAGATTCCTTCACGTGTAACAATAACGGATGCTTAGCAATTTTTTCTCTATTTTACTTATTCCTAACCAAAAGTTTTGTTTTTAAAAAAGTATGGGTGCTATCAATGTTTGTAGAGAAAGACATTTAATTAGTTTTCTATTTACTTCATAGCTCGCCTTTTTAAAGATACAACGTATGTTCGCAACACATTCCTGTATTGATTAATAATTCATAAATTTCGGTGAAACGCACCTGTATATGTTATTTTTTAAAATATGCATTGTAATTGTGTATTATGAGAAACGGAATCCGCTTAATTTATTAAAATAAAAATATAGTTAAACATAACAAACTTTCTTTTATTTATATACTTTTTTTTTTTTTTTTTTTACAACACAGGGGGCAAACGAGCATGCGGCTCACCTGATGGTAAGTGACTACCGCCGCCCATGATCACCCACAACACCTACAGCATTGCAGGTGTGCTGCCGGCCTTTTAAAAAGGAATATGCTCTTTTCTTGAAGGTTATGTTGTCGTATCGGTTCGGAAATACTGCTGCTGGAAGTTGATTCCAAAGAGTGGTTGTGCGTGGGAGAAAGTGCCTTGAAAAACGCACGGTGGAGGACCGCCACTTGCCCAGATGGTTGGGATGAAATTTTAGTTTATGGCGGGTTGTACGATGGTGAAAATCTGCAGCAGGTATCAATCCGAACAATTCTTCAGAACACTCCCCATGATAAATTCGGTAGAAAATGCACAGAGATGCAACATCTCTACGCAGTTCCAGTGGGTCGAGCCGGATAGTAAGACGCCGATCGTCAACAATTCGAGCTGCCCGACTTTGAATGCGGTCTAACGGAAGGAGTTGGTACTGTGGCGCTCCTGCCCACAGGTGAGAACAGTATTCCATGTGTGGCCTCACTTGAGCCTTATATAGTTTCAGGCGGTTTTCTGGCGTGAAATACCGTCTCACCCTATTGAGCACCCCCAACTTTTTGGAAGCTATCTTAGCTTTTTCCACGAGATGACCGCAAAACTGGACGTCGCTAGATATATTGACGCCAAGAATCCCCAGACTCGACTTATTATCGAGGGAAGTGCCCCGAAAGTAAGGAGATACGACAAACGGTGTCTTTTTTGCGGTGAACGCGCAGACTTGTGTCTTCTTAGGGTTAAAGTGAACAAGATTGCGTTCACCCCAGATCGAAACTTTATCGAGCGAAGTTTCGATTTCAGACACAAGTCTGTTCCGGAGCTCATCGGTATGTGCCCGCGAGATCTTTGCATGACCGGTGTATAATGCATCTCCTGTACTGTCGTCTGCATAACAATGAATATCACTGATCTGTAACATATCATTGATATGCAGAAGAAACAGTGTCGGAGATAGTACACAGCCTTGCGGGACACCAGCATTCACAGGTTTTAAGTCAGAGCATGCTCCGTCGACTACGACCTTAATGCTACGTTCCTTAAGAAAACTGGCGACCCAACTGCACAATCTCGCAGGCAACCCAAACGAAGGTAGTTTTGAGATTAGTGCCCTATGCCACACCCGATCAAAGGCTTTCGCAATATCCAGACTAACAGCTAAGGCCTCTCCCTTATTCTCGATTGCCACCGCCCATCGGTGTGTTAAATAAACTAAAAGATCACCAGCCGAGCGCCCCCGTCGAAAGCCGTACTGGCGATCTGAGATCAGCTGGCGATCCTCTAGGTACCGGAGCAGTTGATGGTTAACAACTGATTCCATGACTTTCGAGAATAAGGAGGTGATAGCTATGGGCCTATAATTAGCTGGATCTGAGCGGTCTCCTTTTTTAGGGATCGGATGCACCAAAGCAGTCTTCCAAAACTTTGGGACTATACCAGATGAGTAACAGAGCCGAAAAAGACGCGTAAGAACCGGAGCCAACTCTGGTGCGCACGTCCTAAGCACAATTGGAGGAATGCCATCGGGCCCACTCGACTTATGGATTTCAAGGGAGAGAAGTGCTCTACGCACTGATCTTTGCGTGAATTTAACATCCGGCATAGAGCTCTTACAACGCGGGATGGTCGGCGGTGGTTTCTCCCCGTCATCCAACGTCGAGTTTGATGCAAAGAGAGATCCAAGGAGATCGGCCTTCTCTTTGGCGTTCAGAGCCAACGAGTTATCCTCCCTGCGCAATGGTGGAAAAGATGACTGACAGAAATTCCCTTGTGCAGCTTTGGCAAGAGACCAGAAAGCTCGAGACCCCGAAGGTAAACTAGCCAATCTCTTGCCAATTCTACCAATATGCTCTGACTTCGCTGTGGCCAAAACTCTTTTGAAGGACCTAGAGGCAAAGTTATACTTCTTTTTAAGGGCACTGATGTTAGGATCTCACGACGCCACACCTTTGGCCCAGGCTAGGAAGCACTCCTGTTTCAGGCGAGATGCTATTCTACAAGAGGCTCCATACCAGGGCTGGGATTTCCCACCGACAGGTACCACAGAGTTAGGAATAAATAATTCCATTCCCTGAAGCACCACATCGGCGATGGAATTGGCAATGGCGTCGGGGTCCCTCAGTGCGAAGCAAACCTGCCTCCATGGGTAAGATGCGAAAAAAATCCGCATCTCATCCCAGTCTGCCGACCTGTAGTGCCAAACACGACGTCTACCCGTGGAACGTGGTGGAATCGGACTCATGAGAGGCACCTCGCTCCGCACCAGACAGTGATCCAAGCGGAGCTTCGACGGAAATCACATAGTTGTCTGGGTGGGTGGTCAGCAGAAGGTCCAACAGTGAAGGTGAATGGTCCAACACATCAGGTATTCGCGTAGGCGAGGAAACAAGCTGCGTCAGACCATAAGCCAAAGCAAAGTCATGAACAGATCTTCCCGCATAGTCGGTTGTACGTGAACCAAGCCATTCGGTATGGTGGGCATTAAAATCGCCGAGAATCACGACTTCAGCGGAAGGAATCTGTTCGAGCAGGGAATCTGTAGTCATTTGGACGTGCTCAATGAGTTGGTCGGTTTCGATGTTACCGCTGTGGGACCTGTATAGGCATGCATAGACGCGAGGATGGTCATTGCAGTCTACGCGCAGCCATAATATAGACAGGTCCGTACCTTCAAGAATTCCAAGGCGGCGACAGCAGATATCCTCTCTGACATACGCGCATATACCGGCACGCGAAACAAAACAATGTTCAAGTTTATATCCCGGGTACGTCAGGTATGAAGTTTCGTTTGGAGAGGATATCTGTGTCTCCGTTAGAAAGAGCAATGCCGGCCGCGCCGTTTCTAGGTGGTGGTGAACAGCGTTTAAGTTAGAATGTAATCCCCTGATATTGCAGAAGCTCACATTGAGCGAAGGGGATGCCGTAGAAATCTTGCTCCGTTTGCCTTTGGTTTCAAAGAGCGGAATTTTGCCCCCCCCCAGAATACGCAGGGCAGCCCGAGCGTGGTTGCTCGAGAGAGGATTCTCCAGCAACATGGTTACTGGTACCTCCCTGGGGTATGTTATTTTTTTTTTTAATTCCACTGCCATGGTTGCGTGTTGTAAGATAGGGGGGACGGGGTTGGGGAAAGGATTTTAGGAATAGGAAAGGGATGGGTATGGGATGGGTATGGGATGGGCCTCCGGACTCCCTCACTCACCATACGGAATGTGATCGCACTAAAAGTGCAACCACTTAGCGTCGGTATTCTGTGAGGGTGTGGTACTTCCCCGGTCGAGCCGGCCCATTCATGCTGCAATACCATATAGGATTACAGCGTGGCTCTACCACAATTAAAACTTCTATAATTGACTACCTCCGTAGCTGTAGGTACTTTCGAGTTTTTTCTTTTTGATGTTTTTTTTTTTATTTAATGCATGATTAATGGAATGGTAACCCCGCCTGCGCTAACGGTATACGCTGGCGGGGCACCAGTGAATGATGATAGGTGAATAATGAAAAAAAGCAGTTCAGTCAGCCCATCGTGATGATTACACCTGGAACTCAGCACGATGGTTTCCAGGGGGACCGCGTGGAGGTCGACCTGACAGGGTATATTGCTAGCAATGGGATTGGTAGCCCGCATTACTAACGATCCCTTCCCCCTTTTTTTATGTATGAAAATGCCGGTAACCCTGCCTATCAATATACACCGACAAGGTACCAGTAAGGGATGTTGGGTGGAGATAAAAGCAGGTCATAACTGATGTTGGGTGGAGATAAAATCAGGTCATAACGCTTATCATGACGAATGTCACAAAAATTAACCACAATGGTTTCAAGGGGAAATCACGTAAAAGCTGACTTGATAAACCTTATTTTTTTTTTACCACTGAGGTGGCAAACAAGCATACGGCACACCTGATGGTAACTGGTTTACCGTAGCCTATGAACACCTGTAATACCAGAGGTATTACGCGCGCGTTGCCGACCCTGAAGAACCCCATGCTGTTGTCTTGAGAAAACCTCGGCAGGGAGCTCATTCCACAACCTGAGTGTTCGTGGGAGGAAACATCTCTGAAACCGCTCAGTACGCGACCATTGAAGCTGTAGGACATGAGGATGTACTCGCTGTCGATGGCGAGCCGTACGATCGTAAAAAGTGGTTGTGGGCATCATTTGTTGTGGGCAACATTATGTGAACTACTAAACCTCGATACTGACAATCTCTTTCCCCCGGTACTTCCAAGGTAGGAGATCCTGTGTTCAAGTCTAGGTGGAGTCCATTTAGAAAACGATTTTTTCTAAATCGGCTCAATTTTGGGTGTTCACATCGTGAACCCAGATATTAATTTCCCTGTGCCTCATAACAAGTTATCGTAGTTTAAGGACTAGGTGAATGACTTGATGTCATTGAGTGGCACTTAAAAAAAAATAAGTTTAGATTAAAAAAGAATTCTTACGAAAATATACGATTTTTTTAAAGGATAACCTCGCCTGCGCTAATGCTATACGCTGGCGGAGCACCAGTGAGGGATGATGGGTGAGAATGAAAAGGCAGGTCAGTTAGCCCATCGTAATGAATACACCTGGAATTCAGCACGAGGTCGACCTGACCGGGTATATTGTTGGAAATGGGACCGTTAACATGCCTGTATTATTAACCCCCCCCCCCCCCCCCGATAGATTAGAGTTACACAAGTAAAACAGACAGAATCAAGTAGATTTTTTTATTAACTCTAGCACTTAGTAACAAAAACTCAATTTAGTATATATAACAGATTTTTATGAAAATAAATTAGTCATAATTAAATATCTAATTAATACAATATTTACATGGTGTACGTTAGTTACAATACTAAATGACTTAATTTAGTTCATTTTTGAATGCTAATTTATAAAGGTAAGAATAACACAAAAACTACATACAAGAATTACATGGCTCATAAAAAATTTCAATACCTACTTATTACATTAAATTTGGTAGACAAACTGAGCAAATAATTGTAGTCAATTATATATATATATATATATATATATATATATATATATATATATATATATATATATATATAGACCACATGGAGACATTACACAACGGCATCTAGGTCCAAACTAAGAATATATAGTTACTACATAACTGTTAGATCCTCGTATTGGCACTTTTATTAAGTAAGGCCAAATTGAAAAGTGCCTAAAATTGTTAAATACTGAATGGGCAACACTAGCCCCTTGTCAAAGTTTAAAAAAAAAAAATTGGTCAATGACTGAGACGAACACAATTGAAACTAGCTGCTAGCTATGCAGAAAACAGCCACCTCCATTCACTTACAATAGCCCTTATGCGTTAGCCCAACGCATAAGAGCTATTATGGGCGTCACAGTATATTCTGTGATGTCCACGGTAATCAGCATGTTCGCCATTCACATATAAAGGTGGGAAATAAAAGAGGGAAGAAAGTCTCTACAAAAAATTGGTGGTTTCTAGTAAGAAATTTAGCTATTTTCTACATAATCAGGTCATATTTAAAACCAATTGCCGTGTGGCTCCAACATAGTGTGGGCTACACCTTCCTTTCTCGTGGGTGTCGTAAGAGGCGACAAAAGGAACTTAATTGTCGAGGAATGGGCAGCAATATTCCTCTTAAAACATCACTGGTGAAACTGTGCGCGAAGCGTGGCGGTTACTGGCAAAATTCCTTTTTTTTTATATAACTTAGAATGGCAAACACGCTGACGGCCCACCTGATGGAAAGTGGTAACTGTCGCCTATAGACATGAGCAGTACCATGGATATAATAAAGTATACTAACTAAGTACTACTAACAAAGTATAGAATAGCCAAAATGCGTAATTTTTCTTCATCTTGTTTTATTTGTGATTTATTTGTATAATTGTAAGAAAGAGACACTTTGTACAAAAGTCATTTTGTACAAAGTACAGATTCTGTACAGACTTTGATGGAGCGAGGCCTGAGTACCTCTGTTCCATTCGTTTCTACCGCGAAGCAGTTGTGTTTGCATGGCTGTGTTTCGGTTTGAAGGGTGGGATATGGCAGTGAATTTACAGGGTACAGAGGAATAACACCTGAGTCCTCAGGAATGGCAACGCATGGGGGGTATAAAAAATATACAAATTATTTGCCATTCTAAGTTGCATAAAAAATGTCCTTGAGTTAATACTGTAATTAAATTAATTATAGAGGAGGCATGAGTTCAACGGTAGACAGTTAACTAATATAATAATAATAATAAATAAATACTAGATCCTTCCTATGCTCACGGCCATCGAACCAGAGGCCCCTTCAAACCGGAGTTATGGTATTTTGCCCACTCTGCCACCATATTCTTACGCCGTTGGTCATGTTATCTATATTATGTAGTCGACATGTCTCTTAACACATTAATTCTGTGACTTTCTTTTGACAATACAGTAAATAAAGAGAAAAATATATTGATTGCACAAAACACCACAAAATAATTATGTATATTTTAAATCACAGCCTTTTATTTTATGTACCATATAATAATAGAATTTGTAATATGTCAAACAGTGGAAACCTTAATTCCTTTAAAATATCATTACAAAAATGTGTGTTGTGTACTTCTATTAGTTAGCAACAAATAATGTTAATTAAATAAGCACTTAATTATATAAGTCGTATCAAGAAGTGAGGAGACTCGCTGAAAATCGTAGTGAGTGGCAAGAGCTCCAGCGACAAGAGTGCAGCTCTTTAATAGGATAGATAGATATAAGCACTAAATCAACCATTACCTAAAGCCATGTATGTACTGTTATTACTATTACAGTCATATCTGTCACGCCTGTCTCCCATTAGGGTAGGCAGAAACAATGGAACGACAAATGCTTCGATTCAAACAAACCTCTTTCCTTCTTCTACTATTACAGTGAACGCTCTATATAAGCAACTCATTTGAACCATACATACATACATACGTATCTGTCACGCCTGTCTCCCATTAGGGTAGGCAGAAACAATGGAACGCCAAATGCTTCGATTATATTCATTCATTTGAAACAATTTCAATAAAAAAAAATTCTTTGGAAAAGTTACCTATAGGAAAAAAGGAGTGTTAAAATACCAGAGGGAGAATTTATACAAAAGTCGATTGCTTGGGTACCTCTGTTCCATTCGTGTTTCAACCGTGAAGCAGTTGTGTTTGCATGGCCGTGTTTCGGTTTGAATGGTGGGATATGGCGTGAATTTACAGGGTACAGAGGAGTAGCTTAGAATAGGTCACCCCTTCCTTTCCCATGGGTGTCGTAAGAGGCGACTAAGGGAACTATGGTCGAGAGATGGACAGCATACCTCTTTAAACATCACCAAAAACCAAACTGCGGTTGCCAACCCGCCTGCCAATGTGGCGTGGAGCTCTGGCTTCTTAATGAAGGCACATATGCACTCTCAGATTTGTCTTTACAAATCTTGGCTGGTATTCTAGAGTGGGCACCAGATAATTCTAGGTTGGGCGAAGCTCATCCGGCCCCAGCCTAAATACACCTATGAGTAACATGTTCTGCAACACCGCATCATTTATTGTTTGGTAAATACATAGTTTCTAAAGTCTTTCACAGTTAAAAAGCTAACATAATATTAAAACAAAATTGATAATCATTTATTGTAAATTCATCGATTTACAATGAATGGTAATTGTAGAAGATTGTACATAATTATAATATTGTCTATGCTCTTAGTATAGACATAGTTTTAATATTAACTTTTTAATATTATTTCATTGTAGAGTCAATATCGTAAGTCTAGAAAAGGACCAACACGCAATACACTAATAATAGCAATAGAAAAAAAAATCAAAATACTATTTCAAGCCACCTATAAGTATAGCAATGACAGACCATTCTGAAGAAGAGGAAACTATGTCACCGATATTAATTACTAGACCACGTAATTTGGATGCAAGATACCTGAGGGCCTACAATGTTTTCCGAAACTTCGGAGCCAAAAGAAATAGAAATTTGATGTTAAAATTACATAATGCATGCCGTTTGGAAATATTAAAAATGTTAAAATATTGTTCCTTTGGACTTTTATGATAGGATGTATGACGAACGAAATGTTAAACTCCATTTATTGGTCCGAATTTGGTATAAACAAAAACACGAAATTGAGTCCGAAATTTCGGAATTTAATTTCATGGTAGACCCGCTGGACCGGCGCAAGAAGTTACCTTTAATATGCAGTTCGCCTGTCGCGTAATTTTAGTCGTCACTAGTTACATCCCGCAGTGTCGCATGCATTAATCGATACATATTGTTTGTGTAAAGTTAGGATATAACCTATCCATGTACCAAATATTCAAACCAGTAGTTTTTGCGTGAAAGAGTAACAAAAATTCATCCGTCCATCGATCTTTACAAACATTCGCATTTATAATATGTAAAAAAAAACCGTTAACGCCATAATTTCAAATTTTCAAACATATTTTAATGTACCCTCGACACCCACGTCCGTACTATGAACGTCAGTTGTACCTGTGAAATGAAAATGTTGGCACATTCAAGGCATTGTGGATAGTATCTTAGGTTCTTTACTCAAATAGTAATCATGGTCATACAATGTGACCAGGAGACCATCTGTGACTTTGACCTCTTCAGTGGGTCCGTAGGTGATGAGGGTTCCTTTTGCAGTCGTCATTTTGCCGTTAACAGCTTTTATGATGGCGTCTCCAGCGCAGAGATCCCACTTCTTGATCGCGGTCGCGTGTAGATAAACGTCGTATGTGCCATTCACCACCGCCATTACCTTGTAGCCGGCACCGGCGGCTGGCGTCACTACCGTTTTCGATCCGAACGCTTCCTTTGCAATTTCTGCCACTTTCCCCGGGTGTGATCTGGATACTATCACTCTGGGTTGATCTTTATTCTCTTCTTTCTGTAAATACACATACATAGCTTGGAATAGCCAACAGTCAGCCTATTTGATGGAAAATAGCATACAAGCTAGTGCTAAATGGCAGGAAGAGGCAAGACAGAGTGTGATTCTTATCGAATGTGATACCACTCTATCAGCTTACTCTTTATCTTTATTTTTAATTATATTTTTTATATGGTAAAAAACATAATTAAACAAAGAGGCAAAAACTAGAAATGGCACTATACTGAAGCCAATTGCATTCATAATTGGCCAATATATTTGATATATTTAAAATTATTTCCCAGGGAATACCTGGTCTTAAGCTTCAGACAAGACATTCTACTGACCATGGTAAAAAGTAGCCTATACCCTTTTTTTATTGTTAGGACATCAAACAAGCAAACGGTCCATCTGATGGACAGCGGCTACCATCTCCCATTAACACCTGCAATATAAGTGTGATGCCAGTCTTTTAAATATTTGTAGATAAATTTTTATTAAATTTCCCATAATACATTGTAAAGAGAAAATTGAAGACAAGAGCTCATGTACACAACACTAGATGTACAAGAAAGGTAGAAGTAAAGGATGCACAGACAGTAGTAGTATGCTATGCGCCCAAGAAATGAAGGTGAATACCAGCTCTATGGGAAAAGGTATGATCATAAAAGGGTGATGATGGCATCAGTTTTGGATTTCATATAGTGGGTATGTATATATCAAATTTCATAGTACCTGGTTAAACCATTAGAGTCCAAACCATACACACTTTCAGTATTATAACATTAGTACAGAAGGGTGGTTGTTGATAATTTTGAGTGATAAGGAACTTAAATTTCTACTAGAGCAACTTACATGGGGTACACTTGGTATGTTGGTGGAGGTTTTCCTGAACATCCAGCCCCAGTATGTGCGAGGTGGGAACGGGAAGTGGATCACACCAATCACAGGCACCCCCCTGATGGCCACACACACCATAGTTGTCACATACTGATACAGCCCCTCTGAAAATATAATTTACTATTTAAAATACAACAGTAAATAATTTATATATACTTTAACATAGTTTACTAAAATTGTAATTATCCAAATATATTTTTGCCATCAAAATTTTAGTTTTCAGCAAAATTAAGAATATTACCGCTTGATTAATGTTTTAATTAACTAGCAGAGAACTTTTAAATAATCAATCAGAAATATTGAAAATAAGTTAACCTTATTTTTGATAATTGACAAATAATTGTGACATTGCCACACTTCCGTAAGCTAAAGTTATGAACGCTTTTAAAGAGATGCTGACAATTTCGATTTCAACTTGTTTCCATCAATAAAAACCTGACCTACCTTTTCATCATCACCTATCATCCCTCACTGGTGCCCCGCCAGCATATATCGTTAGTACAGGCTGGGTTACCATTCCATTATCATCCATTAAACAAAAAAGTATAAAATTTATACCTGTATACTCCTGTGTGGCATCCAAAGGATCAATCCAGACAGTGACATCTTTAAATAAAGTTTGCTCATCATACAAGTAATCTATTTGTTTGTGTTCCGGCGGCGCGTTGTCTATGTCGAGTAATTCTTGATGTTCGCAACTAGAATCACTCTTCGTATGCTCCTCGGAGACCACTGTCAGCTTTGGAAACGTATTTTTGAGACTATAGTACATCGCACAGTGGGACGAGTAATCAGCATCCGTCACCGGGTCATTAGCCCCTTCCTGAGTCTTCCCTTTGCTTTTCACGTTCAACTCACGATTCTTGCCCTCTATAATCTTTTTACCGCCTCGCTCGGCCGCGTAAATTGCAGCTTTGAGTAAACTTTTTAAATTGACGAAATCACTCTTATCAGTCGTGTAATTCGCACCGCTCGACCGCCAATAAATAATGAGAAAAACTATAAATACTAATGTAAAACAAGCAAACTTGTTTACCCTTAATGTTCCACCGAAATTCATGTTACTAAACGATATTTTACCTCAGAGTAAATAGTCACTATGTTTATTTCAATTGATTTCAAAATAATTGTTATAAATTAACATTTAAATGTATAAAATTAGAGTATCTTATTAATTTATAAATAAAAAGTAAATACAAGTATCTGATTAGATTAGGTACCGAGGTAAATTTTTATAGACAAAATAGGACAGGTAATTATTTTGGTAATTATTGTCATCGTGAATAAATAGTTGACACTGACATTTGTGATTGACATACGAATGACATCTTTTTAGATAAAGCGTGGTCGCACTGATTGTCTTTTTTGCACAAATTAACAAATCAATAATTGTTTTTAAAATTGTGAATTTGCAAAGATAATTAATTCACTTTCATAGCTAAAATCAGAATAAAATAACTAAGTAAGGAAAGAAAATTCTAAAGTATCACAATTGTAACTGTGCATAATTTGCAAATTTTAGTACCCAATGATTCCTAAATTGTATCCATGAAATGTCAAAAAATTGACACAAATGACGTAAAACTCAAGACTCGACTGTCTGACTGACGCACTTCTATCACTTTACGCCTGATATGTAATTATATTACCTATTTCCAATTCAATGAAATTTTGAAGTATCAAATACAATACTAAATCAGAAACACTTCTATTCTAAAAAATATATTATTAAAAACAGTACTTTTTATACTTAATCATTAATTTTCTTTAACAGCTTTATAAAGTAAAATGATTTTAATGGACATGTACGAAGCGGTAAGTTACTAAAGTATCATAAGTAACAGTCATAATTAGTTTTTTTATTAATTTTTTAAGATTTTTTTTGTGCAGTAAAAATGAAATTATGTATTTTTGAATGCACATCTATTGTAGGCCAGCTGGTGGACGTTATTAATTGCACTCCAAGTGGTGCTTGGTTCGATGTACTTTTTATGGTCGAAGAAAAAATCGAAATCCTACGATCCTCTATGCAACGGAAGACCTGTGGAATGGAGTCCACAACCATTAATAGAGCAAGATATTTCTCTGGAGAACCCACCGTTGATGGGAAAAATTGACGATAAAGTATTGAATGTTGGTGCTACTAGTTTCCTTTGCTTTCATAAAGAAGAATCTATAATAGAAAGTTCATTGAAGGCCTTGGATAAATACGGCGTAGGTTCTTGTGGGCCGAGAGGATTTTACGGTACAATTGATGTCCATTTAGAATTAGAGGAGCGCTTGGCCAAGTTTTTAGAGGTGGAGGAAACAGCAGTGTATTCCTATGGGTTTTCAACCATATCAAGTGCAATACCCTCTTATGCCAAGCGTGGAGATATTATATTTGCGTAAGTAAATTTTGATTCTACTTGTTATTGTATTAAGCAAATGTGAATAGGATATTTTTTTTTAGTGAATGATAATGGGATAGTAACCCCGCCTGCTCTAACGGTATATGCTGGCGAGGTACCAGCGAGGCATGATAGGTGAGAATGAAGAGGCAGGTTAGTTAGCCCTCCTTGATGGATACACCTGGCATTCAGCACAATGCTTTTCAGGGGGGACCATAGGCAGGTCGACCTGACAAGGTATAGTGCTAGCAGTGAGACTCAGTCAGAGTGAGTCCTCATTACTAATAATCCCTTCCCCCCTAAGTGAATAGGCTATTTGTGAGCCTACAAGCTCCGTCTTAGACCACATTATCACATTCCATCAATTGCCCCTTCAATAATAAAAAAAATTTAAAAAAGTATTATTCTCTGTGATAGGAAATAGAGTTGATAGATTTTTTTTATACTCTCATCTTAAAATGATGGTGTTATCTGTGTCTGAATATTATTAAATTATTTTTCTTTAGTACACAATAGATTTTTGTACAGGTTGCATTATCATTTACATATATATTATTTTATATGTGTGTACAGTACATTATAATTGGCATGTGTGAAACTGAGGCATATTGTTAGTATTATTATGTTTTCAACTATCTTTTTGCTTGCTACTATTTTTTGATGGTTCCTATAGATAGACAAAATTTATTGTTTTGACTTCTATCACTCTTATTAAGGCCCCATCATCAATTTTCCCCTAAATACCTTCAATGAACAAACATTGTCAAGTTACAATTTTATTATAGTAGTAAAATAAAGTACCCATAATTTCTCTCTATCAATGATTGGGATGGATCTTTTGCCAACGCATGGGGGGTATCATGGGTGAAACAGTATGTTATGTTCATGGTACTGCTCATGTCTATAGGCGACAGTTACCACTTTCCATTAGCTGGGCCGTCAGCTTGTTTGCTATTCTAAGTTGATTAAAAAAAAATCCTAAATGGTTACGTACAATGCAATTTCAAAGGAAATGTAGGAAGGCAACATGTACATAACACACCTAGTGTTGCAGGCATCAATAGAGTACAGTACTTTTTACCATCAGATAGGCTGTATGCTTGTTTGCTTTTTCAAACTCAAATCAAATATATTTCATTATTTTTTATTAATAAGTTTTTTTTTTTTAACTAAAAATTATTGTTTTAGTGATGAAAGTGTTTGGTTTGCAATCCAAAAAGGAATTGATGCTGCCCGCAGCACGGTACAATATTTCAATCATAATGATATGGACCATCTTGAAGAACTGTTATCAGAGGCTCTCAAGAAAAAAGAACTGAACCCTCGGAGGCGAGCGTTTGTCATTGCCGAAGCTATATATATGAATACAGGGGAAATGTGTCCCCTGAAGAGACTGGTGGAATTAGCACGGAGGTATAAGTTGAGGATTATGCTGGATGAAAGTTTATCCATTGGTGTAAGTTACAAAATAGTATCTAATGTTTACCCATTGTCATAGCTTATAAGGCACATTACTCTTTCCCACTTTATTATACCTATCATAATTTTCTAGCTAGATTTTAGAATTTTGTTGCTGAAGTCGTATTTTCCTTTTTTTTGTACAATTTAGAATGGCAAACAAGCTGACAGCCCACCTGATGGAAAGTGGTAACCGTCGCCTATAGACATGAGTAGTACCATAGACATAATAGAGTATACCGTTTCCCCATGCGTTGCCATTCCTGAGCACTCAGATGTTATTCCTCTGTACCCAGTAAATTCACGCCATATCCCACCCTTCAAACCAAAACACGGCCATGCAAACACAACTGCTTCACGGTAGAAACATGAATGGGACAGAGGTACCCAAGCAATCGACTTTTGTACAAAGTGTCCCTCTGGTAATGCAAGAAAGAAAATCAAACCATAATGAGGTTTAGATATTGCATAGTCTTTCTTATTATCTTTAATTAACACTTGTTATAGTTTACGGGTGGCCTAATTTGCATCACAAATATTTGCTAACAATTAGAGCCAGTGGTTGCCACATTTAGCTGTTTGTATTTTTGTTTATTACATACATTACTTTGAACCTGTTTAACATGGTTTTGTTAAATTCCAAGTCCATGGTTGAAATATTGATAATTTGTGTAGATTCAATGCTTTTTTGGTATTTTAATGTCAGCTACTTTGATTTCTTGTAAAGTATGTTTATATCTTAGGTTTATTATTATTATTACCGTATTAATACCCGCAATTTGTTAATCTTTGTCGGGTTCCCACGATACAGGTTCACCTAGTGTGGGGCCCTTTGTATCTTGTGTTTGTAACTTTGTGTTTTTTGTCTAATAAATTATAAATAAAAAATAATAAATATTATTTCAGCCACTAATTGTCCACTGCTAGACATAAGCCTTCCCCTTAAGGAGAGTTTTGCCGGTAGTTGCTACGCTTGGCAGTCGGGTTGGCAACCGCAGTTAGGCTTTTAAAGATGTTTTAAGAGGGATGCTGCTGTCCATCCTTCGCCCTCCCTTAGTCATCTCTTACACCATTCACGGGAAAGGAAGGTGTGACCCATTCTAGGCGGGAACAAACGGCATAGAATGGTGATTGGTGTTTTAACCAATTGCTTGTTTGCCATTCTAAGTTAAATAAAAAAAAGGTTTTTTTTTATCCCCGTCAGTATATATATCATCAGCGTCATCATCATCATCCCCATCAGCGTACAACAGAACTATTAATTCACTCTGTAATTTATTTCTATTAAGCACTAGCTTTTAACTGCAACTTTGCATGTCTAGAATATATATATATATATATATATATATATATATATATATATATATATATATATATATATATATATATAAATTGAAGAGTGAATTAATAGTTCTGTTTGTAATTTATTTCAGGTATTAGGTAAACATGGTAGAGGCATAACGGAGCATCTCAACATACCGAGAGATGAGATAGATCTAATTATGGGCTCGTTGGAGCATTCGTTTGCGACGATTGGTGGTTTCTGTGCTGGCACACACTTCATTGTTGAACACCAGAGACTTTCCGGCTTGGGTATGTTTTTTTTTATTTTTTTTTACACACATTAAAATATTTATGCAGGGTGGACCTAATACTTGACAGCAGGGGGAAAGAGATTATTAGCGATGGGGTCTAACAGCCCCAATGCTAGCAATGTTACTAATCAGGGCGACCTCCATGTGGTTCCCCCTGAAAACCGTCGTGGCTACTTTCGTGGAATACTTCACGATGGGCTAACTGACCTGCTTTCATCTATCATCTATCACTGGTGCCTCGCTAGCATATACCTTTAACGCAGGCGGGGTTACCATTCCATTTCCACCCATCAAAAAAAAAACTAATAAATTTCATCACCATTTAAGTTACAAGCTTTATACCGCGATTTCGATCGCGTGAACGAGTGCATACAGTACCCTATGCGCTAAATTAGGAGAGCGCTTGTCCACGTATCAAAATTCATTTAAATCCATTCCGTAGTTTTTGCTTGAAAGAGTGACAAACATTCATCCGTCTAAACAGTTTCACAAACTTTTGAATTTATAATAGTAGTAGAATCCGGCATAAAATGGACCACCCCTTTATTTCCCATGGGTGTCGTAAGAGGTGACTATGGGAATTTAAAGGTCGAAGACTGGAGAGAAGCGTCTCTCTTAAAACATCACCAAAGCCTAACTGTGGTTGCCAACCTGTCTGCCAAGCGTGGCAAAACACCCCAATATGATAATGGAATGTTAATCCGTAACGATGTTGGAATGGTAACCCCGCCTGCACTATCGGTATACGCTGGCAGTGCACCAGTGAGTGGTGATAGGTGAGGATGAAACCAGGTGAAACCAAGCTTATTGTGAACGATTTAAAAAGAATTAGTCACGATCGTTTCCCCCTGGAAACTAACCAATAATAATAACCGCGTGGAAGTCGACCTGATTACTAACAATCTTTCCCACACACCAATAGGGGGAAGCCTATGTTCAACAGTGTACAGTTTACGGCTGATACAATAAAATTATGTTTACACAATATGTTCAGGTTATTGCTTCAGTGCATCGCTGCCGCCCATGTTGACGCAGGCCGCCATCGCCGCGCTCGACGTGTTGGAGGAGAATCCGGCCATAGTTAACGAACTTGACGCCAGCTCTAGGAAACTGAACCAGTAAGTTGTTACATATGTTGTTTTAAAACTTTCATTAATTAACAATGTCTGTATATTGTATGTTTTTGGGCCCTCCTTTAAGTGTAGAAAGTATCTTATTTGTTTTACTAAAAATGTGATTCATTTATTTTTCTTGATACAACGCCATCTAGTGGCGGCTAATATAAGTGCAATTATCGTAAGTTGTATAAAGAAATTGGTATTGTATATAAGATTGTAATCTATAGAAAAACTAATTCAGTTGTGGCAAAACTAATTATTTTGATTTAAAAACTAACCTACTGCACCGATTTTGATAAAAATTCTATGAAACTATATACTGTCAGATAAATAAAGAATTTACCAAATTGGTTTAGAACTGATAGAATTATAAGGTGACAAACACAAAAAAAAAACTAAATTGTTAGCCTCCATTTTTTTAAAGTCAGAAAAAAATTTGTGTCACATCAAGAAAAGAAAAAAATTCAAACCAAAAAAAATCGTCTAAAAATTACATTATATTTCAGGGCTCTATCAAATTTGAAGCACTACAGAGTCAGAGGCGACGAGGTTTCCCCAATCAAGCACGTATATCTAAAAGGTGACCTGACAGATCGTTTGAAGCAATCCTACCTTCGATCAATCTGCAATTATTGCCTCGAAAAAGGAGTGGCTTTGACCCCTGCTGCTTACCTCAGAGACGTTGAAAGGAACTGCCCGGAACCTTCCATCAGGCTCGCCTCAAGTAGGAAGCTGAATGACGACAACATATCACTAATATGTACGTTATTAGACGAGGCATATGAGAAGGTAGGACCTAAACCTGACTTGAGACTACTGTAATAAGTACAAACATGTATTGTTCAAGTTTTTCATATATTTGTAATGTTATAAAAATTGATATCAGCTCGTAATATTTGATAGGCTTATTTATACGTTTGTAAGTACATATGTCACTATAAAAGCCTGTACATTAGTAAGACTTAAAATTTACAAACATGATTTGGTAAATGTAAGAAATTTTATATAAAAAAAAAAAGATGACTTTTGGGTTTTCACCAAACCTAAGCTTACCTTTATCAACATGGGCCAGCTGATCTACATCACCTATCATCCTTCAACGTGGAACTTTTTTATTTTCACCAATTAAAAATAACCTGTTTTTCTGACCATGAGTACAAAGTGCAAGTTCGAAATGTACTGTGATACTTGTTATTCACATCAGAGTCGTGGTTACTCTTAAAAAATAGACATAATATTTAGAAATGTTTAGTATAATGGTGCCCATAAAGTCAGTTAAGTAATAGGTCAGGAACTATCTGACCACTAGCATTTGGTTCGGTGAAAACCCGAAAATTATACTTTTTTTTTTTAATTCCTCACATTTACCAACTCGTGTTGGCAAATACTAAAATTTTACTATTAATGTTCGAATTTTTGCAGTAATGTAGTACCTAATCATATATAATACATGTTTTATAAATGAAAAACATATCAAGCATTATTATATTAAATTTTACATTAAAAAAAGCTTATAAGTAAATACCGTACCAGTGAAGCCTCGCCTCCAGTTATTTTTACTTGTTTTATTAGTTTTTTATCATTGTGAACACGCTTTTAAGATATATCCTCGAATTAAACATTTTAATAGCATATTACATCTAATGTTATTCTTAAAACTTGTTTATCTAATATAAGTGTATTTACTGTAGTTTAATTTTTTTTTTTAATATACTTTTTTGGAACTAATATTTTTAATCAAGTATTCAACGTTGCATTTATTTATTTATAATATTAAAATAAGTTGTATTAATCATTTTGCTTGTAATCTTTTCCCTACATTTGACACAAATTGTAAACATCTTTGCACGTATTTTTTTTATTGACTTTAATCCTTTAAAATAAAAAAAAGGCTAAAGAAATAATATTAACATATAATTTAAAGTTTATTTTTAACCAACTTTAAAAAGATAGGGGTTTTTAAATTCGATTGTATTTTTTTTATATTTATTACCCCATCAGTTATATACGCATTTGGAAAATTATTTTTTTATCCTGAAGCATGTACTTATAATTATTAATTATGATTAATCCCACAATTTAGTCAAAATTGGTACAGTAATTTAGTTTATAGATAAAAATAACTGATTTTGTCAGAATAGAACTCGGTTTTTTTTTTTATACAACTTAAAATAGCAAACAAGCTGACGACCCACCTGATGGAAAGTGCTAACCGTCGCCTATAGACATGAGCAGTACCATGCACATAACAGAGTCGGTTGTTTCTTTATGGGACACAATCTTTCATTATTTCTACGACAGTCGGTTCGAAACACTACATGGTTGCATTCAACATTGTTGTATAAAACATACTCTTGGCAGAATCAAAATGCCAGTATAAATATTAGTTCCTTAAGCTATATATATATATATATATATATATATATATATATATATATATATATATATATATATATATATATATATATATATATATATATATATATATATATATATATATATATATATATTTATAAATTAATATAAGACAGTACTCCATTTATTTATTATTATTTTTGTCATAAGTAATTATTATTAATTATATTAATATAAATGTAAAATATTTTTGTATGCTTTTGTCACATGATCACGATTGAACAACTTGACTTACTGTTTTTATTTATTTACTTCATTTTCTACACACAGATACGTTGGGAAAGATTCTGAGGCATTATTTCTCTAAACATCTCTGTTAAACTAATTTATTAATAATTTTGTGAAATTATTGTTTTATAAACCATTATAAGTTAAAATTATAATAGTTTTGACTCAAATCTGTTAGAACATTAATTCATATTGATTCGTACAATAAAGATTTCTCTATATTGTCAAATTGAAATTCTAAAGAAAGCTTTAGAGAAATGGTGCCTCAGAATCGAGCCCATTGGCCTATTTAAGATTATATCTAGGACCTGACACCTTAAAAAAAGTATATATGTGGTCTCAGACATAGTTTTGTTTGATTTATTGACACTGGAGGAGAGTGGGCATGCCCACCTCCTCATCTCCTCTAAATACACATATGCATAGACCACATGCTATTATGTCTTAAATAACTTATCGACGCGGGCAAAGCCGCGGACTATAATGTAGTGTGCTCATGTGGTATAGTTACATGTTCTCGTAAAAATCTGTTATTATTCAGACAAATAATTAATTAATTAAAATAATTACATTTCTGTTTTGCTTATTTTTAATGTGATCAATGAAGAATAAATAAATAAATAAATAAAAATTAATTATTTAATTACTTTATAACCTAATGCATTAATAAACAATTGGGGAAATTATTGCTTAATTAAATAATGTACGTGACTGTGCCTAGTACACACATATGTATGTTTTAATGCGAATATTTCTATAGTACAGTTAATTTTAATTATTAAAATTAATTAAAATTAAAAGTCATAATATTATTTAGTGTTTAATTAAGGTGCTAGTTGCAGGGAAGTGTTCATTTAATACATATTGTTACTATTACTATTGCAGTATTCTGTATTTTAATCAATAAATTCATATAATTTATGAGGATATGTTTTTTTTTTACACAAAATGTTTGTACTTAAAGCCTTAAAACTATATTGCGATATAGAGTCTATTAGTAACATATGAAAATTTTAATCTTACAATAAGCTAAAGATGAAAGATTTCTTTTTTATTTGTTATCTATAAACTTAAAATGTACCTAATCGGTTTTCAAAATTCTTTCACCTACAACAAGTTATATTATCAGAGGGTAACATGGGCAAGGATAAGCAAGTTGAAGTGGTAATAGGTTGGTCACATAGCTCGAAGAACTGACTCCCCACTAGATGGAGTGACGACCTCAAATGTATTGCAGGGAGTCAGTGGATGCAGGTGGCTCAGGACAGTTCCTTATGGCAGTCTGTGGGGGAGATCTATGTTCACCAGTGGACGGGTAATAGCTGAAATGATGATAATTATGGGCATGAGCTGTATTTTACTTATTTTGAAAAAAGAAACTAGCTGGTTGGTTTGTTTAGTAATAAAGTAGATGAAACAGCGCGTGGTATAGAGTTTAAGTGATACATAAGTTATTACTAACATTTATCACAAGGCACTATTTGTCCTTTCAACCGACTTCAAAAAAGGAAGATCTGTGTTGTTTCTATGTTTGTTACCTCGTAACTCCTTCAGTTATGAACCGATTTGGAAAATTCTTTTTTATCTGAAAAGATATACCTTCATATTGGTCCCATAGAAGATATTTTATCAAAATCACTTTAATAGTGTAGTTTTTAATTTATCATCAATTTTAACGTTTTTTTTTTTTAAAGTAATTAATTTGGCCACGATTGTCGAAGTCGGTTTTTTTGGAACACAATTTTAAATTGTTAATGCTTATGTAAACGAGGGACCACTGCGTACTGTTTGTCCGTCATATTAGAACATAGAATTGCTAGGGGACTGTGCCTCCGCGGACAAAAAGTCCCTTGTTTGCAGAATCCATTAGTACCTAATTACTAAATACAATGAACACTAAAAACTGGTGGTCATCTATAGAAGACAATCGTGGGAATAGACCCACTGTACTTACTATATGAGTATAATATATAAGTAAACCTTAACAATAATATTAATAATAATATTTGACCAGAGGGAGATTTTGTACAAAAATCGATTGCTTAGATACCTCTGTCCCATTACCCAGGCAAGAGGCAAGCAAGCAAGAGGTACCCAAGCAATCGACTTTTGTACAAAGTCTCCCTCTGGTAAGTTCTTGATTTAATTCTCTAATTCTTAAAGTAATTTTTTTTTACTAACTTTTGTAATAGGTAAATATTGTTAAGCTAATAGCTATGACATACAGAATGGCAGACAAAGGCGCAGCTTGAGGTTTTTTTCTAATACAGGGGGCAAAGTAGTACGCGGCTCACCTGATGATAAGTGATTACCGCCGCTCATGATCACCCACAACACCAGCGGCATTGCAGGTGTGCTGCCGGCCTTTTAAAAAGGAATATGCTCTTTTCTTGAAGGTTATAATGTCGTATCGGTTCGGAAATACTGCTGCTGGAAGTTGATTCCAAAGAATGGTTGTGCGTGGAAGAAAGTGCTTTGAAAAACGCACGGTGGAGGACTACCACTCATCTAGATGGTTGGGATGAAATTTTAGTTTATGGCGGGTTGTATGGTGGCGAAAATCTGCAACAGGTATCATTCCAATTCCTCAGAGAATTTCCCATGATAAATTCGGTAAATAATGCACAAAGGTGCAACATCTCTATGCAGTTTCAGTGGGTCAGGGATTGGTACGGAACCCTAAACATTTGAACGTGGTAGCAAGGTTACCAATCCGGTACCAACTCGTCGGCCATCTTGCAGTAACCGACGTTCCTCTGGAACTGCGTCTCGTCGGGCACGTGTATCGGCTTCCTTATCTCGATGAGCCGCCGGTCTGTCTCCAGAGCCTGGTTCTTGTACTGCAGGTCCTTTGTCACCCGCTGGTGATGGTTGTACATGCCGTGGTATGTTTTTCTGTTGGTATTTATGAATGTTACGATCCGTTTCTTTTATGAGTAACCCCACCTGCACCATCAGTACCCACTGATAGAGTTTTTTTATGGATATTTTTTTTTAATATACAACTTAGAATAGCAAAAAAGCTGACGGCCTACCTGATGGAAAGTGGTAACCGTCGCCTATAGACATGAGCAGTACCATGGACATAACAGAGTATACTGTTTCGCCCATGATACCCCCCATGCGTTGCCATTCCTGAGCACTCAGATGTTATTCCTCTGTACCCTGTAAATTCACGCCATATCTCACCCTTCAAACCGAAACACAGCCATGAAAACACAACTGCTTCACGGTTAAAACACGAATGGGACAGAGGTACCCAAGCAATTGACTTTTGTACAAAGTCTCCCTCTGGATATAATGGAATAGTAACCTCGCCTGCGATATCGGTATACACTGGCGAGGTATTAGTGAGGGATGATTGGTAAGAATGAAAAGGCAGGTCAGTTAGCCCATCGTGACAAATTTAAAGTTAAATTAGTCACGATAGTATCCAGGGGGGTTTCTCTCCACCTCAACGTGGTCTACCCTGGAAACCGTTGTGCTGAATTCCAGATGTATTCGTCACGACGGGTTACCATTTTATTTTTAGCCCATACAAAAATACAAATATATGAGGGCATAAGCATACACCTATATCGTCATAGTCGTAGAATACTGACGGATCTATATATGTAATATTTGTCAGATCCGTCAGTATTCTACGACTATGACGATATAGCATCCAGATTTGAATGATAAAAAAATAGAAAAAAAATCTTACTATGCATAATAATGAAATTATTTCAAGCAATACTATAGGTATTCCATTTTTTAATTTATAGAACCAATTTAGTCTGTTTCTAAATATATCCGGATTAGAATCGAATCTGATATCTGATCGTACTTTGCACGAAGTTCACCATTATAATTAAATTAGGTATACCCAGTTTTATGTTGGCATCTTATTTGAATATATTAACCCTTAAAAACTTGATTTTTCAAATAAAAAATTTATAAGTGTACCCTTTACTGTGTTTACTAATGGGGAAAAATAGTAAAAAAATCAAAACGATATTTTTATATATTTATTTTGAAAAAAAAAAAAACATTTGGTAACATGTAAACAGCCAAATATTAAAATAAAATCGATTGTAGGCGCCCAATGTGATTTATAACCCCGGTATCAAATTTGAAACTTCAGGTATTTAAGGCTTAATAATAATATTATTAGGTACTTACAGGGCGTCTTCCAATTTCTTCTCGAGCAAGTTGGTGCTCGTGTGGGCCCTTTCGAATTCTTCTATCAAACCACGCATCGGTTTGTCCTGATAAATTTAAATTATTAATATTTGCTTACTTATTAAATTGTTTAGACAATAAACAACATATGAATATATAAGCTTCGAATTTAGGACAATTCATTGTTGCATAGGCTTTTTATGGGTGGAAAGCACCTCAAAGTTGGAAAGGAGCAGAAATGGTAAACAAGCATACATCCCGTCTGATGATAAACGAACGCCTGCAACACTGTGTCACGTGCGCGTTGAAGACCCTGAAGAAACATTTTGGAAGAACCCCATACTGTTATTTCTACGGGAAACCTCAACAATGAGCTTATAATAATACACAACCTAGCATTCTCAAGGGGGGGAATTCTTAATCATCGTATTAGCCGTTCTCTGTCCACTGTTGGACATAGGCCTCCCCCCCATAGACTGCCAAAAGGATCTAATCCTGAGCCACCTGTATCCACTGACTCCCTTCAATGCACATGACGTCGTCCATTTAGTGGAGGGTCATCCTAAACGCTTTTTGCCTGTACGGAGCATCCACTCAAGAACTTTTCTTCCTCAGATCGTTAATATTGGAGATTAATTTTCTCATTGAGAGCAATATGTATATCCTATCAGGTCGATTTCAACACATTCTTGCTTGGAAACTATTGAAGCCTAACTGTATCCGGTCTTACCATCACCCCGCCAGCGTGTACCGTTGGCATAGACTGGGTTACATTCCATTTTATTCGTCAACAAACCCCTTACCTGTACTCTTTCAAGCACCGGTCTCCTGGTCCTCGTCTCTAGCCTGGTCTCCACCAGCTTGGTCGGGTTTATCTTGTCGGCTACAGCGGCCCGCAGTGCCTCGATCTCTCTCTCCACTTTTTGCAAATTGCTCTCCAGCTAGAACATTCACGCTAACTTATTATACTTTTGAATGCGTGTATAGTTTTTTGTAGCTTGGAAGAGATCGCTTTTAGCAATCTCCACGATCGTGCTGAATTCCAGGTGTATTCATCACGATAAGCTAATTGAGTTTTCATTCTCACTTATCATGTTTCACTGGTGCTCGGCCATCATATACCATTATCACACATTTTTCTTTTAATACCCACTTACCTTATATTTCTGCCATTCCATTTCGTTCCTGGCTCTTTGTATGTCAAACACCCTGCGCCTCATTATCATCTCCACGTGCTGGCTCTGCGCGTACATCTGGTTTTTGGCTTGCTCCCTCGCTTTAAACATTGTCTCCCGCAGTGCCTTCGATTCAGACATCAGCTGCTCAGCAATTTTTATGGTATTCTCTATGCAGTCGACATAGGTTTTCTCTGACATAGATCTATAAATGGATTTAGCAGTTCATTTCACCGTACTTTTACATGATACTACGTAAATATTTCTTTAATTTAAAAATATATTTTTTATGCAAGTTAGAATGGCCAACAATCTGACGGCCCACCTGACAGAAAATGTTAACCATCACTCACACATATGGACAGTAATGGTATACTGTCCATGGGGACATTACCGAATATTCTTTGACGCCTGTAGTTTCCCCTCATACTCGTACGTTGCCATTCCTCTGGACGGGTGCTATGCCTTCATATTTTGTAATTTTACTGCCATATCCTACTCTTTAAACCGAAACACAGCCATATTTATTTCACAGTAGAAAAACGAATGGAACAATTGCACATACAGAGAACTTTTGTTTGTCCAAAGTTTTCAGTATAATCCATAGCAATGACATTGAGTATAGATCTCTCCCATAAGTAAATTTCAAGTACCTACCTACTATTACATTGTAAAAAAATCGTCTTTGAGTAGTTTATCTACATATTTTACCAACTCACTCAGGCGGTATTCGGGAAGGGTCCAGTTTGTACGAAATATCCGAGCTCTCCCGATCTAGATCCTTCACGTGATACTCCAGCTCCAGTGCATCATCCTTATTCTGTATCTCCCGTTCGAGACGACAGAAAACGTTGGTGAGCTCTTTGATCTTCTCCCATCCCATGTGGCATATGTCGGTGAGCACTCGCTTGTGATTTTCAATTGTGTGCAGTTCCTGGTAAAAGATCAGCTTCAGGTTAGGTAGTTAATGTATCTGTCATGACTACTATTTATCTAATTCTGTAAGTAGATAGGGAAAGGCAATGAGGATCAATAGTTTTGCTGTTAATAAGGTACTCAGTTATGCAACCTCCCCGCGGTCTCATTCGGTAACTAGCATCTTAATCTTCGGGTACAAAACGTGGACGCAAATCAAGATTCTAGAAACACCACTCGCTCCATTCCACACCACTTATAGTTCTCATAAAAAGTGATAAAGGAACAATTCTGTGGGGAGAATTCCACTTCTTAATTCCTTCTTTCCTCACGTTGATTTTACACCCCGATAGACTAATTGAATTAAGGAAGTATAATTCTTTAATTCAATTAGTCCGTCAATTAATTGTGTCATTTCAGTTATAATGCTTATGCTAAAGCAAGCATCCCGCTCTCTTGCATTAAAATTGCTCAATTGTTTTAAGCCGATGTCTGCAATTGGACGTGTTTGCCTCCAACTTGCTGGAGTTTCGTCGGATGACCACAATGTGTTTGTATTCAAATAGATGATATTATTGTTATGTAATTTAAATATAACTAATATTATACCATTTTTTTTATATAACTTAGAATGGCAAACAAGTTGACGGCCCACCTGATGGAAAGTGGTAACCGTCGCCTATAGACATGAGCAGTACCATGGACATAACAGAGTATACTGTTTCGCCCATGATACCCCCCATGCGTTGCCATTCCTGAGGACTCAGGTGTTATTCCTCTGTACCCAGTAATTTAATTATACATATGTTTTACTGTACTGATACTTTCCTGAGTGAGCGTTTTGAGAAACTAAAGCTCACTCAGGTAATGAAATAAATAAATAATAAAATTAGATTTTTTTTTTATACAACTTAGAATGGCAAACAAGCTGACGGCCCACCTGATAGAAAATGATAACCGTCGCCTGAGACATGAGCAGTGTCATGGACATAACAGAGTATACTGTTTCGCCCATGATACCCCCCATGCGTTGCCATCCCTGAGGACTCAGATGTTATTCCTCTGATATTAGAAATACTCTTACTTCCAAGAAGATCTTTTGTGATGACATATATTTTGCGCACAATTTTGCAGTACATTTTTCTACAACTAAATCTATTACTGCCCTATGGTCTTGGCTAAAGTGGGCTATCCCTTTCGTTCCTATGGGTGTCGTAAGAGACGAATAAAGGAACTTAATAGCCGATGAATCGATAGTAGCATACCTTTTAAAATCTCATCAAAGCCTAATTGCAGTTGCCAATCTGCCTGCCAAGCGTGGCAACTAGTAATAAATCCTGGCCTTATAGAAGAGGCCTATGTTCAGCAGTCAACAATTAATAGCTAATTAGATATGGTAGTCTTTTTTTTTTTTTTTTACAACACAGGGGGCAAACGAGCAACTGCGGCTCACCTGATGGTAAGTGACTACCGCCGCCCATATATATGGTATATATATATATATATATATATATATATATATATATATATATATATATATGGTAGTCTTTTACCATTTTACAAATTATCCAATATAAGCTCGACTAAATATACTTACCTTATTAAGTTCTTCGCCTAGTTGGTCTCTAGTGAGTTCAGGGGGCACCCTCTGATCTCTGTTAGAGAGACACTGCGAAGATACCATCAGTGGTACTTGCAGCGACTCCAAATGCAGCTCTGTGGCGTTTTTTTCTTCTTTTAAAGCCCTGATCTCATCCCTTACGTTTTCCCTTGTGAACCTTTGCTTCTCTCTCCATGATTGTACTTCAAATATTCTGTACAATAATTTTTATATGTAATAAGATATATATATTTTTTTTACAACACAGGGGGCAAACGTGCATGCGGCTCACCTGATGGTAAGTGACTACCGCCGCCCATGATCACCCACAACACTAACGGTATTGCAGGTGTGCTGCCGGCCTTTTAAAAAGGAATATGCTCTTTTCTTGAAGGTTATTTTGTCGTATCGATTCGGAAATACTGCTGCTGGAAGTTAATTCCAAAGAATGGTTGTGAGTGGAAAAAAGTTATGCTCGCGACTGTACTCGAATCTTATTGAATCCACTTGTTTAACCATGATAGCTTTACATTCACATTTAAAATATTAAATATGAATGTAAAGCTAATACAATCAAACAAGTTAACAAACAAACAAATCATATTTTGATCTTACTCTGTTACTACATACATCACAAACATTATCCTCCTTTATTTTATTTTACTTAGAATGGCAAACAAGCTGACAGATCAACTTATAAATTCTTACTTTCAATAGAAAGTTAGAGTTTTCGCCTCTATACATGAACGTATGTATGGAGTATGGAGGAATGTTGGCTTTTAAAATACTTACCTGTCTCTTAACAATTCATTGTTAACATAATTGTCCCATCGCGTGGTAACCGATGTTTCATTCCTCAGTTGATTCGCTTTCTGTCGTAATTCATACGACTCGAATCGGCGAACCCTCGCTTCCTCTTGTAATCTCTGTATATTCCTTGTCCAATCTAAAACACTTAAACGAGGATGAGTTTTCTCAAAAACAGGTATTGAGGCGTCCATGTTAGAAAACTTTAATACAATATACTATTATTTCAGCAGTCTTTCTGTTAAGTAGTAGTTTGATCAATATTTTCGTCCAATTATATATAAGTACCGTACTTATATAAACATAGGTAATTTTTAGAATGCTTGATGAAAACAACGATTTAAATATTTTAAGTTCACATAGTACATTTTTATTATTTATAAAAGTTAAATATTTAACTACATATTTCAAGAATTCCAAATATTTCAAGTTTCGCGGTATCTATGCCGGAACCGGTAGTGATCAACATTATAGATAGTTGAATTCAATTAAATTGAATAATATCACGCTTTGGTTAGTTGATACGATAAAAATAAAATACGATAATTACTCGTTAAATCTATGTTCGTCTTTTAATTTGAAATATTGGAGTACTAGATGTAAACATTTTGTTTCGTGTATGGAGGCCTAAAATTCGACAGAGTAGATGAGCCATAGACAAAAAACAATTTTAATAAATATGGCGCCGGCTCTCTAGCTTTCCTTTGGCTGATGCTTGGCTAGGTCATTGGTTTATTTATCACCAAAAATACTTTTATTTTAGTAAATAGAGTAGTAATAAATAATAAATGTTATAGACAGTAGACATTTTGTTATATATAAAAGAAACCACAACATTGTAAACATCAAAAATGTAAGTAAAATTTTTAATATACCTGAAAAGATTTTATTTTACAGTTAGGTATACAGTTCAACGTCCATTTATGTTTTAGGTACGATGATAGGCGTGGCGGTCGTGGTGGTGGACGTGGGGGCGGTCGGGGCGGTGGCCGCGGCGGCCGAGGAGTCTCCCGTGGTGGATCTAGATCAGGCGATAGGTCTCAGGATAGAAGTAGCCGCTTCAGTGGCGGGGGCCGAGGCCGGGATGGAGGGCGAGGAGGGCGAGATGGCGGCCGTGGGTTCGGTGGGCGTGGTGGGCGGGACGACTTCCGCGGCGGTTTCAAAAACGATCAGCCCGGTGGCAATCTCCGCAAAATCCGATGGGATACAGTCACGCTAACACCATTCGAGAAAAACTTTTACGTCCCCCATCCGAATGTCCAGAGACGCTCACAAGCTGAAGTAGAGGCTTACCGTAGCCAACATCAGATAACAGTGAAAGGCCATAATGTACCTTCCCCTAGCATTTACTTTGAAGAAGGGGGATTTCCAGATTATGCCATGCAGGAGATTTTAAAACAGGGTTTCCCTAATCCGACCGCTATCCAGGCTCAGGGCTGGCCCATAGCACTGTCAGGGCGTGATATGGTTGGAATAGCCCAAACAGGATCAGGGAAGACATTGGCATACATTTTACCAGCCATTGTTCACATTATAAATCAGCCACGACTGCTACGAGACGATGGGCCAATTGTGCTTGTTTTGGCTCCAACTAGAGAACTTGCACAGCAAATACAGCAGGTAAAATTATATTCTCATTTAGCTATTTTGTTTTAAATACGACTGATCTTGTTTAGAAGGAATAAGGCCTGCCATTGTCTATTAACTTTATAAATTGCCTGATCTTTTAAAGGACTGTAAAGCAATTTATATGGTTTAACTACTAACATAATAAAAAAAGAGAATTATAAATTGTCAAAGCAGCATTTGAGAAACTCGTTATTTCTAATGTATTACATTACTAATTACAATTTCAATATTTGTTTATGTCAATAAGACTTAGCTTTTGTTTTTCGTTGTGCCGCAACAGGCGTTGATCGGAATGAACGGAATCGCTGCGGAGATGTTGGACAGCGATCAAAACGCCTCAGATATAGTAAATTGATTCAATTTATAATATGTAGAACTTAGTTTATGGCAGGCTATGTTCGAAAACCTATATTGTTTCGGATGTACTTTGAAGTGTATAATTTACAACTTCTAAATTCAAAATTCTCTTTTTGGTTAGGTAAGGTTTCTGAACGTAACCTTATGTATTTCTTTTTATTTTAGCATTTGTACCACTTTCTGGTCTACTATTTCTTTTACTATTTCATATATCTTTCCTGTTCTTTGTATCTGTTGTGTGCTTTCTTTGTAATTAAATATAGATCATCACATGACACTTTCATTTCAATATGATATTACACATTTATTTGTTCATTTATATATTTACAATGTTTATATTATAAAAGTCATAAATCAAATATATACTATTACTGGACTTGTTTAATGTGATACCAAATATGTTGGTTTATTTTTTCAATGAAATCTCATTGTCACGTAATTTTTATTTGATGTTCCACATTGCTCATCAATAGTTCTATAATGAAACAAAACAACTTTTGCAGGTGGCTACAGACTTTGGGCAAAATGTGCAAGTCAGGAACACTTGTATATTTGGTGGGGCTCCTAAGGGCCCTCAAGGCAGGTGCTTAGAGAGAGGTGTCGAAATAGTAATTGCTACTCCAGGAAGGCTCATTGATTTCTTAGAAAAAGGTATGTTTTATTTGTTCATTAATTACTCTGTTGATGTTTTACTGTGACTGAAATGTATGTTTTTAAAATCAAAGGAACAACAAATTTGCGGCGTTGCACCTACTTGGTGCTGGATGAGGCGGACAGGATGTTAGATATGGGTTTCGAACCCCAAATCAGGAAGATTATTGAGCAAATCCGACCTGATAGACAGGTAGGTTGCCTAGAACACAAATGATCTGTCTTATTTTTGTAAAACATTTTATCACATTTTTCATATTCAGGTATTGATGTGGTCTGCAACTTGGCCGAAAGAGGTACAAAATCTAGCAGAAGAATTTCTCCATGATTACATCCAAATCAACATTGGTTCACTCACATTGTCAGCCAACCACAATATTCTCCAAATAGTAGATGTTTGTGAGGAATGGGAGAAGGATGATAAGCTGATCACATTGCTCACTGAAATATCATCGGAGGAAGAAACAAAAACCATTATATTTGCTGAGACTAAGAGAAAGGTAAATTGTATTTTATATTTTTGTCAAAATAATACGGCAAAGAATATTTGTTACATGTTGTATATTTATAAAAATAAATTAAATACGTGTCTCTGTTAAATTTACAACAGCTGGTAACAGCGTCCCCGTTATAACATCATCAAAGCCTAACTATGGTAACCCAATTATCTGCCAAACGTGTCAATTATTGGCACAATATAATATCAAACAAAAACATTTATAGACTATTGAATGTGTTTTAATTTGTTTAAACCTATCATTGTTTTCCTCACTTGGATACCAAGGACTTACCATTTACCACGTTTGATTAGGAAATATTTTCTGTATATGAAATACTTTACAGCATACACATAACTTGAAATCTGAAACATCTCCAGCATTCCACTTTCTTGTTCACATTAGAAAATATAGGATATCAACATTGTTTCATTTAGGTTGACGATATAACAAAAACAATAAACCGCGCTGGATGGCGGGCGCTTGCCATACACGGCGACAAGAACCAGCAGGACCGCGATTATGTTCTCAGTCAGTTCCGACAGAATAATGGCGGGATACTTGTAGCAACCGACGTCGCCGCTAGAGGATTGGGTAAGTCGCCTTAAACAATACTCGCAAATCCAGAATCCCATGCGTAATGTAATAAAATCCAATTCAATGTATTGAATATAATATTAATATCTGTGCACAATTATAATATTTTGAAAATGGATAATTACATGTGGAACAGATAGTAGGATTCGATAGATGTTTAGTTAATACTGTTAATTGCCCAGAAGTTGACTATCTTATGTTTGAGCCACCTGTAGATAAAGTAGATTGTACATATACTATCTCCAATGTAATGTTTGTTATAAAAAAAAAGGTGGTGACAATATTTCCCGCCAAATATAAGTATGAATACCTACAATAAAGGCATCAAACAAAAGATTTACTGAGAAACAGTAGCGAGGAGTTTTGTAACATAGTCTGAATAAAGGGACTGAATCATCTCGCACTGTTTTACCGGGGTGTTTTAAAGGTCTAAGAGATGTCAGGAGCGTAGAGGAGGTATTTGATGCCATTGCTAAATGAAATTGAGTAAAACCAGTTCCAGTATTCACAGACTGACTGCTTTTTTTTTACTGATGTGTAATATTTCCTTTATAAAGTACAGATATTATTGTAGGTTTATTTTCTCTGTTTTTTATATATTAATATAAATTTAGGTATGAATTTAAGATCTGATGTAACTGTTTACTATATACAGGAATGTAAAGAACTGTAGCCTAGGTTTCTACGTATGTATAAATGGGAGTTTCATGGTGAATATTGGAACGTAGGCCATAAAATGACAATAAATTATTAATGAATAAGCAATGGTTTGATAACACCATTTAGAAATATTCTCGGGCCACGATACGGATCTTATGATAACTTCGACGCTCCAGCTGTTATCATGGGAGATAATTGTTGATCTGTTTAGTGTTTATGTTTCAGCAATTGATATGTTATGATGTGATAGGTTGCAATTTTCATCCCATGACTGTGTATTGTAATTATTAATATATTGTCGTAAAGTGCATCATATGGTTCCTCTAATCATAGCCCGATAATAAATAAATTTCCATGACTGACTTGGCATTATTCTCGATTGTTTTCATTTCAGAGGCGCATGCGTGCAGAGATAAAGGCTAGCCTAGGCGTGTGTTGCTGACTTCACGATTAATTAACAATAACCATTCGCATGATGGGATTATTAAAAGACAGCATTGTATGAACTGTCAGCGCACACTATTCGAATGAGCATGCTGCCTCTAGTAACGTAGCAAAATATTAAAAGGGTCGTGGGGTGTAAAGGGGAATCGAATGCAGAGTATTTATTACATTTTACACCAAATAAAATTTTGAAGATTTATAACAATTCAAATGAAATCTGAAATTGAAATTGTCATTTCAAATATATATCTTATAGTTTCAAGTAGATTTGTTATGTTAACTGATAAATTTGAACGGAATAACATCATTGGATGAATCTGATAAGAGCAATATATGCTTGGTTAATTGTCATGAGAGATTTAACGAAAACTAAACCCTACGCCACCTGACAACTAATAGCAAAGTAGCGAACACAATGTACGTTGGCGTACAAGTCAGCACACCAGTCCACTCTTGGCCTACAACACTCCGGAACCACTGACGGGCATAATACAGTTATTTCCAGCAGTTCCTGCTCCGGCTTCATGGCACTCATAAGGTAACCGTTTGATGTTCAGTTTGAGGGAATAGGCTTACAAAGCATGTTGACTTTACCAAAGCTTAACTTTGTACCACTAACTAGTAGACTTAAAATATTTACAGTAGATATTTATTTTCAATTTCTGCAATCTAATTTATTATTTCATTATTATAACTGTTATCGAAAAATAGGTAAACATGATAACTAGTATTAAAGGTTGCTCTTGTTAGAAGTACCACTAGGTACTGACTTGGGACCTTAATAAGATTCTTCCCTCAAACCAGTTCATATTGTGGAATATTAATATAATATATAATCATTTGTCAAATGTAACTTGTTATATCTAGAAATTGATTCTGTAGCAACAGTTTAACGTATTACCCTACAATCCAGATGTGGAGGACGTGAAGTTCGTAATAAACTATGATTATCCAAATAATTCCGAGGACTACGTACACCGTATCGGTCGCACGGGCCGCTCGCAGAATACTGGCACTGCATACACGCTGTTCACGCCGAACAATTCGGCTAAGGTACTATAATCGCTTGTATTGTTTGATATATTTTACGTTTACTACAATATCCATCGTTCATAGGTATTTTTACGTCGCTTCTAGAAATGATATTGAACTTGAATTAAATCTTCCTACTTTTCGACAAATTTATGAAATGAGACCCTTTGTAGATCTCATTGTCATCAATTTGATCCTTCGTACTCCGGATTATTTCTTTAATTCTTTACAAGAGGAATAGTTTTGAATTGAATCTTCCAACTTATTGCCTAATTTCTAAAAAGTGACCCTTTGTATATCTCATTGTCATCAATTTGATCCTTCGGACTCCGGATCATTTCATTGATTCTTTACAACAGGAATAGTTTTTAGATAATCATCTACATTGATACGTGTATATCACATGTTTTTAGTGTTGAGCAGTTTTCTTAAATACTTTATTCCGTTTTGAAGGGTGAGAGGTGACAATGAAATTGCTAAGTATTACATATAATGGTCTTTAACACGCGAGTAATGCTTCTGGTGTTGTTTGAGCTCAAAACTTTAAATATTGAAAAGAATAGACGTTTGTTTTTGTTTTTTTTTTTTTTTTTTACTTTGCAATAATGATCAAATATATTTCAGGCAAAAGATCTGATGTCTGTTCTACAAGAAGCTAATCAAGTAGTCAATCCTAAGTTATTGGAGTTGGCGCAATGTGGTATGGGCTTCAAAGGGAAATATGGTAAGTTCTAGACAACAAATCGATTCTGACGCCCCATTCTCTAAAGTCTACACGTCTAAAATCTGTAAAAAAAAATTAAATTTACATTATAATGATATCTTTGTTCTGAGAATAAAATACAAACTAAATGGCTTATAGATTACCAGAACTATATTGTGGTAATCTATAAGAAATTTAGTTTTCTTTATATATCACTAAAGCAAATATGCGGTTGCCAACCTGTCTGCCAAGATTGGCAACTATTGGCAATATCTCCCTTATGGGGAAGGCCTATGTTCACCACTAGACAGTTAAGGACTGATCATGATAATGAATAAAATAAATAACACACTAAATTAAGAGACGGTGAGCCTGTTCTTGACATGTTGGATTTTAATTTGCGTGACCAAATGTGGACATGTCGAATATAATACGGCGACAGTCGACAATTGCCCATTGACTATCTATCCAAGCAGATATTAGAGACGTGAGTATATTTTTGACTTTTATTTATTTGAAGGTCGCGGCCGGTTCCGTGAGCGCGACGAAGGAGACTCCCGCCACGAACGTAGCGGACGCGGTCGCGGCCGTGGACGTGGCAGTGCCGGCGGCGGGCGCTTTGGGGACAGAGGTACCCACTCTACTATTATAGATTGATAAAGTTTTTATTACCAACAATAATAGTTAGAAACACATCAATAAAAAAGAAAAAAAAAATTTTTGCTGGTTGCTGGAGCCGCCTCAGCTGTTGCTATATATGCACACCTCCAACGAAATGTACCTATACAGTGCTGATTTTCATGCGGCCCCTTAACTCATTTAACTTTAGCATGCGTGCGAGTCGCCAATACCCATTTTTCGGATGGGTGACTCGATATACTGAACAAAAAATAAATAAAAAACTATAACCAAAACTAAAAAAGAACGAACTTTGAATACAACATTATCGCAATAGCAACCTCTTTCGATTATTTAAAATATAGTGTCTGTTTTGTTATTATAGTGTATGTGTTGCTTATTTCATATGCGACAGATTTTGCTCATATTTGCCGAGTTGTAGTATGTTTCGGTTGCCTAAATCTTTCTAACACTTGTTTGTTTTACTCTTTTTACCCAGGATCAAGGTGGGATAATTCCGACAGTTACGGAGATAATCAAAACTCCAGCTACAGCAGGAATGAGAACTACAGCGGCAGGAGCAACTACGGGAACCGTGAAGGAGGGAGTTTCAGCCGCGACAACTCGTTTAGACAAGACAACGGGTTCCGAGGACGCGGAGGTCGCGGGGGCAGGGGGGGAGGCGGTGGCCGCGGCGGTAGCGGCGGCAGCTATAACCAGGGTCAGCAAGGGGGGTACAATCAGAACTATGGTCAGTCTCAATCCCAGAGTTTTAATGTCCCCCCTCCGACGAGTTATTACAATATGTACTCGCAGCCACCACTCCCACCCAGTAATAAATATGGAGCTAAATAAATTAGAAAAAATTAGTATACAAAAATCGGCATGAAATGTCGCCTCTGGCTGTTATATTTACTTCGACGGTTATTGGTATTAATTTCAGCATCTAATTTTGTTGTAAAAAATTCAAAAACAATTTTGATATGTCATAACAAAAGTTGCTAGAACATATTTCATGTAACAGCTCGTAATTGCAGACTGAGCTACAAATTTTATTAACGTCGAGGAAATGAATAGTATTTGTACCTTAATTGATTTAAGAATATGTATTAAATAAATATCCAACAGTGTGGGTAATGTATTAGATTGTTTTTCAAAAAATTGTTGATTTTCATTAAATTAGCATATCGCGAGGAAATCATAATGCATTGTCTTAGACAATGGTCTAAATTAATACCCTATATTTCTAATTCTCAATATCTTTCAGCTAAAATATTGTCTCAGTATCGCGTTGACCATATTTTTATACGTCGAAACAGTCTTGTATGTTGTAGCTATCAAATAACAGTGAATATAGCGTTCGACTTTATGTCGATATAGCTCTCGTTCCAACATTCCCTACTTATGTTTGTGACGTAACTGAATTACTCTTATAAGATTGTGCAATTTAAAACCTAATAAAAATTCACTTAAATAGAAAGATGCCTTTAATTTTTCTGTTTTACCTAAGTCTAGGTTTATACACGCATTTGAAAGAAATTAAAAAACATTGGATATTTACGATTTAGATTTTTTTTTTATGGATGACAATGGAATGGTAACCCCGCCAGCTTATACCGATACGGCAAGGTATCAGTGAAAAATGATAGGTGAGGATGAAGGCAGCCCAGGTTGGCCCCTAGTGACCAATTGAACAAAAATTAACCACTGGTTTTCAGGGGACCCGCGTTGAGGACGACCTGATAGGAGGGTGTATTGCTAACAATTCTTTTCAATAAATCGGGAATTTAGATGGTTTACATTTTTGCTGAAAGTAAGCAATGGAACACGTTATTACAAGAAAATGGTTGATTTCAAAGAAATAACGATATTAGGCCAATTTCATAACTAGTTTTTTATCAATTACGATCATGTGAATATGAGATACCAAAAGATACCTAGTAGGAACCAGGCAACGAAATCCATCTTTATTATCGTATGATCCATTATTATACAGGAAATCCAGGTCTGGGCCTATCCAGAAATCTCTTGTCTAAAAGTTGAACCTGGAACTGTTTCTGGTTTGATTCCGCTCTGATTAATAAAAAGAATCTTCTGAAATTACTTGGGTCTGGTTGTTTGGGATTTTGCTCGCAGATGTTCATTGCCTGATGCCTCATAACACAAATTATTCGAGGATTGGACTAGTTAATTGGTAAATGGCACTTAGGCAAAGCTTTCGTCACCCTTGTGTCAGAAGTCGCTAAATTGATGGTCATAAACTTACAAAATATATAATGGGTTCCTTAAGGGAAGTGAACATTTATTTGTGATATTTGGAACATTTAGTTGGAAATATAAAATGTATACACATGAACTAAATCATAGGTAAAAGACACCATTGAAACACCATAATGTATTATTTATTGCATTTTACTCCTACATAAATAAACAGAATTGATTTATAATTTTGTTAGAAGTCCCTGATATGTCTTCAAAGTCAGCTACCGTACAATGTAGCTGGATCACAATGCATTAATATTCCACAAGTTAATCATATTTTGATGGCATATCAAGGAACCTAATGGTGTTTAGCTTAGTGAGTAGATGGGGTTGCTTCAGCTTTGTAGTTCCCAGGTTGATCATCAGGGTCATGTGGCCAGAATGTAGGCCTGTTGATAGGGTCCAAGGCTTCGTTGGGGTATGCATCACGGTAGTCTTCCAATGTCATCTGGTCATAAGGTAGGAGGGCCTTGACTGTGTTGATTTCCTTTTCATACCTGTAACACATTTTAATTATTAAATATTTCAGACAATTCTGGTGACACAAAATTTAAGACAGAAAAATATTGACACAAAAACTTCTGTTCTCTAAAAATATTACTTTTCTTTGTTTCCTATTTGAAACTTTAATAATACTATATGCAAGTATGTTAAAGTAGAACTACCCACCATGAATTAGTGTCTGACCTTGCTCCATCCCATTTTAAATTAATTAATCAGCACTTTCAACTCATACTGTGAAATACTTGTTTCATAATTGGAGTGATAATAAATTAGGAATGATAAAATTTGAGAGGTACTACAGGTGTAACGATATGATCTTCATTTTTCCAGACAATGGTTACTACTTTTTCAGTTGAACAAATTTTGAAAAGGAGTTACACAATTACTATTTTTTAATATTATGTGACATATATCTCGCCGGTAAGGCGATATTGGATATTTTATAAATTTTTGCATTTTGTCAAGATTCAAGTAATTTTTTTTCTCGCAAATTACAATTATGTTTTACTTACTTTGCAATATTAGCATTGGACGCCTGAACGAAAGCTTCAATTGCTTTCCTGACTTCAGCCCATTGTGCTTCTACCTTAACTGTTTGCGTATCAGTTGGGTAAGGGATTTTCAGTGCTTCATATTGTTTTTGGAAACTGTCCACCATGCCAGGGATTGGCACAGTTTGCTTGTATACAGCCCAGTTGATCTTCGGTGGCTCGGGAGGATTGGCCAAGACTCTGTAAAATAATTTGAAAATAACCCAAAAGCACTAACACTAAATTATGTAACGAAGTAGGCGATGCTAACCTTCGTAGATATGCGTCGGATTTCGCTTTAAAAGCTGTAAGGCTAGCTCTCTGCTCAGGGGGAACCCTTTCAGCTAAAGCCGACCAGTTTACCGAACTCTGTGCGATCCTTTTCGCCATTTTTTGGCGATTTTTATACTAATTCACAGGAAAATGCTAAAAGACAAGTCAAAGTCGAATTGCCAATAAATGGACTGAATGAGATTGATTGACTGAACTGAGTAAATCATTGTAAGTCAGTCGATACAGTAATACGTCAACCAACCAACATCACATCAACGTCAATGTCAATTGAACCATAGACAACAGAACTAACTTATTTTTAATTTAACCACAGTAGAAAGGCACAGGCAAACCATACAGCCTAACAACGTATTAAGTATTAAATTGTGATTATAATTGAAAAACATATTTGTATCGTAATAGCATGGTGTGTTTGTAAGCTTTGTTTAAAAAAATATAGCAAATTATGGTATATATAAATAGACAGTGTTAAAGTAGGTATTCATTTTCTTTATAGGTATAATATTTACGAACCTAATTTGTATTTTTCCCTGTATCACCTTCAAAACATACCTATCATTAGTTTCTCAGATGAACTTTGATATGCATATATCAAAATTTTTTTATGTGCACCATACGAGGAATGAATAGATATAGTTTTTATTTGTTATAATTTAACGAGCCATAAAAATTAACAAAAATCTTATTTGTTATAAAACAAATCGTCTAAATCTTTGAACTTTTGAATCGGATCGTAGAATTTTATATACTGTGATATTCATGTATTATTTTTCATGGATTCTCGAGAACAAGTATTGCCTTTTTTGACAGACATTTTAAAGGTATTGTTTTAAATAATTAAAAACAGGTTTACATTATATAAATAAATTTTAATTTACCTTTGGTTTGCTTAACAATAATAATTGGTACAAATAATTACACTAATTTAATATTGGTAAGATGTATTATTAATTATATCTTGTGTTGCAGTAAGTTTGCCACGTGTTTCTCGTTTATATTATTATAACAAATATTTAATAAGTATGAAGTTCAGTTTATATTAATCTACATAAGTAAAATCGTTATTATAAATTTTAGTTGATTGGCATATTTACCATTACACAGAACTGGGGGGTTGAAAATCTTGGTCAAGTAACAAAATTTGGATTAATTTTGTAGAAAGCACCAATTTTAATAAGCCTCTTACAAAAAAGGGCATAAGTATGAATGCGTTATAAAAAAATAATTTTATAATGATTACTTAAAACAGTTTTTAAGGTCTATGTCCATTTTGTTTAGATGTAAGTAGACATCTAGCTATATAATAAAATATTTTTTTATATAAAATAAATATATTTGTTTTGTTACTAGAAGTTATTTTAAACTCTCTCTGGTCCTCTGCAGTAATTTTTTTCTTTTTATATTCTTTCCATTAGGCACTTAGCTACTGCCAGTTATTTGAAGTATTGCGTTTACCGCTATTCATTTATTCTATGTATGTACTAATTACAAATAGAAAGTTTTTAACACTTTTACATTAAGAATAGGAATCAACCACAAAGAAATCGTCCTGTGTTCCGTTTGTCGTAGCTAACCATAGACACATAGAGGCCGTAAGTCAATTAATATGAATGTACCTAAAATATATATACCTAATAATAATGATATTCAATATTTTTTATACACAGGTATATCTAAATTATTAATAGAAATATATTTAAACAGCGGCGGACTAAGCCAGTCATAGGCACAAAATCTAAATGAGGCCCCAAATTTAATATAATTTTATAAGCTTCTTATTCACTTCACATTAGTATGTATGAATGTTTATTTAGTTAAAATCTTGCATGTGAAATTTAAATTGGACTTAAATATAAATAGAGTATGGATATGGATGAAGGAAATGGTGGCGTTTGGTGGCCCCTATGGATCTGAGGCTCAAGGCGAACCGCTTCTTTCACCTCCCCGTTAATCCGTCACTGTTTAAAAGGAACTTCTTGCTAAGAACTTCAATATGATATGGTAATAATTCTGGATAGTAATTATTTGACAAGAAATTTTCTTTTATTCTTAGCAAGTTTTTTAATTAATCTTACGTGTATATATAATTTGGTCCATTTCGTACACTTTCACAAGTTAACTACTAGCCAAAATAATATTATTATAATCGATTCATAATTGGCAAAGATATCGCATATTTAATAAATACAAAAAACAAACAAATATATAACCGAATTATCAAAGCATAATTACAACAGGCAGATGAAGTAAAAAGGTTGGTGTCATGTCGTATCAAGAGGTGAAGAGACTCGTAGAAAATCGTAGTGCGTAGCAAGAGCTCCACCGACAAGAGCGCAACTCTTTAATAGGATAGATAAAATTAAATTGCTAAGTAGTATAAACCGTATGATATCGAAGCTAGAAGATATCTATTAGTTTTTGCGTTATATTATAGAATAGATATTGGTAAACGGAGAAATAAGAATTATTTACATATTTGCGCAGTAACAATACGCAGGCATTTATTCAACAAGCTTTATTTCTGTTACATATTTATTTTGTCTATGGTTTTTTATTTTTAAATTGTCGCCACTCCAATTGTATTTAAAAATGTTTCAAAACCGTTAAATTTAGCACATTCACAAAACTTGTTTTTTCCTCAATCGCAATATTTAACGATATGCTTACTTTCAAATAAAATAATTATCCAATTTGCATGAATTCGAATGTGACCAATTCGTTACCGTGATGTGATTTCTAAAATTGTGATTTGGAATAAGTAACAAATTGTTAATAAAGTAATTAGACATCGTTATAGATATAGACTGACATAAAAAAAATAGTAAATGTAAATATACAATGAAAACAAAACTTGTGTACTATTGAAATTCTTTAATTTTAGAGTTTCGCGGTCCATATATTATGTTTAATTTTGTTCATTATGACCACAGATTATAATTACCCTTTTGATTAATGAATGATTTGATTAATAGGTACCAATAGCAAATTTTAAATATTCACTTTATATATAGGAAATGTAGATATCAATAGTTCCTAGCGGTTTTAATGTTTATTTTTAGTAAATGTGGCACTTGAATCCTCAATTTCAGGTAAATACTTCTATTCAAGTATATTAAATAAATCACGACAAATAGTTGGCCAGTTCCACTAAGTCAACATGACAACAGACGTTTACGATATTAAAAAACAAAGATTAATATCTATTTTAAAAACCGTACGGTGCTACGCAATTTACACGTTTAATTTTTTTTATTACAATAAACCTAAAAAGTATTCCTTAAATATACTTATGTCTATGGTACGCTATGTGAGAATATCTCGAGCCGTTGTAACAAAAAAACTATCTAATTTTCCATAAGTATTATAACTAAATAGGTATACTAAATAGATTCATAATTATCCTAATTGACTTTTGTGAATCAGTCTTCATAAGAATGAAAAAAAAAAAATATCATACTTATATTGAAAGTCAGAAAATAAACTTTTTTTTTTCTAATTTTAGTAAGTTTTAAACTTTTTAACAATGGATAGGAGGTTAGCGCAAATTTTTATCTATAGTAGCATCGATTCGAGTATTTTTTTTTATTTACCTAATAATGCGATGAACGTGGTAAATCATTGTAGGTACATTTGCAATCTTTTAATTTGTAAATTGTTTTAGTTATATTAATGATATATATATAATAAGGACTAATTTATATTTTAAATATCCATAATTTTTATAACATCTGCTTACCTCATAGGAAAAAGGCGAAGTGCATATTAAGTATAAAAATACATATAATTACGCCAAACCTTTTATAGGGTAATCAAAGAGAACCGAAAATCTTCATTAGTGTTTCTAAAAATAATAAATATATAACCATATTTCGTCATTACAAACGACGTTTTACAAATGTCATACGTATTTTTACAATTGAATATAATATTAATTTAAATTAACGGAATGCAAATTTTCTATTACAATTATTATATGAATATAAATTCTCCTATATAATTATTTAGTACGAATATAAAAGCGGTTTATAAATAACTTAATTATTATATCATATAGAGCTTTGGTTATGTTTTATGGTATACATTATTAAGTAGACAATCACATATACAATATTGACATATTATTTACATGGAATTAGTAACAATGACAATTGAGTATCGTTATATAGTCAAACGGAGATCTTCACACTAGAGGAATCAAATAATTATGCGAAATAAATGCAATACAAAACAGTTATTATATCTAACAAAATATAAATGTAAAAATAACGAAATAAGTGATTATTATAATAAAATCTTTAATGGAAATTACTGTAATTATTTGAAAGAAAATTATAGTGGCAAAGAACATAGATTAAAAATATAAATATTGTAAAACATTTAAATTTTGTGGCACCCATATTAAGTATGTCATGTATATTATGTACGATAAAAAATTTGTACATAATTTTAATATGTAAATTGTTTTTTTTTTTAATATTACACTGCATATATTAGCCACATCCGCAGGTACTATCTTTAATTTCTGGCCACGTCACAAGTCACGTGACTTGTGTAGTGACAATTTTATGTATAAAAGCGTTTACGGCGCTTGCGCGTACTGCTAGCTTGCTAGATATGTTGTCTATGGGCGTTATTTGCAGCTATAGTTTTTTTTTTTTATTTTCATTTAATATTATGGATGAATACACCTCAGATAATTACAGTGACTTCCTTTAAAGATTGTTCCGTATATAAATAATGTGTAATTAACTAGATTTATAAGTTACAATATCAATGACTGCTGTACCACTTTAAACAACTTTTAATAAAATATCTACGCCTATTTTAGGCAAGTTCAATTTTAATTTACAACTTCTGTTGGACCGCACGTGTATCATAGTCACAGATCATAAATCACATTTTTTTTTTATTTTAGTCCCAATGTTTACTTTTTAAGAACAATCATATACTCAAATTGGGGTCCATTCTTATTAGAATTATCAAATCACATCGTTCATAACTTGAAATCACTTATTCATAATCTCGCTGGCTCTTTATGGTGGTTCCTCTTCTCTTTCTCACCGTACTGCGGCGAATTTGACGATTGTCCCACAGTTCTACTGCCCCACGTGGTCCTTCGAGCCACCGGATTGTTTTTGCAAAATTTCAACAAGTTCCCGTACGCAGCGCGGTACTGTCGATTCGTTGCTGCGTATATAAGTGGATTGATAACACTGGATGCCCAAGCTAAAATGGACGCTATTATGTGAAGCCAAGGGTACGTTATGCCATCGTCGGCGACATTCATAATCATCAGAGGCAGGAAACAGGCGAGGAAGCAGAGGAAGATGGTCAGCATTAGAGTTGTGAGGCGCGAGTCTTCTTCTTTCTCCTTCGCTGTTTGGCCACTTAATTTGCTGTAAAAAAAATTAATACTTTACATTTAATTTTTATTTTTTACTTAATATTTACGCCGTGTGGTTCCGGCATAGAATGGGCTACTCCTTCCTTTCCAGTAGGTGTTGTAAGAGGCGACTAAGGGAGGGCGAGGGATGGACAGCAACGTCCCCATTAAAACATCTGTAAAAGCCCAACTGCGGTTACCAACTCGCCTGCCAAGCGTGGCAACTACTGGCAAAACTCCTCTTATGGGGATGGCTTATGGCCAGCAGTGGACAGTTAACGGCTAAAACAATATTAACATTTATCGAGATTATTTATTTCAGCAAATATTTAGGAGTTCTTGCTGGATTTTTTTTGTTTTTATACAACTTAGAATAGCAAACAAGCTGACGGCCCACCTGATGGAAAGTGGTAACCGTCGCCTATAGACATGAGCAGTACCATGGGCATAACAGAGTATACTGTCTCGCCCATGATACCCTCCATGTATACCATATATGTGCTAATAAAACTGTAGCGATACTCTACCACCACTGCACTGCGGAGGTCGTGATTAATACGCGAATGAAGTCAATAGAATAAGGGCAAAGCTTCTATTTAGTTGTGGATAGGTTATTTATTTATTAATTCTTTATTGCTTAATCTACATATCGTCACCTTTATGGTAAACTTACGAAACTGAAAAAGATACATTTTACAGGGGAACGTTTTGTAACATTAGAATGCAAATAACTTTTGATAGAAGACTACTGTAAAAGATCGTGCTAACATTTTAGTTTTAAAATCCTGTTTTTTATTGAATGCGCTTAATTAATTATTATTATATTACAAGTATCAGAAATGAATGCATATTCGTCACTTTGCACCTTCATACATGAGAGTTTCTAGGTATTGAGTTATACAACAGCAAATCAACGAAAGTGCCACTTTCGTAAATATACCAAGGTATAAATCACGTGTTTTGGAGAGAACTTCAGTTTAAATAACAACGTTATAGCAATCATTCATGTAAAGTAACTAAATTAGGATTGAAAAATTGATAAAATAATTATTGAAATTTTCAAATTAAAGTGTTTATTATAGAAAATACTGTAAAAATATGTTAAGTAAGTTTACTTTGGGTATATCACAAAAATATGGAGATTGGAGCTACTCGATTTCTTTAACCGTTAGAGATAGAAATTTGAAAATAAGCCACAATAACTAGTATGACGCAAAATGTAGATTTTTAAAGAAATGTCAAATCTGAAAAAACTGCAGATTCTTAAATTTGCCATAGAGGTGATGATATACTCTCTTTTCTTTATAATATCCTGCATAATCCCGTTGCACCAACATATCTTCGTGAGCGATTTAACTTTCTGTATTCAGCGAAAAGCAATACTAGGACTCTTAATCGTTCTTTATTGCGAACTCCGATTAATTCTGGTCAAACGTATTCAGACTCTTTTGTTGTGGCTGCAATTAGATTATGGAACACACTGCCTCATGAAATTAGAAATAGCCCAAGCATTGGGATTTTCAAATCACGTCTGAAGAATTATTACCTCTCACAATGCTGATGTACGTACTTATTATATTTGTGTATTATATGTAATATATATCTATCTATTTTTATTATTATTTACATATTTATTTATTTATACCTATTGGTCTTTTCAATTGTAAAGATATTTTATTTATTTATTTGTAACTATAACATTTAAGTCGATCGGTACACATGTATGACTATAACTACTAATGAACTGTCACTTTTCTCATATTGGGTTTGCTGGAAGAAATCTCTCTATTGGAGATAAACTTGCCCTTGTGCACTATTATGTTTGTTTTTACATTTCAATAACCGTATGTGTACAATAATGAATAAAAGAATTGCATAATAAAACTTTGTTGATATAATGTTGATTGTGTAAGCATTTATAATTATAAATAATTATATATTATTTAAGATATTTTCAATATAAAAAGTGCATTTAAAAACAAATTAAGAGAAAAAGCTTATGTGATAGATAGATAAATAGATAATTTATTTGCATTAGTTACAGCACCCAAATAACAACAGACATATACAGTAAAAAGTGATAAAAGAATTCATATATATATATATATAACACATAATGGTCACAACTCATGTGCATGTATACCAACCCCAGTGAGCACACATAGACAACGAGTCGATTCTCACCCACATACACACCTGCGCCCCTCCAGCTTCCTCTTGCTCTCCCTTACCCGCCAGTATATGCACGAGTAGGACACGATGATGACCAGGCACGGCAACGCAAAACCGAAAACGAACAGGTACTTCTTCGGGGATTTGGAGTTTTTCGGTAGAATAGTGCACGAGAACGTTTTAGGGTCGAAACCCAGTTGGCCCCACACGCCCAGCAGTGGGGGGACCTGGAAATTATAGAAAAAAAATACAGTTACCAGTCTCTACATGCTATTTCATTCACGAGATCGTGTTATGTTGGCTGAACGGGACAAACAATTGCTTCTGTCCCTCTCAACCCACTTAAAAAGTAGGTTTTTTTTTATATTTACTTGCACGTTTGTTCGTTTTATATTTACTTGCACGTTCGTCCATCAATGCCTCAGTTGCTGGCCGCTGCAGTAATGTACTAATATGTGTATGTAGGGGGGGAAGGGATTGTTAGTAATGGAGACTGAGAATCCCATTGCTAGCAATATACCCAACCAGGTCGACCTCCTCGCGGTTCCCCCTGGAAACTATCATGGTTAATTCCTGATGAATTCATCATGATGGGCTAACTGGCCTGTTGTCATTCTCATCTATCACCCTTCACTGGTGCTCCGCCAGCTTATCCCGTTAGCGCAGGCGGGGTTACCATACCATTTTCACCCATAAAAAAAAAATGTGTATGTATATGTAGTATATATTATTTGTTATAATAAGTAGTCTAATAAACAATATGTATATAATGTTTTTGTGCATTATATGTAAAAAATATTAATACACTCTTGCGCCACCTACCCACTTCTATCTGTTCACCTTTAGCCAAAGGTTTATTTATTTACACTTTATTGCACCAAGTAAAAAGAGAGATAACAAATACAGTAAATATTAATGAGAAGTGATACAAAAGGCGGCCTTATCGCTAAGCAATCTCTTCCAGACAACCCTTGGGGTACCCTGTAAGAGATTGCCCTAGCGACAAGACCGCCTTTTGTACCTTTATATGTACTCGTATATTTTGATCTGTACTCCATGCTACTGTATTTTAATGGAATTGTTAATATGTCATTGTTTATTTTTAAGTTTTTGGTGTAATAAAGGGTTAAATAAATAAATAAATACATTCAATAGGTTTGTGATTGTTAATTTAGATCACTGGCAACTATTTGTAATGGCGTTGACCTCTTAATTAAGAGTCTATCAATTTATCTAGTAACCACTGCGTCAGTATTATTGATATTAAATTATGTTTATATTAGGTCAATATTTCAAATTGTACTGATACTTATACGACGTATAATATATATATATATATATATATATACGTCGTCATAGTCGTAGACTACTTTGGGGGGAAAGGGATTGTTACCAATGGAGTTTGACAGCCCCATTGCTAGCAATACACCCTATTAGGTCGACCTCCACGTGGTTCCGCCTGAAAACCATCGTGAACAATCATTGTTGAATTCGTCACGATGGGCTAACTGACCTGCTTCATCCTCACCTATCATCCTTCACTGGTGCCCCGCCGGTGTACACCGATAGCGCGGGTGGGTTTACTATTCCATTATCACCAATTAAAAAAAAACCAGTAGATATACACTGGCGGGGCACCAATGAGCAATACGTGTGTTAGATATTTATTTTAAATTATATTAATTTTCTTAAACATCTAGTGTCAAAATGTGCACCTACATTTATTAATAAAAATCAAACTAACTACTTTAAATATAATATAACGTTAAAATTGTTATTATATCAAATTTGGTAATAAATTATTCTTGTAATGTATATAGAACACTAATTTATATTTTAATTAATTTTATAATTATTTGTCATAATACTTGAATAAAAAGTAATGAAATTGTAAGAACACGTGGTCTCACTGACTTGTTCACTCGAATTCGGTCCTGTAGATATAAAAGACTGTTACTTGGGTGGGGAGGCACTACTTCTTGTCCAACCGTTGAACAGAGCGGAGCTCCCTGCCGTATCGAGAGTGAACAAGTATAGTGAACCACGTGGTCATTATATAAAATATATCACAATTATTGTTGATGGAAGTCCTAAAGAAGCTATATTTAAATAAGTGTCAATGGATTAACAGAAGTTGGGTATTTATGTTATATTATTTGTTATATATCAAATACAAAGTAAAATAAGTAAATATATGATTTAATAGTATGATATCTAAATTAAATGAACTGTGAAAACTTGTGCTTCATTTCTATTTATCATTAAGAGGCTTAGAACCTTTATATTGCTAAAGAATGTATAATATTATATACATATACCATGTAAGGTTATAATTACGTAATTAAATTACTATATAAATGTATTACCTTACAGTTATTTAATATTTAATTTTGACACGTGCAAATAAAATGGCAGGTCAGTTAGCCTACCGTGGTGAATACACTTCGAGTTCAGCATACTACGTTATGTCCACGGTACAGTTCATGTCTATCGGCGACGGTTACCACTTACCATCAGGTGGGCCATCGGCTTGTTTGCTATTCTAAGTTGTATAAAAAAAAGGCACGATGGTTTCTAGGACGGGGAGATCGACCTGACATTGATATTGGTAGCAATGGGACTGGTAGATCGCATTACTGACACCCCCTCCCCCTTAAAACATATTAGTTATAGAGGCTAATTATAAACTAACGATCCTATGTTTCCGATGTCGTCATCATTATTTCCTTGTCATTGTCCCAATTATATACATTTTGGAGTCAATATGTTTCGGCTTTTAGTTTTATGAGCCTGCTTGACGTCAAACCTATTTAGGAATGCATATTTTTTTAATCGATGATAATGGAATGATAACCCCGTCTGCGCGAATGGTATACGCTGGCGGGGCACCAGTGAGGGATGATAGGTGAGAATGAAAAGGCAGGTCAGTTAGTCTATCGTGATATTCATCTGGAATTCAGCACGATGGTTTCTAGGGGGGACCATGTGGAGGTCGATCTGACGGGGTATATTGCTAGCAATGGGACTGGTAGTCTGCATTACTAACAATCCCTTGGGAATGCATTTGTTGGTGGTATCCGTGATCTGTGATAATTGTTATAGAATAAATATACAATACAAAGCAAAAAGTGGATGGATGTAGTCTCCAGGGGATACCTAACCTAACATATTGAGGGGAGGGGGATTGTTAGCAATGGAGTTTGACAGCCCCATTGCTAGCAATATGCCTTATTAGGTCGACCTCCACGTGTTTCCCCCTGGAAACCATCGTGAACAATTCTTGTCGAATTCGTGACAATGGGCTAACGGACCTGCTTAATCCTCACCTATCATCCTTCACTGGTGCCCCGCCGGTGTATACCGATAGCGCGGGTGGGGTTACCATTCAATTATTACCCATTTAAAAAAAATTTAACATGAATATGTTAAATTTATATTGTCAGAATTGACCAGATTTTTTGTATTTATATTTAAAGAGTTATTTGATAAAGATTTTGACAGTCTCCGAAACAATAGAAAAAGGCGACAAATTCTTTGCATACTTACAATTCGCATTACATTATTCTAAAAGAGAATAGAAGAAAGAGATTTATGGAGCAAGAATGAATGGAGATGTCGGTAGGGGCCGCCCTAGACGGACGTATGTCGACTAAATAGGCGACGTGCTGAAGAAGGGCCAAATTAAAAGTACCCGTAACCGGCGAGCGTGTATGAAAAGATTGATGAATGTGGAGGAAGCGAAAGAGGTTTGTTTAAATCGAAGCGTTTGGCGTTCCATTGTTTCTGCCTACCCTAATGGGAGACAGGCGTGACAGATATGTATGTATGTATGTATTATTCTAAAAATAACAACTTCATAATAGTAATCAGCACGACAAATATGTGTTAATTAATATAGGTAAGTATATCCGGTAGCAATCGTCCACAGACATAGATAGAGTTAGACGACGCAATTATCTTAATTTGAGCCGTATAAAATCAAATACATCTAAATCCAAGTCTGTAAAATTTTTAGGAAACTACAAAAACTAATATTTTGTCAGGGATATGGAACGATATTGTATATTTTTAATTAGATTGAAAAAAAAAAATAGAATATTAATAATAATTTGAATTTTAATTAACAGAACTCCCTCTATATTCGAGTACAGAGTGAAAATGTAATCGATTTAACGTTTAACTGCCTTTTAATTTTATAGGCCTCAAATTAACCCTTCTTTGCAGATTTTTTTATTGGTAAAATAAATCAAGGTGGTATAATTCATGTTCAAAATTAAAGAAAAGATGGTTAAAAAAAAAAATATATATATATATATATATATATATATATATATATATATATATATATATATTGACATAAAATAATGTTTTCTGCAATGGTCATTAAAAGGTAACCAGACACGATCAACTTAAAGTGAACTTGTTTTTTATATAACTTTTGGGCATTCAGTGTTATGATGGAAATTTCAATCATTATGCAAAGAAGGGTTAATATAATTGCGTCGTCAGGCATTCCATTGCTAAACTAGATAGGTACTTGTAGCTTTATAGATTATCAGCGTAGTGTGTGGTCGTACAGTAATCTTATAATCTGTTATGTCAAGTCACGTCAAACATCAGTTAGCGCTGCTCTGGGGGCCTATCATGAAATGAAACTCCGAATTTTCGGGCTCAATTTCGTGTTTTTGTTCGTACCTAAATCGACTCTGTAAATGGGGCTTAATGTTTCATTCATCATAAATCCTATCCTAATAGTCCAGAGGAACGATATTTTAATATTTTTAATAATTTTAAACTGCATGTATTATGTAATTTTAACATGAAATTTCTATTTCGTTCGTCCCCGAAATTTCGGAAAATATTTCGTGGTAGGCCCTCTGTTTCTGCCTTCGATCCGATATAAAATGTTTTGTTGTTGTTGTGCTAATAAAGTGATTGGTAATAAGTATAACGTTTTAATAAACCGCAGCTATCTTGCATATAAAAATAAAAATAATTATGTGACACTATGCTAAATTGATTTTACAAATAAATTCAATTGTGTCAAAACCAGTTATTTCGAATTAAATCGATTAAATCGATTTTGATAAAGCTTCTTTAGAACAGATATATTTTTAGATAAAAAAAGAATTTTCTGGATCGGTTTACATTTGACGTAGTTATGAGGTAATATAAAAAAAAACCGAATTGAGAACGTCCTTCTTTGAAGTCGGTTGAAAACTATTTATAGATAGCAAACCTTTTCTTGTAAATAATTATTTCGAAGATTTAACAATCTTTTTGTTAATTCTCTAAGATTTTGTTGACATAAATGTTATGTAAGGAGGGAGGGAGAGGTAGGAAGACCAGAGAGAGACTTTGTACAAAAGTCGTTCGCTGGAGCAACTCTGTCCCATTCGTATGTGTACCGTGAAGCAGTTGTATTTGCAAGGCTGTGTTTCGGTTTGAAGGGTGGGATATAGCAGTGAATTTGCAGTCCTCAGGAATGGCAACGCATGAGGCATATCATGGGCAAAACAGTATGTTATGTCCATGGTACGGCTCATGTCTATAGGCGACGATTACCACTTTCCATCAGGTAGGCTGTCAGCTTGTTTGCCATTCTAAGTTGTATAAAAAAAATGTAAGAATTTCAATTTAATATAATTTCAACAGTTTATCTAATGCATTTATATTCATATATTTCCGATGTTGCATAATAAAAATAAAATATATCCATTCATGTATCCGAATAGAAATGTATCCAGAGTCCAATAGGCTTTATTGGGTCTAATTGGGCAAAAATTTTATCGCTAAGAACATGCACGTGGTTCATCTATGTAAATTAATATCTGTGGTATAACTACTAGGGACCACCGGCATACGGCCAAATGAATAATGCAACTGGCGATAATAGACCTGCGTGTGTCGTTAGGCATCGACTGTGATGCACTTCTATTAGGGTTGCCAATGTAACTTTTCCCTAACAAAAAAAGTAAGTTGGACTCTACCGTGATGACATAAATGTCTTGATTTTTTTAAACGTATATGCTTAATGCAACTATATTGTATGGTTCCTGCATGAGAGACGCTTCAAGACTAAGGTGATTAGGTGAAATGTTCTGAGTTTACAGTGATTCCGTCTCGTTGTAAATCCAATATATTTTTTTTTCTATTTGTGATAAATATAAGAGTTTCGTTTACGTAGAAATACAGTTATAGACTTGACAAAACGGGATAAAACCCTGATGATTTTTGCAGTAATCATTCCGTATCCCTGAATAATCTGGACAAGGAATTCTAATAATTAGTTTTATTACATTCCAATATTCCAAACATGCCCATAGATTTTAAAGCGTAAATCAAATGTTGATAATGTGACAACCCTAATTTGTGTGGATCGACAATTGAACCAAAGTAGACTAAACTGCTACGAGTCCATAAAACCATGTAATTGCCCCGTGGTACTTACTACTTAATAGTGTTCGTTAAAATACGGAAAATTTGACGCTCGAGAACAATGGCTCACATTTATTTTATAGTTTAAAGGCATGAGTGATGATTTGTTATGGGTGTTAAAGCAGAAACTTACGGCTTGTTGAATTAAAAAAAAAACTATTGGAGTTATGTTTTAAATGACGTAGGACTATATGAAAATATAAATAAACGAATAACCGTTCATAAGACAGTCCTCTGTCCCATTCGTGTTTCAACCGTGAAGCAGTTGTGTTTGCATGGCTGTGTTTCGGTTTGAAGGGTGGGATATGGCGTGAATTTACTGGATACGGAGGAATAAAACCTGAATCCTCAGGTATGGCAACGCATGGGGGGTATCATGGGCGAAAAAGTATACTCTGTTATGTCCATGGTACTGCTCATGTCTATAGGCGACGGTTACCACTTTCCATCATCCCGCTGAGTAACTTGTAGCTTTTGCATACGGGCAATCGTGTAGGACCACGTTTCGGTACCACAAGTCATCAGTGGCGACACGCACTGGTTAAAGATCTTCGTCTTCAACCCATATAATGCTAAGCTCCCAATTTTTTTTTTATGCAACTTAGAATGGCAAACAAGCTGACGGCCCACTTGATAGAAAGTAGTAACCGTTGCCTATAGACATGAGCAGTACCATGGACAGAGTATACTGTTTGTAACGCATGGGGGGTTGCCATTCCTGAGAACTCAGGTGTTATTTCTCTGTACCCAGTAAATTCACGCCATATCCGACTCTTCAAACCGAGAGCTCCGATTCGCTACCGCTCATAACTTGACCAGCCCGCTACCATTAGCCGTAGTGTAGAGGATGTTCCCTAATTCGGAACAATTAGGTAGGAATTATAAATATGGAAGTGCAATGAACTAATTCCAGTTTCCTCCGTAGCCGTTTATTTGTTTATTAACGGATACAGCCCGCCGTCTGTGTATCATTACATTTTATGTATGAATGAATGTCGTTATATGTAATCTAATGTTTCCACGAACGTACATTTTGAAGTGTTCAGTTCAGTGTTCTACGGTCATTGTGTGTTATTATTGTTTAAAAAAAAAGGAATTTCCACGAAATCCTATTAATATAATACGCCAAAGGACGAACGATTGGATGTTTGTTACTCTTTTGTGCAAAAATTACTGAATGGATTTGAACGAAGTCAGGTTCACGGGTAGTTTATATACTAAATTAGCAAATTTTTTAAATATTTAAGCCGTTAACTGTCCAATGCTGAACATAGGCCTTATTCTATTGGGGTGATTTTGCCAGTAGTTGCCACACTTACCAGAGGGAGACTTTGTACAAAAGTCGATTGCTTGGGTGGAGGCTTGTTTGCCATTCTAAGTTGTATAAAAAAAAAAAAACTTGGCAGGCGGGTTGGTAACTGCAGATAGGCCTTGGAGATGTTTTAAGAGCTCCTTAGTCGCCTCTAACGACACTTACGAGAATAGAAGGGGCCTATTCTATGCCGGGAAACGGTGAAGCATATATGATATTTTATAATAGATATAATATAATATATGAGCATCGAGCCTCAAAAACTGGTCGAATTTTTGACAGCTAATTGTCAAATTAGCTGACTTGTTTTTTTTATCAGTGTTCAATATACTTACGCATACAATGTATCTTGACGTATTATTTAATAAATAACATGAGTGTTTACGTATTAAAAAGATGTAGAAATTATAAGACAAAATAAATATAGAAGTTATAATGGAATCACTCATAACTATTTATCACGGAAAATTGTATGAAAAAGTTGATCCGTTTTTCTCGAAGCGTTTCTATGGAGACACTTTTTTTTTTATACAACTTAGAATGGCAAACAAGTTGACGGCCCACCTGATGGAAAGTGGTAACCGTCACCTATAGATATGAGCAGTACTATGGACATAACAGAGTATACTGTTTCGCCCATGATGCCCCCCATGCGCTGCCATACCTGAGGACTCAGATGTAATTCCTCTGTATCTTGTAAATTCACGCCATATCCCACCCTTCAAACCGAAATACAGTCATGCAAACACAACTGCTTCACGGTAGAAACACGCATGGGACAGAGGTGGCCAAGCAATTGACTTTTGTGCAAAGTTTCCCTCTGGTATCTGGTATCTCTATCAGCTATACTCTCTCTCTATATAATCTAAAAACATAATATTAGCCATGATTTTAGGGGGCTTTAAAAGTTTTGTATTTATGGTATGAGAGTTGACTCACCATTAAACCGAAGGAGACGACCCATATCAGGAGCAGCTGTATCCAGATCTTGGTGGAAGTATATATTTGAGTGTACATATCATAGTATGCTATCAACGTGTACCTGAAATAAGACAATTTAAATCTATTAATGTAATCTTTAAACAGCGTGTGGTCTCGGCATTGAATAGGCCAGGCTTCCTTTCCCGTGGTTGTAGAAAGAGGCGACAAAGGGAGAACGAGGGATGGGCAACAGTGTCTCTCTTAAAACATCTCCAAAGCCTAACTGCGGTTGCCAATCCGCCTGCGAAGCGTGGAAATTAGTGGCAAATCCAAGGAGCAGGCTTATGTTAAGCAGCGGGCTGCTAAAGACTGATATGACGATGTATCTTTGAATAATATCAGATTTTTCTAAAGGGATACTTGTATAAGACAGATAATCCATAAGGCTCTCAACTAAACCTTCTTTCAAGAAAAACGTGTATATGTTTACTTTTATGCTTTATTCGAGCTGTAAGTGCTATATATTATTCCCAAATTCGTGTATAATATAGTATAGGTATATCATATATGTGTAAGTATATTTGTTATTCATATATATTTATTTGTTTATATATATGTAATTTTAGTATGTATATATATCAATTGTTACTAGTATCGCATTCGTGTACTCTGGCACTTCCCTATGGTTGACTGGGAGAGAATATTTTATTAGCATTAAGTCCGCCATGTACACATACATGTACTATTAAATAAATAAATGGATAAACTCTTAATTTGCATAAAGAGATACATAAAAATTGTTTTTTTTTTTTATACAACATAGAATGGCAAACAAGCTGACGGTCCCCCTGATGGAAAGTGGTAACCGTCGCCTATAGACATGAGCAGTACCATAGGCATAACAGAGTATACTGTTTCGCACATGATACCCCCCATGCGTTGCCATTCCTGAGGACTCAGGTGTTATTCCTCTGTAACCAGTAAATTCACGCCATATCCCACCTTTCAAACCGAAACACAATCATACAAACACAACTGCTTCACGGTTGAAACACGAATGGGACAGAGGTACCCAAGCAATCGACTTTTGTACAAACTCTTCCTCTGATAAATTGTAACAATAGTAACAGAAAAAAATAAATAATGTTTAACAAAAGGGCGATATGAACATTTTTACATAATAATATGTGAAAATGAAATATGTGTACTACAGTAATGCAAAAAGGCAATAAATATCTCAGTGAGTAGTTTGCTTAACAAGCAAACCAATTATTTTAAGTTACTGCCTAAAACAAATGTCCCCAAAGGCGCGCGCAAGCATTTCTATGAAAACACTCTATCTATATAATCTAAGATCTTCAATTCTGTTTGAATGTTAACGTTTTTTGCAAAAAAAAAATAGTATAGTGCAAATAAGTTTACAGTAGGTACTCGTAACTACCTGAATAAACGTTGATAAGCATTCTATATCCGCGTTACAACTAGAGATGGGCAATCCACCTGGGTGGGTTTAAAGTCTGGTGGGTAAAAACCGGGTGTTTTGGGTTTATTGGGTTTAAACCCCATAAACACCCAAATTTTTGGGTGTTTATGATTTTGTACTTCATCATCGTCATCTCAGCCGCAAGACGTCCACTATACTGGACATAGACAATATTATTATGCAGCCTACAGAATAAAAAACTTTTAATTTGATTTTGAGTTTATTAAGAAAGAGATGAAAGTAAAATGTAAAACTACAGTCAATCACTGTCAGATTCAGAGTTATTACAAGCGATGAATTGTATAGGTTCGATAGGCTCTATTTCGTCTAAACTGTTATGTTCATTTACTTGCTCAATGAAAGCTTCTAAGGTATTTTCTTCATTAAACTGAATGTCCTCGCATTCAGCTTTATGTTTAAGATTCCAGTTATAACAAATGAATGAAATTTTTTCAGTTCTTTCAGTTGTAAGTCGATTTCTTTTGTTATTATGTATGTAGCCTTGGATACTAAAGGAACGCTCAGTGGCTGCCGAAGTACAGGGAGCTGATAGAATACGAATCGCTACTTTGCTTAACTCAGTGGAACCACAAATACCTTTCCACCATATTAGGGGCTCAATGCTATCTAATGAGCTCCATACAAATCCTCTGGCCCAAAAGTTTTCTTTAGCTTTATAACACGCCAAATCTGCCATTACATTTGACAAACTTAAGTGTTGGCTTAAATTGTAGATAAACTCCATACCCTTAAGTTCTTCCTCTTGAGTAAGTTCGACTCCTAGAGTCCTGGGGTCTAGAATATATGCTGCAAAATGTATTGGCCTCATTGCCATATTGCATCTTGAAGATACTGATGTTAGAATCTGCTGTTTGCTTTCTTCGCTCAATGTCGAAATCTCATTTAATGCAAAACGTATCTTAGCTTGTACATCTCTAAATGTAATGTATGTGCGATGCAAACGATTCTGGTCGCTCTCTAAGTAAAATATGCTTTCAGTGACTGGTTCCAAAATACTTATACATTCCCCTGTCTTCGTCCAGAAATCATCACTTAGAATTAAATCTTTAATATCTCTTGAAATTACCACATCTTCTCTAACTGTTAATATTTGCAAAGCTATCTTATTTGCTTTCAAACTTTTTAACGAAGTAACATGACTTCCCCATCTTGTAGCACAAGGCAATTTTAGTGTTTGTGTAGAATCTTCACCCTGCCTTGATTTTATCAACAAGGAACTTAATCGTTGACTCCTTTTAACAGTTTTTATTATATTTATGGCTTGCATAATAAACACAGTTACTTCTTGTATCTTTACAATATCTTGGCACAACAAGTTAAGGATATGTGCACAGCAACCGAGAGGAACAACATGTGGATATTTGAGTTTTGTTAATTCGAATGCCTTTTGTATATTTCTAGCGTTATCGCCAATAAGTACAAGAAACTTATTTGCTCCATACACTTTCATTACTTTTTCAACTTCTTGGCTAAGGTATTCACTAGTGTGAGGATTACTTTCTGTATTCAAACTTTTAACGTATGCAGGTTGAGGTTTTGATATAAGAAAGTTTATTATTCCTTCATTTCTTAAATTAGACCAGCCATCGCACTGAAGGTGTAAGTAACTACAAGCATTTAGTTCCTCATTTAACTCAAAACGCATTTCTCTATATATTTTATCTAAGTATTTTGTCGCTAAAGCTTTACGTGAAGGTATTTTAAATTTTGGTTGCAATTTTTCGAAAAATTGTATCCATAAAGGATGTTGCACCATCGATAATGGCGTCCCTGTTACAAATATAGCTCTCGCTAATTCTGTTTTTATATGATCATCGGTGTCTTGAAACTCAGCATTTATTGTAGTGTTAGCAGACGACGAGGGGCTTATAAAAGAATCATTTGTCTCTATCTCTGACAGTCCAGACATTTTGGTTTTGGACGAGCTATCTTTTATAAGTTTCATAGAGTCTTTTAATGTTTCTGGAGATTTTGGACAAGTGATAAGATGTTGAAGCATTTTGGCAGCATTACTGAATTTGTAGACCTTATTACAAAGCTTGCAAGAAACAGACTTGTTTGGTAAAGTACGGTAGTGCTCCCATATGCGTAAATCTTTAGGTCTCCCCATTGAACCTAAAAAAATGAACGATGATTAGTTGGTCTGACGAAAATTCAACAATAGAGTGCCTATTTTTTTACAATGATTATTTCTTGTTATTTACAATAAATTTATTAAAAAAATAATAAAATAAATACAAAAAACCTTTGTAAAATTACATCTCCTCGGAGGATTAAACGCAGACGCTAGTTTATTATCGTATTGTTCTGTATTTTTCTCAGCAACTTCTTTAATTCGATTAGGTACTTACGCATATTATGTTAAAAATAAATATCTAGTACACATCTTAGGCTATCCACCATTATTATCCAATGACGACTCTCAGCTAACTATGCACTATCATCCAAAATAAACGTGTATGGAAAATTTTATCCCAGTCGGTTGAGGATTGAGGATAATTGCATCAACATACGAACATACCTACATACTTTTATTTACATAACTCAAGCTAAATAAAAGCTTGTAATAATACATCTAATTTTAAGTTAAAATTGTTAAGTGATCATGATATAATTGTATCATTCAAAAATCCACTTACCTTTAATTATTTCTTGTTAAGTATAAATATTATTTCAAATCTGCTCCCTTAATATGCACTTTTTTACTGCTTTTCCTACCTAACACGTTACCAGGAAGTCACGTTACCAGAGTCAGAGTAATAGTGAACACGTTTGACAGTGATTGTCGTCGCCTCATATTCAGCGTCGACGAATAGGGGAATCCCCAGTCATAATGTATTGCATGCGTGGCGGTCTTACTTCAAATCCATAAACAAAGAGATAATTACAGAACTCGATACTAGATGGCGCTGTTTTTGTTTGAAGAAAGTTTGCGGGCTAAAATACATAGAATTTCATCAATGACTTCCACAAAGAACAACATTTCTGTTTTTTCTAAGTCCGTATCTCTTCCGTATATTTCATAAGATATAAGCTTGGGCTACATTGTTATGCAACGTGATTTTGTCGCTGTCTTGCTAGCAGGGTTGACAGATATACGATTTAAATCGTACTCATACTATTATTTGTCTATTTTTTAATGTACGATCGTAAAGATTATGATCGTAATTCGCACAAAAACATACGACTTTTTGGTTACCTGGCAACATTTTTATTATGAAACGAACATGCTCACATCATCAGTCACATGCAACAATTTATTGGGGATTTCCCCTTCACATCTGGCAGTCCTGCTTGCTAGAATATAGGTAAGTCAGCCACAGTTACTGACGATCGATATTTAAAGGGTATTGTTTTTGTGCTAAATATTTCATAAAAACGTTATTTAATACTTTGTGGATTATTAATTTAGTTGATAATCACTGGAAGTAAAATGGATGCTAATTTGAGAGATCAAGATCTTCGTATAAAACAGTTAATAAAAGAAAATCTACGTAAGTACTCTTTTTATACCTAGGTAGGTAAGGTATAATAAACACAAAAGGTACTTAGATCGCGTGTGTTCGAAGCATTTATTCTAATAAATTTAATTTAAAATTGTAGAAAGAAAAAAATGTCTGCCAAGCCGTAGCCGAAGCCGATCTCCAAATATATTTGGCGATAGTGAGACCCAGTGTCCAGATGATTTACCCAGCGTCGTCGCAACAAAGAAAAAAAACGAGGATAAAGTAAAAGAAAATTTACTGAAAGAAGAAACAAACTGTTCTAAATGCTTAATTTATGGAGAAGAGGATAAAAGAAATGAGTATTTCGGACTGTTAGTGGCTCAAGAATTTAAATATATACGGCCATGTGTGCGAACGAGGTGTTATGAAGAAATTTTAAAGTATCTACGGGAAGCAAAAGGCCAACATGTTGATCAACTGCAACATGAAAACACTGAAAATTAATTACTTTCATTTTATTATATATAGATTTTTAAAATTTCCTGAAATATTATTAGTTAACGTTTTATTTAATATTGTAGAATTGATCAATACAATTTATAAAAATAATTTATTGGTATTACTTACATATTTTCAAAAAAATACGTAAAAACCTATTTTTTTGGGTGATTATGGGAGTTTATGGGTGTTTATTGGGTTTTTACCAAAGCACCGGGTTTAAACCCGGTGCTTTGCCCATCTGTAGTTACAACAACTTGCAAGTTCATATCTAACTACCTACTAATACAATATTGACAGAAGCCACATTCTAGCCACATTCAGTGCATGAATACAGTGTTGCCAGACGCAATTGTTATTTTTCCCCCAATTTTCGAATATTATACTTTTATATCAACTGTTAACTGTCGGGGGGAAAGGGATTGTTAGTTATGGAGACTGAGAATCCCATTGTTAGCAATATACCCAACTAGGTCGACTTCCTCGCGAGTTTCCCTTGGAAACTCTCATGGTTAATTCCTGTTGAATTCATTATGATGGGCTAATTGGCCTGTTTTTATTCTCATCTATCACCCTTCACTGGTGCACCGCCAGCGTATCCCGTTAGCGCAGGTGGGGTTACCATTCCATTTTCACCTATAAAAAAATGTCATCTGCTTTTTTTTTATGGATGATAATGGAGTAGTAACCTCGCTTGCGCTAACGGTATACACTGGTGGGGCACCAGTGAGGGACAATAGGTGAGGATAAAGCTATATCACTACCCAAATTTTAACAGAATGATATTATTTTTCTCAAAAAATTCCCCCAATTATTCTATTTCTTCGACACAAAATTTTTTACTCAAGATAGCTAAAAAAAAAATGCCCAATCTGGTAACACTGCACGAATACCTTTTCACTTTCAAAGTCGAGCGTCGGACGTCGGCCGAAGTGCTTTATCGTCGTTCAAAAAGCACTTAGTACTATCGCGCGTGGGAAAGCGTCTGTTTGTTTATGGATTAGATAACGAATTAGTGGCGATGTGCTGTTACATGCCAGATTTAAAATCGACCGAACACGTTAACTGAGTCCATTATCAATTTTAAGCAGAGATAAATAATTTACATTTAGTTTTAACCGTAACTTCGTCTGCATGACCAGGATAAATAGTAGCTTACGGAGATCCAACAGACCCATTACTACCAATATACCCTAACAGGTCGATCTCCACGCGGTTTCCCCTGGAAATAATCGTGATTAAGTTTCGATAAATTTATCACGATGGCCCAACTTATCTGCTTCATTCTCACCTATCATCCCTCACTGGTGCTCCGCTAGCGTATCCCGTTAGCGCAGGCGGGGTTACCATACCATTTTCAACCATCAAAAAAAATACTATAAATGACGTAGTGGAGTAACTTGAAACAGTCATGCTCGCAATAAAGTTCAAAGTTGTGGCGGCGTTGTGGGCCGGGTCGATGTGCTCCCTCTAATATGGTTGAGTGCAATGATGGCTGGCTCATCCGTCATACTCGTGAACGGGTGCTTGTGGGGACTGGTCTGTTTGGCTTACAAACACTGATTAGACTATTTGCTTTTGCAACAGCATATGCTGGTGGTCACTCCGTTCTCCCAAATTTGAATTTAAAAATGAATCTGTATTATTGTAAACATTTATAAAAGTTATTTGAAAAGAATACTAGCTGAGTTCAATTCAATTCAATTCAAGCATTTATTGCTATTACATGTTGTAACAATATAGGTTTTAAGTTATTAAAAGTATAGAATCAACACGAACCCTGGAAGGGCACAGCAATCACATTAATATTTCATAAAGTATATAAATAATTTTTTACATTTATATAATATATATATATATATATATATATATATATATATATATATCGTCGATTAACATAAAATAAATAAAACATTATTACATTAAAACAAATAGGTACAAATACAATTAAATTTTTTCATTGAAAAATTCCTGTAGTGTATAGTAACTTTTTGTAATTAAATATTTCTTTAGAACTATTTTAAACTTTTTAGAAGCTTTTTAGAAGTAAGAGTCAGGAATAAAGTTGTCAGTTCTTCTCATCTCGAAATCATTCCGAACTGACGGTAGATTTGACATGTCATAAGAGTCTGGAATACCTACATGAATAAAGATATTTTGAATTTGTATATTGGCATACCTCTACAGGGTGCTGCATACTATGTACCTACTTGTATATGTAACATTTTATTTTACCATGTAGCAAGCGAATAAATATGATTTAATTTGATTTGAAGAAAAGCATCATCGTCGGTACTACCGTTGACCGTAAGCTGTATGGTGTTAAAGAGTGCGCATGCGTCGTTGCGGTGGGCGGTAAGTGTGCGCGGTAACAAACGTAAACAATCTAAACTCTTTGCGGCGTACTTTGCGTTTTTATGGGTAGTTAAACATTTTTAAAATTCCCAACGTTATGATCTGATATTAGAAATAGTTTATTTATATAAATAAAAGTTTATTTGTGGATAGTTCTTATTTTTTTTTACATTTTTTTTTACAGTATTTGTCTATAATATAAGAATCGCCCGTAAATTTTTATAAATGTTTGAAAGATATGAAAATATGGTAATAAAATATATAATAAAATAAAACATTCAAATGGTGAATTTATATAAATATATAGTCTAAGTAGTAGGCATTGGTAATATGGACACCGGAAGGGAAAGGGATTGTTAGTAATAGAGACTGAGAATCCCATTGCTAGCAATATACCCAACCAGGTCGACCTCCTCGCGGTTTCTCCTGTTCCTTTTGATTCCTGTTGTATTCATCATGATGGGCTAACTGGCCTGTTCTCATTCTCATCTATCACCCTTTACTAGTGTGCCGCCAGCGTATCCCGATAGCGCAGGCGGGGTTACCATTCCATTATCACTCATTAAAAAAAAAGTCGTAGAATACTGACGGATCTGACAAATATTAAATATACATATCCGTCAGTATTCTACGACTATGACGATATATACATACATACATACATATATACTATGTCGTTATAGACAATTCTTTCGACTTAGTCTTGTAAAAAAGATTACGTTCTTTTTAAAATTCTTCTAAAATTCTTTGGAAAATAATAGATTTTATTTTATAATTGAATTATTTTATAAAAAGTTTTTTTTTTATTATAGAAACTTCACTCTTTCTAGAATTATATTTTATTATTACCATGTAATAAAATTATTTTTAACATTTCCTAATGTAAATTAACAGTTAAGTATCTAAAGACGTAATTTAATTATAAAAAATATAAAAATACAAGACGTATAAAACCTATAGAAGCTTCACACAGAGCGATCTTTATGAATAGTGTATTGACCCGCCCTTTGAATGGATCCTACAGATTTTTATGTGAACCTTTAATACTCAATAACATAATGAGAACAAGCGATAAAAGAGTATAATGTGTACGTATAAATTCGTATAAATTCCACAGAAAGGTAAAGGATTTACCGCCGTTCTAAGACCTACATTTTTATTATGTTGCATAATTTACTATAGTAGGAAAAAAAATGTAATAAGGTTATACTTGGTATCGATTTCTTTACAAAAAAAAAAGAAACTTTTGTTAGTTGCGATAGAATGAAGTTTTAGAAAAAACAAATAATACGTATTAATAGAATAAAATAAAGAAAATTAGGTACAAAGTGTAAAAATTTTTTTATTCTTTTTTCCGAATTGAAAACAAAATAATGTTTTACTCGTCATGTGCGTTCTTTTTTTCTATATTTCATCTGCCATGCATCTGCATCACCTATTTAAAGTGCAGGTATTTTTGTAAACCTTCACTAAGTAATATTATTACTACATATATTAATTATTTTTATTTAATTAGTTTATTTCTATAAATAACAACGCAACTTTAAAAATATTTGTAGTCTAGTGTTATTTAATTCATTATAATTGTTACTTCATTTTCTCGCACTGTACAACTATGTTAAAGTAAACGCTGTGAATACCTATAATAGGCATGTGCATTAATATTGTATTGTATTTAATGTTTGTTATACCTATATGTTATAATGCAATATGCTGTTGGTGTTCCATAAATAAATAAATAAATTATTAGTATGTTCTAGAAATTGTATGTTTCTCTAATAAAGTACCTAATAGAAAAATAGAATAAAAAATAATTACCATAATTATGAGTATTACTTTTAAGTTAGATAAATTATTAAAAAAAAAAATAATTATTACAAAAACATCTATAAAGGTTTTTTTTTATACAACTTAGAATGGCAAACAAGCTGACGGCCCACCT